TGCATTTCTCGTCCCGCTTTGAAGTAATCCTCGCTTCCGCTGAAGCTGATAAATCCGTAGCCTTTGCTCTTCTGGGTTCGCTTCTCTCGAACGACACGCGCTTTCTGGACCGAGGTGTAGCGAGAAAATGCCTTCAGCAGAGACTCATCCGTCACTTCGCCTGCAAGGTTACCCACACAAAAGACGGAAGTGTGCCGGATCCCACTCCAGGAGGGTGGGGTCGGTCCATGTTTCACCACCGCCTGAGCGAATGACGGTCTTTTGTGACTCGGCCTGCGGGATAGGAGTGCCGGCGCCGACGGTTGGAGTTCCAGCTCCCGTGTTCACGCCTGAAGACTGGTTGCCTTGGTGCTTGGCGGAATCTTCCGTAGGTTTGGTGTAGGCGCTCTGCCACTGCGCAATTTGAGCTTCAGTCTCTGCATCGAAGCCAGGGGCGTTGGCATTCTGGAGCCCTGTGTTGGTCTGGTTGGGCGTAGATCCGAAAGGATTCGCAATGTGTGGGACGGTCGGACCGTATGTGTTGTCGGCGTATTGAGGTTGTCCATAGTACGAAGGCGCACTCTGGTATGGCTGTGGTTGTTGATAGTGGTTGACGTAGCTGTTGGTGGGTGTTGCGTATCCGGCAGAGACTGGGGGATTCGAGACCGAGTGGCTGCTCGCGCGATGCGGTTGACTGGAGGCTACCGCGCGCGGCTGGAAGGCCGTAAAGGCGCTGTAGCCTGTTGGTCGAGATCTACCATGGCCCGCGGGATTGGCGGCAGGCTGCGCGGCGTTGGAGGATGGAGGTGGGCGGGGCGGAAGCGACGAGGGAGTCTGTCTGAGACCTGGAGGAGGCGGAAGGGACATGATGAATGGGATATTCGAAAAGGGAGAGAGAAAATGAGACGCGCGAAAGAGAGAATGCTAGATGCAGAATAGCAACCGCAACGTACCTTCAGGGCCTGACTGACGCCGTAGTCGCCAGAGGTCACGCTTGAGATAGGCACCCGAAGGATATGCACTTGCAAGAGGCGAAGGGTTGTGCTTGCAAATGATCACTGTGAGAAGATTGGAGGATTAGTTATAATGCGCGTCTTCAAGGACTGCGCTGGATCAGAATGCTTAATGGGACATGCCTTTTTTTTGTCTCATGCGCTGGCTAGGCCGTGGCGTGTCACATGACTCGATCAAGCTTTCCTGACTCATGAATGACATAAGCAAGTTGCTGACTCATTGTTCAAATGCGACCCCCACTCTAGTCCCAAAGCGGCCTAGCCTATAGGTAGCGGGCTATGAACGCATCGGCAAGTGATTTCTCCGTCGCCTTTCTACCAGAACAGTTCACCGATGCGTGGACAAGTTCGGATGATTTCGACGGGTTACATGGATATTGGAATTTCTGTTTCATCATTCTTCAGTACATAGTACTTGATACTTACAATATACTACAAATATGTACAACAGACAACAGACAACAGTACATATTATCCAAGTCAATTCTTCAAATTACCCCTCCATGCCCCGCTATATACAAGTAAAAGCTACAATTCCAATCAAATATTCTTTTATAGCATATATATATGTATAGGGAATTGGAATTGAATGGTCGGATAATGCTTTCCCATCTAACAGAACCCGAGTGGGTTGATACCGGACGACTCTGCTCCTGTACCCAATACTTGGCGCTACACCGGAGAGAGTAATAACAAGTGAGGTACACGGTACCCCCTCCGGTATGTCCCACCAGATGACGGAAGAGTTGCTCCGTCAGCCGGTTGCTACTTCTTCTTCTTTTCCCCCCTCCTTCATCCTCCTTTCTTCTCTAGATCAACCTTCACTTCACTTACCCTTTTATCTCACATTTAATCGTCATGGCTGACCAAGCTGTGTAAGTTACCAACCTTCTTCCCTCTCCCCACCTTCACCAATTCCGGCATCTCCAGTGGTTACACCTTCCTGCATCTTGGATAACGGGGCGCATGGATCTTCAATGCTCCTCAGACATCATGTAGCAGCTCTATTTGGAAGAATCCCTATAGATGCTCGTGCAAGATGATACCAATGGAGATACTGCGTCGGTGATCTTTTTCGGAAGCGCACGGGTGTCCCTTTCTTCTTATTCCCATTGTGATTTTTTGCCAGCTATTGACAAGAGACATTGATCGCTGACTATAGCGCCCGTCTCGCCGGCATCAATGTCGGCGCTCCGGCGCACTTTGCTCCCAGTGCTGATTTCGGCCTCATCGGTCTGGCCGTTATGGGCCAGAACCTGATCCTGAACGTTGCTGATCACGGTTTCACCGTTTGCGCTTTCAACCGTACAACCGCCAAGGTTGACCGTTTCTTGGAGAACGAGGCCAAGGGTAAGCTCTACAGAGAATGACAGCTCCCAATCCCTTTCCGCAAATGCTCATTATACAACAGGCAAGTCCATTGTTGGTGCTCACTCCATCCAGGAGTTCTGTGCCAAGCTCAAGCGCCCCCGCCGTATCATGCTTCTCGTCATGGCCGGAAAGCCCGTCGATGATTTCATCGAGTCCCTTCTGCCTTTCCTCGAGAAGGGTGATATCATCATTGACGGTGGTAACTCCCACTACCCCGACAGCAACCGCCGCACTCAGTACCTTACTGCCAAGGGCATCAGCTTCGTCGGCAGCGGTGTCTCCGGTGGTGAGGAGGGTGCCCGTTACGGTCCCTCTCTCATGCCCGGTGGTAACGAGGATGCCTGGCCCCACATTAAGGACATCTTCCAGAGCATCTCTGCCAAGAGCGACGGTGAGGCTTGCTGCGACTGGGTCGGTGACGAAGGTGCTGGTCACTACGTTAAGATGGTCCACAACGGTATTGAGTACGGTGACATGCAGCTGATCTGCGAGGTAAAGCTACTATAAAGCGGAATATTATCGAGCGACTACTGACATTATTTAGGCCTACGATATCCTCAAGCGCGGTCTCGGTCTCTCCTCCAAGGAGATTGGTGATGTTTTCGCCAAGTGGAACACCGGTGTTCTCGACTCTTTCCTGATTGAGATCACCCGTGATATTCTCTACTACAACGACAACGATGGAACTCCCCTTGTTGACAAGATCCTCGACAAGGCTGGCCAGAAGGGTACCGGCAAGTGGACCGCCATCAACGCTCTGGACCTCGGCATGCCCGTCACCCTGATCGGTGAGGCTGTCTTCTCCCGCTGCCTCAGTGCTCTCAAGGACGAGCGTGGCCGTGCCAGCAGCATCCTGAGCGGCCCTACCCCCAAGTTCGAGGGCGACAAGCAGGCTTTCGTCGACGACCTTGAGCAGGCCCTTTACGCTTCCAAGATTATCTCTTACGCTCAGGGCTTCATGCTCATCCAGAACGTAAGTCATTTCTTGTCAGCTTCGCTGATAGTCAATATCTAACCCCGGACTTCAATATAGGCTGCCAAGGAGTACAAGTGGAAGCTGAACAAGCCTTCCATTGCCCTCATGTGGCGCGGTGGTTGCATCATCCGCTCCGTCTTCCTTAAGGATATTACCAATGCTTACCGCAACAACCCCGACCTTGAGAACCTTCTGTTCGACGACTTCTTCAACAAGGCCATTAACAACGCCCAGAACGGCTGGCGTAACGTGATCAGCAAGACCGCTCTGTGGGGTATCCCCGCTCCGGCCTTCTCCACTGCCCTCAGCTTCTACGACGGTTACCGCTCCAAGAACCTGCCCGCCAACCTGCTCCAGGCCCAGCGTGATTACTTCGGTGCCCACACTTTCCGCATCAAGCCCGAGAACGCCAGCGAGACCTTCCCCGAGGGCAAGGATATTCACGTTAACTGGACCGGCCGTGGTGGTGACGTGTCGGCCTCTACCTACATCGCATAAGCGTGTTAAGTTGAGGTTTGTTAGAAGGGTAAAAAAATTGGATGTTCAATGTATTTAGATGTCTCCATGGAATGCCCATGATCCGTAACGAAGTCACTTGTTTCTTTCTTCTATATATCTTTGCCATCTACAATATTGTACGATCCAAGTGAGCCTCTACCCAGCACAGGCTAATACAAGGTGTAAAGTGAACATTTACTTGAAGCTCATGCGGGAGCAGCAGTCTGACAGTATTATTTTTTGAAGAGTAAAATCCCCGGTATAGAGCGTTTCTACCATGATTGTCCTGCATGTGTATGTTGCATTAAGGACTCGGGATAATATAAGGCAATATAAGGCAGCACTGGTCTATAACTAACCAATCCACCATATATCCCCCACTGCGGCCTTAATATCAAATCGCTGTTCATAATATAAGACCTTTGTCTCTTACGAATCTGGCCTATAGCCATGCACATAAATAAAACTGTCTTTCTTGGTCTCACTCGCTTGGCTAAGTCTTAGGGTATGCAGATAGATGATGTTTGTCCAGCCTCCTTGGCCAGGTTAACACCTCATTCGGGGTCTATAAAAGCCCTGGTCATTCCACTGGTATTTTCTCCACGGTTATACTAGTTACAATATTGTGCAATTCTTTGCAACGAATACAAACAAGTGTTTCAATTTTTTTAAATAGATAATTTAACTCTACCAAGTCAAACCCACCAACATCATCAAATAGATCGAAAGGATCATATAGTCGTAAGAAAAAGCGTCGGTCTCCAAGAAACCATCAAGTCGTATCAATCATGCAGGGAATATGCTAGATGAGCAAAGCAATCCCAGAACTTCAAAAGGGAAGTGAAAGTAAAGTGAAAAGAACAAGAAAGAGAAAAACAAAGACGCCCAAAACAAAACAATAACAAGACCCAATCTCTATGCACATCGCAGTAATCAATCTGTGGAGTGTTCAGTCTATGAAATCACTGGCAGCCAACCGCGCAAGTAAGAAATGGTTTAAAATCAAAACAAGAATCAAGGACTGAATCAAATGGAGGCCCAATCGCCTAAGAAATTGGCACGGTTATAAGATAGTTTGAGAGGTAGGCGAGGGAGAGTATAAAAGGTTCAAAATAGGATGGAAAACCAAAAGCATCATTGAAATGACCATGTATACTTATACTTCACGACCAAACATGGAAGCCAGGGAGCCCTGCTCCCCGTCTCCCACTACCGCGCCGGGACCCAGCGGCCGATTCAGCCCCACCGTGATTCCCATGTCTACCTTCATCCAGGCTGCGCCGCGAGGCGCCGAAGTCGCTCATAGCGAAAAGCAGTGGCTCGTCGTCTTCGGGCGCCTGTGTGGACAGCGTTCGACCCGTGCCTGGCCGCTGCGCAGAACTGCGACGGGTCTCCAGCGTGGAGTTGCCGCTATTGCTTCCGCTAGCATTGCCATCGCGGTCCTGGTCGCGCTCCGCCAGGTGTGGGGCAAGGTTGGCGCCCCGGGCGAGGCTGCTGGATGCTGAGCTAATGGAATGCCCGCCCGAATAGCCGCGGCCGCGAGAGCTGGCGAACCGGGGCTGATAGACATGGGGGTTGGAGGAGGCTGAGGCGCTGGTTGGTCCAGACATTTGCCCGCGGAGGGATGCACTGTCCCGGTACGGACCCGCTGCGGAGCCAGATGGGCCACTTGGGTCCTCAGCCAGTGATTGTTGGCTTTTCTGGGACTCGTTCTGCTGTTGGGCAGCACCTAGTGTGGTGTTTGAGGGCTCGTCGGCGCCCAGACTGAGGCTTCGCATGCCGAATGGGAAGATTTCATCGTCTTCGCTTGTAACAAGCGGCCGGCGCAAGGCTACGGAGCTCGAGCGACGGTAAGTAGGGTCGAAAATCCGCGGCGATGTCGGGATGTCGATAGCACCTGCGGTAGAGGAAGGACCTCGCGTAGTTTCCATGCCGGGATGTTCTTCCAGCGGCGAGTCGTGCTGTATGCGAGGGATTCTTGAATGGTGGTCGGTTTCAATGTCATCCGCAACACTGTTCGAGCTCAGCCGAGAGCGGATAGCAGGAGTGTGAGGAGTATGGGGGGATATGGGTTTCCCAGGAGAAGAAGCTGTGGAGATGGAAGTGCCCGCGACCATCGGTGGGACTCCTGATAGTTGCTTGCTCGAAGAGATGGAAGAGCGATGCAGATGCATAGACTGTGACATTGAGTCGGACAACGCGGCATTTGAATCTCGCATACCACGGAAGCGCGCAAGAGCCGCTGCAGTGGGGTTTGGCTGCCTAGAACCAGGCTGAATAGATGCGGAGGCAGATAAATTCATCAAGTCCTTCTTCGAATCAAGCATCTTCAAGAAATCCGATATATTCTCGTCATCTGCATGAATGGACTCCGCACTCGTGCCTGTAGCTTCCGTGAGTAGGCCGGACCCGGGTTGTGCATTAGATGATGTTGCACTAGCTCGGCCACTGGAGTTATCGTCTTCCAATCTGTTTGCCCCTGCAGAAAGGCGGCCTCGTCGGTGGCTGAAGGAACTGCTGTACCGGGATATCGGAGCAGGTTTCGGGGATGCGGAATTAGAGAATGATATAGCTTGTTCAGATGCAATGGTTATAGGCCTGCGCGCTGAAGCGGCAGAAGAAGGGGGCGGCATGACGCGTGAATCGGCAGATGTTGCTGTGGGCATGCGTGAAGACATGTTGCGGGGAGACACACCTAGGGGAGAGTCTGCTAGAGCTGGGGAAGCAGAAAGAGGGGGAGCTTTGAAGGGCTGGAATGAAATGGAGGGACGGCGTGGGAAGTTTGAGCCTCCGCCTTCACCAGCAATCTGCGCAGCGCGTCCCGAAGGAACGACTTTGGCAGGGGGAGGAGTCTCTTAGGTGAGTCGGTCGGGGAAGGAGATCCCGCGCCCGAATCTCTCATTGCACGAAGTGCTGATATAGGACTTGCACCTGTTGTTGGGCCAACCTGATGGAAGGTCGAGAGACTGCCATATGCACGTGAGCAATCCGGATTCTCAACGGTCCTTCTCTCCGTTGGCACAGAACCAACTTCAGGATTTGGGCGGTTGGTATCATCTGAAGGCAATGATGGACGAAAGATCTCGTCGTCAGCACCCATGAACCGCGAGCTCAGTAGTGCTTCCGAGTCGTCAACGCGGAAATCGCAGTTCGTCCGATACGTCACTTGAACTGAAAAGGGACCTGCGGGCGACTCAGTGACCCCAAAGCCGTAGGTGTCCACCACTTTTTCGCTTCCCTCACTCAACGGGGCTGTCAAATGATCCACCGAGAGGTCATCACGAGCAGCGCTCCCATCTACCACACGGTACTTCATCTGGAGAGCTGGACTCTGCCGCAACTTTTTGTTGCGTTTAGAGAATCTCCATGCGGGCAAAAACTTGGAGTAGGTGAATAAGGATCGGAAGAGCACAATGCTTTTCTTATACACAGTCGGCAAGATAGAGCCCAAGTCTGCCGGAAGCTTACTTGAAGACTCTCCCAACTCGATTCTCCACCGCTCCAAGATAATCTCGTCATGTTCCGATTGGTATGCCTTTGCACGGGATCCCTCAAGCGCCGCGAGCGATTCGCGCACATCCCAACGCTTCCCGTTCTCATCAAGAATCACCAGACTTTGATTATTTGTGAGACCCTTTGTGTCTAGGTATGTTTCGATAACGAGGGGTGGTGGTCGATTGTCCGTTGCATCGCATGTTCTCCAAGGTCGCAGGGGTTCCCGAAGGACATCTGTATCATCTAACTCAACATTGAACTAGAGCGAACCAAATAGAATCAGCTTCCGCCACTTTCATATGCTTGACTGTTCCAAAAAGCATTCCAAGCCCGACCATGAGATGGAAACGTACCCAGCGGTTCACTCTCGGGGACTCGGAGCCCTTGTTAAATGAGGGAGGCAGTGCAACTCGTGAATGTAGGATAATTAAAGCGGCTTTTGTGTGATAGTTCTGTTGGAAATGGGATTAGCCATCAATAAGCCATCCTGATAAGCCATTGGAGGGGCGATTTGAGTGACGATACCGATATTATTTGATTTAACCGTGTCAGTGCCTCCTTTCCCTGTGCCGCGCTCCTCCCTTGCTCAGATGGCTGAGGCCCCGGCTCTATCCCCAGCCCTCTGGCAGAATTAGATCCCATATCGACGGTTGGGGAGCTCGGGACGGTTTCTTGTTCTCTGCGGTCGTCCCGAGCTGTCGGTCTGAGGGGAAGGTTTGGCGCCGGAGAGGGCACCGCCGATGATCGGGGATGCTGATGCATGATAGGCGCCTAATTGCGAACGCGTGGTTAGCGACCATCGACACGCATGTGAAGAAGAGGAACGATCTTACCCTGGAGCGGAAGTGCTGTAGATTGAGTTGTTATCACCGCCGGAATCTGTTATCAGGAACGCAATCGGGCAGCGATGATTCCAAGACTGAGGGCCATGCTAACAGGCGAGGATAACGATATCTTCTTAAGGACGTTCCTGATACTGAGACGCTAAATGATTCACGATAAGACAATGGATGCCCAGCATGTGGTCTGGGGTTGTCTCCGGCCTAGGACCTTCGGAGCAACCTTGGAAGTCTAGAGCTTCTCCGCACGGGTAAATGCAGTTGAGAGGGAATCGTCGTGTAAGTAGAGAAGCGAGAGAAATATGAGAAAGTGAAAAAGAAATGATAAACAAAATGGATGTGGAGAAAAAAGAGAGAAGGGGTGTAATAATGAAGATAGTTCGTATGTGACGCACATCCGGTGACTCGACAGGTCTCGAGTGTCCTAGTCAGCCTAGAACGCCACGCAGATGATGCAAACACGGGGGTTTGTTGCCTATATCCTATATATTCTAAGCTCTGATTCTTTAGATCTCTTTTTTTCTTTCTCTCTTAACTAGGTAGAAATCTGTTGTACAAGATACGGTCGCAAGGGTACTCGGGTAAGGTTCACGGGAACTGATAAGCACTTGATCACGACTTGCAAGGCGTGATATTCTATCATGTTTGAGTATGGGCAGGTGATGATATTTATATCTACGTACTTTATAAATGGATCTTCCAAGATCTTCCAAGATTTCCCTATATTCCATCTTAGCATCTTACACCGTTATCTGATCCAACGTCATAGGGCTTCATGTGTTGATAAAACATTATGTATTGAGCTATATAATCCCACAAAGGATATCAAATGACCAAAACAAAGAGTTTGTGGAGTTATAATGCGCATATATATATATAGATCCGAAACATATACAAAAGTTGCGGCTCAAACACTCACTCATTATGGCCAATGGTAGTAGATGCTAGCATTCGCTTAGAGGTTGGTGTTGAGCACATTAACGGGGTCAACCCTGAACTTGGAGTCCTGATCACCCAGATGGAACAGCCCATCAATTAGCTTCACCAGGATAGGCTCAAGCGCCACACCAAGAGCAAGCGGGTTGAGAATACTGCCAAGCTCAGTATTCGCGGTGCAGCCACTCTTAGTCGTGCCAGCAAAGGCATTCTGGACAAACTTGACAGTATCGGGAATGGCGATGATTTCAGTAGTCGCGTGACCACCGCTGGCATAAGTAGTAAGCTTGACGTTCGCATCCCAGTTGCACCAGGAATCAACCATTTTTTTGGCATCGGCGTAAGGGATGACTTCATCCTTTTTGGCGTGGTACACAAAGGTTGGTGCCGTCGGAGTCTCGTCCTTGTTGACAGCCATGGTGTTTTGCTTCAACACGGACTGAATGGTCGGCTCGAAGATGAAAGCGTCGCCCAGAGTTTGGAAGCTAGTGTCAAAGATTGATTTTTCGAAGAAAGACAAGAGATCCGTAACAGAGCATTCCGAGGAGGCAATGTCCAGTGCCTTTTGACCTTCTGCCGTGATGACCTTGCTGATGATAGGGCTCAGCTCGGCACCGTAGGCGCTTTTCTTTGAGAGACCAACAATAGCTGTGGGGAGGAAGCCACTGAAGGCTGTGTCGTCAAGCTGATACATTGTGCCGGTGACGTTCGAGGGAGTCCCACCCTGCACCCAGCCCTTGATGTTCAGCTCTGATGCGTACTTGGGCTGCAAAGAGGCTGCCCAGCCGGTAGCGATGGAACCGCCTGAATAGCCAATGCCGACAACCATGGGGTTATCGGTGAGACCCAAGGTCTTGAAGCTCTTCACGGCACGCATACCATCCAATACACCCATGCCTGCGAGGCGACCAGGTCCAAAGGCAGCATCGGGTCCCTCATAGTCGGGAGAAGCGACGGTATAGCCAAGAGCAAGGTAGATTTCAACGATCAACAGCTCGACTGAAGAGATCAAGTTGTTCTGTGGCGAACCGAGCTGGTAGCCATAGCTAGGCTGGCATTTCGTCGCAGAGCTGTCGTAGGCCGTGGCGAAGGAAACGAAACGATCGAGCTTAGCCTTCTTCGGCTTGAACACCGTGGTCACTGTTGCAATGGCCGAGCCATCGATTGCAGTCGTGCGGTAAAGCAGCTGGTAGGCTTCCACGTCAACCGGGACGAGGCCGAAGAACGCGGCATTGACCTTGCGTTGGCTCAGGATTGTCCCAGGCGCCGCGGATTCGAAGCCAGCAGGCGGCTGATAGAACGGATCAGCGTCCGGAGCCAGGACTGTACTGCGAGCGACGGGAGGCGCAGGCAGTGCTGAGGCAATTGGCGTGAATGCCATCAGGCCAACAAGGGCAAGGCGCATCATGCGCGCAAGGGACAATGCCATTTTCTTGCTCTATGTATGAGAGTCGAGGCTGGGATGCTGCTGCTGCATGGGAAAACGGAGGCCGATCTTCACATTATATACTTAGATCTAAACATGATATGTCTCATCCCGTGAATGTGATTCATATCTATTACCGAGGCTGGTGAATAGGGCGACGATCATTCCCTGACCCCCGAGGATGGGGAGTTACCTATTCAGGCCAAGACATAGTCTGTCTGATGCCCTGTATATCCTCCTGTTGATATGTTAGTTCTATATCTTTTGCCCGCAGAATGAACACATGAATTCAGCAGATCGATCTGCGAACAGGCCTATCAGATAGACTCATCTCTTTACCTCTTTTCTTCTCAACATTTGAATGATAGTTGAAGTTCAGCATATTTTCAAAATGATCGGCAGCCAGCCCCGCACAAAGTTCATTTCTTTCCGTCTGACCCGTAGACAGTATACTATGCAATATCCCGAGGATATTCCGAGGCTGATTGGTGAGACATTTTATCGGAGAAAGCCCCTTCTGCAATGAATACGTGGATACGCGGATCAGAATAAGCACATCTATTCCCGTATTCCGTATAGTATACCCAAACGGCTGTGCACGGGTGGTCTAATCCGATATTTTCTTAGCGTTACCCCTCATTATGCGGATACTTTGCAAGAAGCAGGTACTTGCATAAACTGTCGTAAAACTTTGTATTGGCGCTCCACATGAAAGGGCTTGGGTTGCATTCTTCGGCTTCGTGTTAATATAGAACATTCAGAGGCAGATGACCACTTCCCTTTTTGGTAAGGGCGATGCCTAGTCAGAAGTGTAAGTTGGAAGGGGATATAAGACCGATTGGTAGAAGCAGAGAGAAGAGAGGATATGTTGCTCATCATGATCTAAGGATGTAGTTTATAATGTACTATAAGTTATATCTGGGTGTCTGAGGTCCTTTTGGTCTTTCTCATGGTTTCTTCCCTCTATATTTCTTATTTACTTAGATCCCAGAATCATGGATGGCTCCGGGGATACGCTAGTTTCGACCCACAATTGATCATCCCGGGCAGCTCTTCTAGAACTGCAGTTAGGTTCAGGCACCGTTTAAGCTCTTTTGTCAGCTCTACACCAATTTGTGATCTCGCCAAGCTTCAGCACTTTGTCTAAGTTTACTAGATTGCGCAACAGGGTTTAGTTGCTTGAAATCAGCTGCTTTTCTCTAGATTTTGGAAGAACTGCAGAGCCCGAAGCCGACTTTTTAACATAGAGTGGATCACTTACGTTGCATAATCTCCGACGGTGATCCGGATTTTCGGCTTGATCGGTGTGAGAAAGTTTGCTGATATTATCGATAGCTAGCCCATGCCATGAAGCCTGCTGAGATAGGCCGATGTTCCACCTTCGTGAGGCTTACGAGTTTTAACGCCGTGCAGTCATGTCAGCGCAAACCCAATAACCAATGCTAACGGTGACCTCGGGATACCATCACGATCACTAACCATCTATTACTCTGGTATCTTCCCCGCTAGATCCACGTTGGGCTTCATTCGTTGCTCAATTTGGAAGTATACCTCCAGCTGTGATAGATCATGGCTAATAGGAAAATACGGGCTCCTTCATATATCTATTAAAAAACTGTAATATCATAACATGGGGCTGTGGCGCAACGGTAGCGCGTGCGACTCCAGTTCGCAAGGTTATCCGTTCAAATCGGGTCAGCCTCATTTTTTTCTTCATTGAAGATAGATAGATTACTTATAAGGCTTACAAAAAAGAAGAGTAGACATACGTGCGGCCTTGTGATGTTTTTAGTAGTAATTTTTAGTGGTTTTTTTAGTGGTCTCAGATATTCTCTTTACAACAGATAGATGTCTGAGATATTTTCTCCGCCTTCTCATCAGTTTTATAGCTAGACAGCAGAAAAAGGCGGAAACAAAAGCATACTTTGTGCAAGAGACTTTCCTATGTATAAATTTTGACAAGAGTAGAGGGCCGCAGATGCGGCCTTGTGATGTCTTTTTAGTAGTCTTTATAGTAGTCTTCTTGCAACATGGATGTCTCTAAGATATTTTCTCCCCCTGCTCAGTTGTGTAGATAGAGAGCAGAAAAAGGCGGAAGCAAAAGCATACTTTGGGGTTAAGACTTTTCTATGTATAACCTTTGATTAAAATAGTAGCTATCCTTCAAAGGACATCAGTATTCAGCCTGAAGGCTGGATGGTTGGTGTCTCACACGCAAAGCGCCAACATACAGACGTAGTCTCTGGAACACATTTTGTTGATAAAGATCTCCCAGGATCCTTACGGTTAAAACCCCATCTTAGATGAGTTGTAGAATCACTGATCAGTAACCATTTTCAGCAGCTGATTTACTACATACCCTTTGAATCTAAACTTAGATACAATGAAACGGTCTCTTTATTGATAGAAACGGTTATTGTGGCAGCGAAAGTTCTTTGAGCTTTCCCACTTTATTCCATTCAATCAAAACATCACAGGTCAGATGTTACTACATAAACCCCTTCCCCCTTCAGACTGATAAAACTTGGCGTCATCAATAGCCTCTTCTCTTGAAAGAGAATAGAATATCCAGAAGAACGCAGGCCTCTCCCGCTGAAAGTTAGTTCTCAACTCTATCCACTCTACTAACCGGCGAAATGCGTGTGCAGGCAAGTCCCTTCGTAACCCGCAAGCACCATGTTCCGGATCCTCGTGATGGAGAGGGTTATTGCTGGGTCAGTGTTATACTCTCACCGGAGGCGAGGAATGGTACCCATAGTGATGCAGAGATTATGCTCTTTGTAATCCAGAAGTGTAAAGCTGGTCAAACCGCCCTGACCCACCAACCACTGCATGGGCTGGGGGACCATTGTATCTCGTTGCCAGTCAAATGGAACACACCTAGACAGAATCTGCGCACAGTTCGGGAGCAGGCTGCGGCTCTCGCATCATGGTGGTTTGTGCAAATTCACCAAAAGAGGGTTACCATTGACCAGGAGATGACTTTTGATGACCGTACCACAGGAGGATTCAAAAACATGTTGGATGTGATCCCGCCCAAGTGGGAAAAGCCCAAGTATTCAAATTAAAGCAAATATTCTGCGAATTGTTGTTATGGCAAACCCATCATTCGTTCTGTCAGTGCATTTGAGAGAGCCTAGCAAACTGGAAGATATGAAGAGGCTCTGCATTGATTGGTTTTAGTCAATAAAGTTAATAGATCAATGAATCGAATAATCTGAATTAATTACAGAGTTGAAAGATGCAAGAAGTAGTTGCATGGACTTGTATATATAGTCCCGAGGTCACTCCTATGTTGTAGGTGATTTGAACATAAAAAGACTTTCTCTAGGGCCGGTAGCTCACCCCTCCTGGTGAGGTAGATGTCCTAGTAGTCTAGACACATGTTTGAAAGCGCACAGAAGCAAGATTGAATGGTATGTATAGCAAGGATCCTTAGAATGCAATTTGATGAGATGTGATTGCTAACCTTATACAGATGCGGATACAGAGTCAAAGAACAACAACAATGATACTCTATTGAAATTGCCAGTTTAAATGGCCGATGAAGAGGATGGGATTGAGATTATTGAACTGTTTTTGGAATATAGCCCTGATCCTTACCCCATCCCTATCTTTCTCCTTCCCTCATCTCTGTCTCCTTCTCCTTCTGCCCTTCTCGCCGTTTCATTCATTCAGTAGATATTCTAGGATTAACCTTCTAACTTTTACCCATCTTCACTCGCTACCGCTATGGTCGCTATGTCTATCCTAAGGCTGCCTGGCCAAGGGCTCGGTGACCCAATGCTGCTGGACAAGATCGACCAGCTCCTAGCTTGTAGCCTTGGTGAATATGTCAACTTGCCCCAGCTTGTCGTCGTGGGGGACCAGTCCAGTGGCAAAAGCTCTGTGCTTGAGGGTCTTACAAGATTGTCGTTCCCCAGAGATAGTGGGCTGTGCACTCGGTTTGCTACTCAAATCACCTTCCGGCGGATCAAGGCGGACACAGAGAGGACTATCAGTGCCTTCATCGTTCCAGCACATGATAAAGACCCGGGGCACACTGCTCGTTTGGCAGCATGGAGAGGAATCAATATGGAGTCACTCGACTCCGAATCCTTCGCTGAAACAATACGTGAAGTAGGCTCCCCTGCTCGAGCAAATTATCATTAGGCCTTTTGTAATGGCTAGTTACTACAGGTTCACCAGACCATGGGTTTAGAACCTGATGACATTGAATGACAAGTTTCATGAGAAGCTTGAGGAAACTCAAAAGAAAAAGTATATTGGACTAATTAATCCATTCGATCTATGGGTTATACATACTGACATCCTTCTACTAGCCACCGGGAGAAGTACGAGTCCACAGAAAACGAGGCCAAAGCTCCAACGAGTAACACCGAACGGACCGTCCGTTACATCCATGACATTCTGGCAGCCTACTACGAGGTCGCATCCAAGCGTTTTGTTGATAAAATCTGCATGCAAGCCACCGGCTACTGTCTGCTCACCGGACCATACAAGCCGTTTGGACTTTTCTCTCCCCAGTTTGTTGCGAATTTGACGGAAGATCAGTTAATGGAGATTGCGGGGGAGAATGCGGCGCTGGGTAGGCAACGTGCGCAGCTGAAGAAAGGGATCAAGGACCTGGAAACTGGTCGGAAGATTATGATGTAGGTCTGTGTGATAGGTTGCAGGCAATTCTACAAATGAAAATGTCATAAGCATCCTATCAGTTCCCCACGGGCCCTAAATGATCCTCGCCTCTCGTCCACATGGAGGGACGTGCGCGTCGTTATTGGTCAGATGAATTTCACAGTAGACGATAACGTCCATGTAGGCACATAATACGGAGTATAGGTAGTATGGTCTCTTTCCCCCAACTTGCCCTTGAAAAGATATATTCTACTTTGGAAGCCAAAAAGAAATGATAAGCCGTAGAAGTTTGTAGTCTATAGACTTTTAAATCTCTATATTATTGACCTCGGGAAATCCTACTCTCGATAAGTACCTGTTTTGGGTATTTTCTCTATACTTGGTTGTGAAATTTGTGTTGAAGTACCAAGTACTTCATTAAACGCATGCTTTGATATATAGTTCAATGAGTTCGAAATGACCCGAAGTCTCCGATATAGATGTATCGGATATGTACATGTATGTGCTTTTTACCCCCATGTCGTTGTAGTCAACTGTACGGGCGGACCCATCCACGGATGACATCGAGGGCAAACCGGGCTTCTGATAAGTGCGACCCCAGGACACCTTGCTTTTTCCAACCTGGGAATCTCGAGACATACATCTTCCAACTCCCCGTCAAATACCCCTTGTTCCTCTTCACAAATTTCAAGTTCCCCCGCCAAATAACCACTTTCCCCACACGCGCATACTCCGAGCCCACAATCGATTTCGCGTCAAATCCGCTTCCGAAAATTTGTGACACTGAGATCGAGATCGCGTCGACCTATATAGCGTCGGCAATTCTTATCCTTTCTCCTTGAACCGGAGCTCTCTTATCACCCAGCTTCCCCGTCGCGGTTCACCCCACTGTGGTGACGGCGACGCTCAGCTTGGGTCTGATAAGAGATTCGGCGCGTCGACCACTCCGGGCACATGAGTAACAGACTTTGGGAGTGTTTCATTCAAGATGATGTCGAGCGGTTCCAGCGGTTCCTGGCGAACGCGACGTTCGCGGGGCCGCGAGCTGCAGGAGGCTCTGGGGGTTCCTCCGGGGCTGCGACAAACCTGTCATCGAAGGCTGGAAGCCCCGGGTCCATGATTGCTTCGTCTCCGAATCCACCGAGAAGTAAGAAGAATCTTGAGTCATCACCTGGGACCTCCGTGCCTGACCGGGTGGCCTTCCCGCGCGGGAGCGCGACTTTGTCGCGCGCCGATGTTAATGCCCGCGATCATTACGGCCGTACCCTACTGCATCATGTCGCCTCGTCCTCGAAACCTACCGCCTTGAAATTCGCACGCGCTTTGTTGGAAGTTCCGTTCGTCGATATCTATGTGCAGGATTGGGAGAGTGGATGGACGGCTCTGCATAGGGCTCTTTACACCGGTAACGCCACAATTGCTCTGGCGCTCATGGTGCGCGACGTGCAGGACATGACGGATTTCAGTAAAGGTGGAAATACGAGCCATCCGAGTGGTGGTCTGATCAAGATCAAGGACCGTGAGGGCTGCAGTCCCTTTGATGTCTTCGGGGCGACTATTAGAGCCCGCGACATTAAGCATCTCTCTGAAAACTGGCCGACCCCAGATCTTGGTGACGATGCTCTGGGAAGTGATGTTGCTTCCAACGCTGCTGCCTCAAACTTTGGAGATGACGGAGAGGATGGGCCTTACGCTCTTAGAAGTGCCCTGAAAGGGGCCGTGGATATTTCCGCCGATGAAATCTTCACACTAGGAAGCAACAAAAACTTGAACCTTGGTCTAGGGGACCAGGATGACAGACAATTCCCTGAGCGAATCGTGTTGAAGCGCCCCGAACATCTTTTGCATCGATTTTACCGTGAATACCAAGCGAAATTGGAACACCTAGGGCTTGAGGATAGCGTCCCCAAGATCAAACCGACCGAGCTGCCTACTTTGATCACAAACAAGCCAATGAAGTTCCAAGACATTATCATGTCCAAACTACATACCGCCATCATCACAGATGATCCCGAGGCTAATCTCTTCATGTGTGGATTTGGACCTGGAGGGCGCCTAGGAACAGGAGATGAGTCGACACGTTTCACCTTTGTTTGTATTGAAACGGGTGGATTAGAGGGGAAGAAAGTTGTATCGGCTGCTCTGGGTCAAGATCATAGCCTGGCAATTACCGAGCAGGGTGAGATTTTCAGCTGGGGAAGCAACAAGTTCGGACAACTTGGCTATGGCCTGCCGAGGACTAGCAACAAAAACGATATTCCCATCCAGACGACTCCTCGCCAGATCTTCAATCCGTTCAAGAAAGAAACGATCATAGGTGCAGCAGCGTCGTCTATCCACTCGGTGGTCTTCAGTACCTCAGGCCTCTATACGTTTGGCAAGAATGAAGGTCAGCTTGGCTTGGTCGATTCGGATGCTCGTTCGCTTGAAGTACAAACGACACCACGGCGCGTTGGAGCATCCCTTTTCAATTGTCCAATTAAGATGGTGGCCGCCATTGACCGTGCTACTACCGTGCTTCTGCAAAACAACGAAGTCTGGGTTTTCTCGTCATATGGTTATTCAAAGCTTTCATTCCCTCTGGAGGTGAGCTCGAGATTTATCAGGGATAGCTTTATGGTAACCAGGTACGACAAGGCTGCGAATCGCGTCGTCAAGATTGTATGTGGGGGCAACACTATATGTGCATTATCCAGCTCCGGTGATGTGTTCACTGTTCAAGCCAACCAGTCCGATAATTCTTCGGCTTTGACGTCTACAACCAATCCTGCAAAGATTCGGAATTCGTTAGCCACCCCTGTTCGAGCATGGTCCGTTAAGAAATCATACATGGCAGCGAGCGATGTTGATGTTGGACAAGACGGTTCGATCATCATCTGTACAACATCTGGATCTGCATGGAGAAAAGAACGGCGGACAAAGAACAAGGAGGGAGCCTCGAAAGATTACAAGTTTGCCCGCATACCTGGTCTCTCACGGGCAGTGGCAGTGCGCAGCAATGCCTTCGGGGCTTACGCTGTCGCTCAACGTGACTGTGAAGTGACTAGAGAACAAATTCATGTCGAGCACAGCAGCCTTTGGGATGATATGTTGCCATTGTCCCCATTCGCAATGCCAGGTCTGGAAGAGTTAGACTCGATCCTCGATGATGACGCTCAGAATATCCCTCTTATACTTTCCGCCGGAAAAAGTATCCAAAGAGCCATACTTTCATCCCCAGATATTGAAAGCCAATTTCTTTCTGTATGGACCGAGGGAACTGTTTGGGTGACCAGCTCTCTATCCGACTCTGCCATTCCTGTGCATGAGTTTCTTATAGCTGGCCGTATTCCAGTTTTAGGAAAGGCGTTGGTCGAGTTTCGGCAATCATATTATTCGTCCGTCCCAGACGTCTTTGAGATCGAATACGGGAAGGACGGACATCCCCAGATCTGCCTTCAAGGGGTTGATTTCTTGACCGTTATGAATGTGGTGTTTTTCCTTTACACAGACGGCATTCTCGATGTCTGGCGCCTAGCAAGGAGCTCGCCCGCAAACTCGGCCCGTTTTCGGCAGGTTCGCACTGAAGTTATGCGAGTTTCTACTCAAATAGGCCTGCCAGCGCTGGAGCGGGCAGCACGACTGATGGTTGAGCCGCAAAGAAGCCTGAAAATGGATATGGCTCATGCCATCAATCACCCATTCTTATTTGACAGCGCGGACGTGGTTGTACAGCTCAAAGGAGATACAATCAGAGTGCACAGCCAAGTCGTGTGCCAGAGATGCCCGTTCTTTGACACTCTTTTCCATGGCTATGCGGGTGGGAGATGGCTAGATTCGCGTAAAGTGGACCCAAACCAGAATGTGCATGTCGACCTAAAGCACATTGATCGCTCTACATTTGAATTTGTCCTGCGTTACCTGTATGCCGATACAGAAGAACGGCTGTTTGATGAAGTCCGGACCAATGATCTCGATGACTTCATTGATTTGCTTCTGGATGTAATGTTCGTGGCAAATGAGTTGATGATCGACCGGCTATCTCAAGTGTGTCAGAAGATGCTCGGTCGTTTTGTCACTACACGCAACGTGTGCTATTTGCTCAATTCCATCGCCCCTTGTTGCGTCACAGAGTTCAAGGATGCTGCCCTGGAATATATCTGTCTCAATCTCGAGGCCATGCTCGCCAATAGATATCTCGAAGATTTGGATACTACTCTCCTTTGGGAGTTGGATCTGATCTGCCGCGAGAATCAGTTAGCATGCTGGCCCATCTCCCGTGGGCGCAATTCTGAGGAGTATGTCTTCGAGAAATACCCCGAAATTGTCAGCTCCGTGGAAGCAGATAAGCAACGAAGGATCGATGCCATGGCTTTGCAGTCCCGCCTTGGTCGTCTCGAACCTTATGATGCGCGAGCCCGACCAACGCCTAACGAGAAGGTCACTTCATCTCCGTCTGTACGCAAAGCGAAGACCAGTGTATCTGGAGAATCACCAAACGTTGGTAGTAGCCCAATGCTGAAGCCGAGGCAGTCGGCTGGGGATCTAATGTTTCAAATGGACGATGAAACCCTTATGTCGCCAAGTGCTTCGAAAGGCAAGGGTGCTATGCGTGGACTTCGGTTCACTGAAGGCATACCTGAAAATCGATCATACCCTGACTCCCCGGCTTTGGGGGCAAGCGTCCCAGAGACCGAGTCCTTGGGCGATCGCAGTTTCTTGAAGAATCAGATGTCTTCTCCACAAGACCCACTCCTAGCACAGTCCCCGTCTGAGTCCAGGGCAATCGCTCGAAACCAGAAACAAGCTCTAGCATCATCATCTAATCCCTCTTCTGCGCCATGGACCTCGCCAATGATTTCGAGTTCCAAGAAGGATATCAAAGACATCATAGGAGAAGCGTTGCAGTCCCGGGTATCAAACCTCACGCTGGGCATGGCAGATCGACGCGAAAGCAGCGGTAGCTTTGTACCCAAAATCTCTCAGAAGGAACGAAAGAAGCTTCAGCAACAACAGATACAAGAGCAGATGGCTGCCCAACAGAAGGTGAAGGATACACCACAGAACCCCTGGCAGAAGCCAGTACCTTCCTCTCCAGCGTCGCTTCCTCAACTCGGTCCTCTGCCAGGTCAAAGCGTGCCAGCTTCCGATGCTGTTAAATCACCTCCAAAGTCCATGACTATGCGGCAGACTGTGGCTGGCACCCCGCCGCCAAAGTCAAAGCCAGTGGCTACACCTATGCAAACACCACGTCGCAGTGTGTCAAGCAACCCGCGACCCTCTTCTCATTCAAAACCTTCCACGCCGGGACCTTCGACAATAACCCATAACAATCAACCAACATCACCACAGCCAGCCATTCAGTCAATTCGTCACATCCCACGTCCTGACCCAATAGGATCAGGTTCTCCATCTGGCTCATACTCTCTGTCGACCATTTTGCTCCAGCAACAGACCGAAAAGGAAGCGATCCGTGAAGCAGCCACAGCCAAGCATAAAATGCAAGAGATCCAGGCCGAGCAGGAGTTCCAGCAATGGTGGGATCAAGAAAGCAAGCGTGTGCAAGGACTGGTAGACCCCGAGCCAAATGAACCGAGCCCTGGAAAGGGCAGACGAGGTGGCAAGGCGCCTGGTGCTGACGGTGGCCCGCGAAAGCGTCGAGGCAACAAGAATACCGGCGATGGACCTGTTCCCCAAGATCACAGACGCGTATCGGCTCCAAGCTCTGGGCATACAACGCCCAAGACGAATCCGATTGGCCAGACCCCAGCCCAGGCTAAAAAAACCCCGAATAAAAATCGGGCTGGAGGGGTCCCTGGCAATGCTAATGGTCGTCGTGGAGGCGGTAATCAACGCGGTAGGGGCAAGAATGATGCATAAAAACGTGGGAAGAATGCATTCATTCTCTCGTTAGCTTTTCTTCTGTGGTTTCATATTTCAGGTCTGGGGATACTTTCTCTTGTAAACTTTCGGCTTCCATTCAATTTCCACCGAACTATGATTGCTTGAACTACAGTATCCGCGGTTCTTTGGGATCTCCCACCATCTGCGCATATCCATTGCACTTATTCACATGTTCAGTCTTCTTGTTTATCAATTTAGAATCTGTTTGGGCGAATTTGGCGTCTGATAGAAGTGCTGGTCACTTTTAAAGACCAGTATAGAGCGTGATAGACTGTCTGTGATTGATACACTACTTTCTCGTAAACTTATCGACTTGTCTCTTTCAAGATACAAACCTTTAGACGCCTTTTTCAGAATCAAAGCTAAGACTAACAATGTTCAGTTTCCAGCCCTATGAACGGACTTCCCATCGCACAGTCGCCGGCTGCATAGGACGTGAAAAGAGAGACTAGAAAGAAGTCAGTCACATATCCTCATCAACGCAAGCCAAAAGAACCAAAAGACTTACCGAGTAATCCGTGTCTGGCACTCCCTCCCTCCCCTCAGGATTGAAAAACTTGAACTCCCTCACAAGCGTGGCAACAATAACCTCCAAATTAAGATACGCAAACTTCTCCCCGATACAACGATGTCTACCGGCCCCGAACGGCAAGTACGGACTGCGCGTTCCCTTGGAGACAGCCCCGTACCCGTAATCCACCGTATCGGAAGAATCCTCAACCTCAACTCGACTCTCCCAGCGATGAGGATCCCATCGCAACGGATCACGGAAATGACGCTCATCCCGTGCCGTAACGCCAGGCGAAGAGAGTAGCGTGTGCGACGGCGGAACAACAAAGTTTGTCCCAGGCACCGGCATCGGATTCTTCACTTTCCGCATAAGCGTATGGATAGACGAGTGGATACGCAACGTCTCTTTGATCACGTTGCGGTGCAGCGGAAGTTTCTCCATGTCCTTGTACTGCAGCGGCGGGAGATCAGCACCCAAGTTCTGGATCTGTTCGGCGTACAACTTCTCCGTCATCTCGGGCTGCGAGGCGAGTCGGAGAAGGATCCAGCAGCTAATTGCGGACGACGAGTGTTGGCCCGCCATCAGCAGTGTGATCATCATATGAGCGATCTCCTTGTCTGGGATTGGAGTTCCGTTGCGGTACACGCAGCCCATTAGGTTCGAGATCATGTCTGTGCCTTTGGTCTTATCCCTGCCGTTGACGTTGTTTGATTCTCCGGCTTCCCGTCGCGCTTGGATAATTTCCAGATAAATCTCGCGCATACGCCCGTGGGCTCTATCTCGCTTGCGATTGTTGGGTAGCGGTGCCCAGGGGAGCATGAAGTTTATTGGGGTGAAACCGAGGTCGAGGTCGTGGAAGAGCTCGGCGAACTCGGAGGTCAGTTTTGAGCGTACTTCTTCGCCTTGGAGAGTGCGGGCTGCTGTGAAGACGGTTATCTCGGCCATGGCGGCGGCGAGATCAATGGTACCGGATTGACCCTTGAAGTTGGGGGATGATTTGATGTAGCCGCTTGTTTCGTCGGCGATCAGGGGGACATAGGATTCTAGGGCTTCTTGGCTTAGGCCGTATTTGATAAACTAGTTTAGGAGACTTGGGTATTAGCTCTGGATATGGGATGTGTGATGAATGGTCAGAAGCAGGTATACCTTCTTTTGCTCCATGAGTTTGGAGTTGGGACAGTCGTAGACAACATCAGATCCGAAGACGGGCGTCGTTAGCTTGCCGTAAACTTCTTCGGCGTTGACATCCTTCAACTTTCCATTGAGAATGAACTCATTGCCCTCAACCCCGAGGTATACGGTTGTTTTCTTGCCTAGCAGAATGAAGGTGAAGATGTCGCCGTACTATTCTCGTTAGGTGTTGTCACTTTGGAAGCATCAAGAGCTACAAGATATACACACCTTGGCACGAGAAGCGAAGAAGAACTGGTAGGGATCCATGCCATAGGCGACTGTACTTCCAATGAAAGGAACCCAGTGAAATACAACAGGTGGCTCATTTCTATTGTAGAAGATAAGTTGGTTGATCACATTTAGCACGATTGAAACCAGAACAAGTCCAGTTGTGTAGTATGCGATGCGCAGGATCTGACTTGCTACCAATGATACGAGATCCATAGTTGAAGATAAACAAAAGTAGCAGTTTGTATATGAGGTATGAGGCCATATATAGTTAGGGTTAGGACAAATCAAGGGGCCATGATTGGCGCTTAATCATCAGGTCAGGCCATCTCCACCCCTGCCCCGGATGTATAGCAGCCGGGACCCTGGGGCCACTGCCAGACGATTTTTTCTTTCTTTTTTCTTTCTTTTTTCGTTAAATCCACAATGGAAATTGTCATGTGTCTAGCCTTACCTACGACTAAGTGTGCTGGACATAAATCTCTTGGATTACTGCCTGACTAGAAGCTATCACCTTCTCGAAGTATATATGCCATTTCTAATTGTATTTGTATACTACACAGATAGATATTTGCGAATATGAATAATATGAATTGTATAATTTTAGTTTGTACCTACTTGGCCAGCTTATTCTTTTGATGCAAATTGTGTTGATTGCGCAAGCTCACCCTTACGGCAATCACTCTACCTTCCCTATAGGCGTGGAGGAAAACTTCCATCCTATCGTTGTAAGAGCTAGTGGGGCTTAATTTACGGCCCTGCTAAGTTCTGGTAGAATTCGGGTGCACACGAGCTACTTGAAGCATTAGGATCTGAATGAATAGGATACCACTATACCTCAATCGTGTTTCTAACCAAAGTGGTGCAATAGATAGCACTGCAAAGAAGTGCTGCGATGCCCTGTTCTTGACTAACCCTTTGATCGACCAAGAGAAACTCAAGAGCTTCAAAGGAAGTCCTGTCGAGGGAACTGGAAAGTGGATCAATTCACATGAAATCTACCGCTCGTGGAGAGAGCGTGATAAATCATCGTTCTGCATAATTGGTGCTCCTGGCATAGGGAAGACGATGCTCTCCATTTATTTGACCGAGCTCCTTGTCATGCTCAAGGACTCCTTGAGCAGAACACGAAGCACAACCGAAATGAGGATGTGATCTATTTTTTTCTGCCTTCATGGAGATCTTGAACGCAACAACGCATGTTCAATCCTCCGAGGACTGCTTTATCAAATCCTCAAAAAGCGCCCCGAGCTGGGGTCATACGTTTGGCTTAATTTCGACGGCGGTGCAATAGCAAAGCTGACTCTGGACACTCCGGAAGGTCTCTGGCTTATTTTTCAGGCTCTCAAGAATCACTCTCTTGGCAACTTTTTTTGCGTACTTGATGGACTCGATGAGTGTGGTGACAATGCGAGCGCATTTCTGCTACCCAGATTCAGGGATTTGTTCAAGTCAACGAGGCTGACAAACTTGAAATTGGCAATCGTCAGTCGACCTTTGCCCGCCTTGAGCTTGATGCCCGCTATCAATCTGAATCTGAATCATGGCGAACAGGTGAATCGGTATGTTCGAACTTTTATACACTCTAAAATGGATGATCTGTGTTGTGCCCATGACTTCGATCTTAAAACCCGGGAAAGGATCGAGATTCACTTGCTGCGGAGTGCCGAAGGCAGCTTCCTGTGGGTGGGATTTGTGGTCAATGAGATGATGACATTGGAAACTCACACCGAGATTCTTGATACAATGAAGAGGATCCCGAGGGGACTGCCTGAGATGTACAGCCGAATACTCGCCCAAATCAAACAGAAGCACCAGAAGTTCGTACCGATAGTGGTGACTCTCCTCCACTGGCTCGCCGTTTCCACAAAGTCACTGAGTCCTAGCGAACTCCTCGCTGTGCTGGCTCATGACAAGATAGTCATAGGACTGAAAACAATTCAAGATCTGATCAAGATCTGTGGCGGGTTTCTTCAAATATACAGCAATGACAAGTACGGTCGTTCTGGCAATGTCACACTAGTTCATCAGTCTGCAAAGGAATATCTCGCGACCAACTCCGACCCCGAATTGGAAGAGTTCTGGTTTGCTGAAGATCTAGCACACTTTTACATTGCCAATAGATGCCTCGAGCGTCTCGAGTCGATCCCTGATTTAGGATATAGGGCGACAAATCTCCTATCAGATTCCTCGAGATGGACGATGAGTTTATTTTTAGGATATTTTCCAGGAAGACACCCAAAGAACTTTTCATCAACAATCCAAAATTTCCCCCCTGATCAGGCTGAGCTGGTATGCTACACATTTAGGTACTGGTATAGGCATGCCCGCCATTGCGGTAAAGATGCAAGAGCAATGTTCAGGAATAATTAGGCATTCTTTGCTGCTGATAACTCTACCCTGGGACTATTTTGGCTCATTGTGGGGTTCGACTACATCCCAAAGAATGTAGAGGGTTTAGATCCGAAGCCTAAGCCAGGAATCCAAAATCGAACGTTGGAAATACACGTTGCCTCGGTGGTTGGGAATATCCCTTGGCTTGAGAGCCTCATTGAGGAGAGCTCAGACCCTTCCAGCTTGTGAACAGCGCGGACCACTTCAATATGACTCCCTTGCAATATGCCGGACTGTATGGTTAGAAGAGTTAGTCGGCCTTCTCAAAAATCATGCCACCGACAGAACACAATATGGACGAGCAATATGGTTTGCTAATACCATGGACCAAACGAATATTGCTCGTATGCTGATCAAGCATGTTGGCAACTTTGACGACTTTGACACCCATGTTGACCGATGAAGATTTGATAGCACGGCTATCATGGTGATCCAATAGGCGAAAGTCAACTTCTACCTCCCCTATTCTCGAAACCATTGGGAAACGCTATTCCGAGGTCGTGCAAACATTGTTCAAGTAAACAGAAATGCGAACCTCCAGGCCAACCCGAATATTGCCAACCTACTTCTCGACGCTGGTGCCGACGAGAATGGCGATGACCAAGGGAAAACGGTCCACTTGTTGACCATGTGCTGGCACAAGGGGATGAAAATCTGCTGCGCATTAAAGATATCAACACTCCGCGAGACGATTCGGGCATCTGCAGGACAATCATGGTAGAACCGTTCTATCTCGGGCAGTTTACCCCCCAAACAAGAATGCTGTCAAGCTGCTCTCGTTTGCGCTTCAAGTAAATGTTTAGTACCAACAGGAATATCGCTCTACATGTAACGGAACTCTACGCCAACCATTTTAGCTAGACGATTTCGGCATTTGATCGACTGCACGCGGCGTCCTTGCGAGTAAAGAGTCGTCGAAGTTCAGCGCAACAACACTGGCAAACGGCGACCAACTATCTTTTGACGTTGTACGATTGTTCGTGATCTATGACGGTGCTTCTATGGGGGTGAAGAGATGGGCTAGAGAAACTCTACTGGAAGTAGAGAGCATAGTGGATTGTGATTACCATGTAAATGCGTGGCATTGGCTACTCATATCAACATAAAAGTGCAGTGCAGAGCGAAAAGAACAAAGATAAATCATGTTCAACCTGATCGCTGGAATGAAAAAAAAAAAAACCAGAATGCGAACGCCGAACCATAGAGCTCACCATCATAAACATAAGGAGGTTGAGGGGGAAAAAGTGAAAATTCATAAATTAGCCAGGCATGGCGACCTCCCGGCTCTCCCACATCCGGCGGATCAGCATGGCGCTGTCGTTAATCTGGAATGCTTCGTCATTGTCACCACTCAGGTCACGCGGAGCTTCGGCCGAAGTGGAGAGGATGCGATGAGACGGATCGTTGGACTTGGCAGCCTCTGCGGTATTGATAGGTTGGTTGTTTTTCGCTGGATCTTCAGAAGCAGTGGGGGTTGGATTACGCGATTGGGATTTAGATGCAGGGCTGGAGCTGAGGCGATTGGGCCGTTTCCCTTGCTGCAGAAGGGGTAGCGAGGTTGCTGAGGCGACTGGTTTGCCGAGAGCTGATCCTTTCTCCGCTTTGTTGGCTCGAACAATATGACGAAGACGAGCGAAGCTCTGGCCAGTGGGAGACTGGAAACGTCGCACGACCATCAATTCCAGAGATGTCTTCTCGTATGCCTTGCGGATATGACGGGCTTCGCTGTCGTGTCCTGCACCGCCAGCTCGACCGTCGCCGTTGAGCCCCCTGCCGGCGTCATAAGTGCTGTGGCTAGCGGCAATAAACGTTGGGTCAATGGCAGACGGCGGAACTGCTGTGGTCACTCCATGGTTATCAGGAGGGGAGTTATTAAGGGTGGCGGTCCGCTGGAGCCAGAGCTTCTGCTGTGTGCGAGAAGGCAGGTCAGCACCACGCGGCCGTGCAGGAGATGCGGCCAATTTGGCCGCTGCACTGTTCGGAGAGGGCGGTGTTTGAGGGTGGTAGTGCGGGAGGAACGACGAGGGGGTATTTGGGTCTGAATCAGTGCGAGAAGATGCCTGCATGCTATTTTTGTTGTTCAAAATGAACCTCGAGACTCCACCTTCCATAGAGGATGAGGTAGCTTGGGGGTGAGAGCCCGGCATACTGGCCATGCTGGTGGTAGAGAATGTGCGCCGAGCGTTGTCCTGGCCAGCAGCCAGGTTGAGAGATGCGCTACTACGCGATGCAGGATTGGGACCTTTGGCTTCTGGCTTCACCATAGCCGAGATAGAGGACATGGCAGGGGGTGCTTTGGATGGGTGCGTAGGACTTAGCAGGCGGGTTGCTATGTCGCCCTGTTCCGTGTGCTGACTAGACCCCTCAGCCTCTTCTTCCGAGTCCTGCTGTTTAGCTTCCTCATCCTCATCCTCATTTTCATCTAGTTCAGTGCGCTGTCGGACGAACTTGGTGGTGATCGACTCGGGAAGACTGGTCGCTCGAGGCATTTGTGGATATGGTCGCTTGACAAAGGTAAGGTGGTCGACAAGAACGGTACTATTGTCTGCACTGGGATTGGATGGTGCGACCGAGTTGCGCCTCGTACTTTCGGGTGACTGCGTGGTATCTTCCCACTCAGCGTCGTCGGTCTCGTCATCCCCTAACTCAAAGCCGACCGTCTTTTTCTTTACCGTGCTAGAGGGCGGCCGCTCAGTCACCAACGCTTTCTTCCCAACAGCTGATGGATTCCGGCGTAAGACAGGAGTGGAATAGTTTCTCTTCATGGAAGGAGCAGTTGTATGATCATCCACGGCGTTATCCCAGCGAACGCGCCCGCCTTCCTTTGGACTCGCTACTGGAGTTGCGGGGGCCGACTTCTTGCGCTGATGATGCCGCCCAGCAGTCTCGGGACCTAGTTGGAATCGTTGAAGTTTGTTGAAGTTTTTGCCGGTAGAGGGGTTGCGGTGGTGATTGCGACCAACAACATGAGCGCGGTGAGGTTTATGATGTAGAAGTGTCTTCTGCGTGTGAGACAGCGACAGGTCATTAGGATTGGCGGTGCGCGTGACGACTGCATGGGAGGACACCGCACGGCGACCAAGACCGGGGCGCTTGACAGGGGAAGAGGTATTTGAGGCGTTAGAGGTAGGCATGGCGGTAAGCGAAACGCTCCCAGAGGAGCCACAGGCGGGTAATCAGCTGTGCTCACGGAGGCGTAGAATGTGGGGATTGGCCGAGGCAAGTTGGTAAAGAGGTCTCACGGCAGATCGGAGAGCATGCAGGCAAAAAGCAATCAAGACTCAATAGTTGGAAGCCGGGTTACACCGGTTCGCGCCAATAACAAATGAAGAATCAAATGGAATGCGAAAAGAAGAACAGGAGAGAAATCCGGGGCGAATTAGAGAAGTGAAGAAGCGAGAGGGTGATCTCGCTGTCTTCGGCGATTAAGGAGCGGGTAACAATGTGGAATGCCTAAGGCAAACATGTTGCTTCTGGGGAAGGGTTATAAATGGAATATAGGTGGACAGGTTTAGTACATAGTAACAATGATTTCTTTTATAAAAAAAACACCCTTGGGCAGTGCCCCTTTCATGTATACTTGAGATCTCTTCATTCATTCGCTTCAAGCTACATACACATTCAATCTGCTAAAAGGTCTTCAGGTATCATCGGACAAAAAAGAAAAACACACACAAAGATAGAAGGATTAAATAACGCCCAAAGAAATGTAATTATGTTATAGCTCAATCAAGTTTTCCTCCACTGGCCGTGCTGGTTGTTGATAAGGCGGCTGCGAAGTCTCCTGTGCATACGACCCCGGTTGTCCACCATTAATTGAGGGGTAGGCAGACGGCACAGTGTTAGGGGGCTGTTGAGGCTGAGACTCTGGCTGGTAATAGTAAGGCTGAGAAGGGCCAGTTTCCTGCTGATGAAGTGATGGCGCAGTAGGCGGTACAGAATAGCCTGGCGATTGCACATAGCCGGCAGATGCATGTTGCTCGGGCACAGGGGTAGGACCGCTGGGAGGTGCGTTGGCCTGATACTGGGAGTCCCGGCGCATAACGGGCGACGGCTGGTATGCGGGTTCTGCGCCGGGTGGCTTCACTGAGTCCGGGTCGTGCGATCCTGCATAATATTGAGCCGGGGCACTTGGTGCCGGCGTATTGGTATAGTTATTGTGAATGGCGTTGCTAGGTGAAGGTGATCCAAGGGTCGGGTAGGTATTTCCACCCCAATTGTGACCGTGAGGCTCATTTGTGGGGGCTCCATATTGAGGTTGTGATGGGTAGGCGGAATTCTGGACAGCGCTGGGTGGACCTTGAAACCCGTTGCCGTTTATCTGCTGCGGTGCATACATAGTAGGTGGGCGAGAGTTGTCCATTTGATTTCCATAATAGAAGTTCTCGGCTCCACTTTGGACGTTGGGAGCGTGAGCAGGGAACCCTGACTGAAGATTCGGATATTGCGCCGCCCCAGGAACAGCTCCATGGCCAAGGTTATGTTGTGAATAGGCATTCGTCAGACGTTCTTCCAGCATCCGATCATAGTAACGTACAACCGTAGAGAGCTTGGCATGGAGATCCAATAATGTATCTGTGACGATTAGTTTCCAGTTCTATACATAAAAATGGCGAGACAGCTGAACTTACCATGCTTACTCATGGTCTCTCCATAGCTTCGAGCCAGCTTTGGTCGAAGCGCACCAATACTCTCATATAGCTCCTGGATCTGTGGCTCTCTCAGGATTGTGCCCGGCGGCTGATGCTGGAGCCGATCAACCAGTGTAGAGAAGAGATGAATATTCTCAGTTTCAACAGGGGTTAGTTCGTATCGATTTTTAGGCAACGGAGTGGGCGTGCTAGAGGAATCGCGCAAGATAGAACTTGGAGTGGGCACGTTCTTCAATGCGGCCGCATGGTTTTGCTTGTGTTGTTCCATATCACGCAGGGATGCTTCAATCGCAGCCTTGAGATCCGCATCTTCCTCGTCCACATCCTCTGGTGCTGGAGCAGTCTTGGCGGGTTCTGGAGCGTTGCCTGTCTGCGGTACAAACCCAGAAGAACCTTTGCCCTCGGCTTCATCGAGACTCATTTGCAACGCGCGCCGCAGATCGTCATCGAATCCTGTATCCGCTTGACCGGCACGAGGTTCCATTGTGTTAGATTTGCTGATCGAGTTGTTTTTGAATGCGGATCGATCCGAAATTCCTGGTGGCGCAAATGACTTGGAGGTCAATTTGGCATGACATCCATCATCTACTCTGACCGGCTGCAGGATTCCAAGATGTGGTAGAGGAATGGTCTTGCTTGAACACTGAGCATCGAAAACGTTGCCGCAGTTACGGCAGTGGTGTTTGCGATTCATGAAACTGAAGGCAGTCCGACATCGCATGCAGACTTCAGAGTCGATCCACTCTGGAGGCTGAGACAAATTCACAAGTTAGCTTCCGCTTCAGAGCGAAGGTTTTGAGGCACACTCACTGCGCTACTTTCCAGCATACTGCCGCTCATTTCTGTCTTTGGTGGAAACCGATATCCTTCGCTCTGCAACTTGCGATATGTCTCTCCCAAATACATCAAATCCATGCGGCCCTGTGCAGCCATAGCCCAGTTCTGAATAAGTTCCAGTATTTTCCCCTGGACCTCGGCATTAAGGGGAGCGCCTTCGGATTTCAGCAATGAGACAAGGTTATCCATGAATTCCCGAGACGCGATCTCGGCCAGGAAATGTGTGCCTCCGTTTTTGACACACGTATCCGTTAACTAGAGGAGCGAGCTTATCAGCGCCTGTTCTAACTATCATCAACGGGGAGTAATGTTTTACCTTCAGTGTGGCCAGCTGGATGTTGGGATTCCTATTCTCGAGTCGTCGTTTTAAAGACCTCATTCCATCCTTGGGCTGAACGCTCTTTGATCGAACCATATCTGATATTTCTAGGTTGAGGGCAATGTCTTCCCTAGTAGTGAGTTAGCCATATGATAATTCATTTCAGATCAACCCGGTAGCCCCGGTACATATAGGTATGATAACAAGGCGGCAATCAAAACTCACAGAGAGGAAGCTGTTGCCCGCTCGATTTGCTCATCGAGCGGCGAGGTTGAAGAGAACCAGCCTGCCATGGTGAGGACGGAACACCCGATGCGCGTATAATATTAAAGTGACACGGATCAAAGTAGCGTTGCAGAGAGCCAAGACACTTGAATGCAGCAAATATGAAGATCAGGCTGGTAAGTTGGAGGAGGAGCTTCCAGGCACCTCAATAGTGACTAAGCCCCTGGCGTCATAGGCTGGGGGCGGTGAAATACTGTCATCTGATTACCCCAGAGGCATCCCGCATTGTGTTCCTGGATCTGTCCTCTTTACTCTGGTCTTTCGTTATTTGTATTTGTTTATTTGAACTTGATAAATCTCTAGGCGGATTGGTTACGCCAGTGGCCTGCCTCGATTCTCCCCCCTCCCCCCTGATCTTAGACATAACTATGCGCTAAGTCCGCTTATCGCTGCCTGGATCTACCATGTCCTCCGATGCGGCGACCTTGCCATCCCCCCCAAAAATACCACCGTGGAAGGACAGCCGGCGTCCTTGCTCGGTGGGTGACGGCATGAATTCCAGCGGACATGTCAACAGACCAGATTTGTATCCAACGGGCAAGGCCCCTCCCATCCCACCGCGGCGACCTCGGTTCCCCAATATAAAAGACCTGCAAGACCAGGCTGCTGCGTTAAATGTCGATGATACTACACCGGTATGTGCAACACTTGCTGAAAACTGACTGGATTCATTTCTTCTAACAGGGATCATAGCTTAATATTCTCTTGCCAACGGCTGCCGATGCAATCGAAAGGGCAAGGAACCTCGCAGATGACAACTACAACGATAAAGCCTATGTCCAGTACCTTCGAGCCTCTGAGATCACTATCAATCTCATTCCCCATCATCGAGACTATCGAACCGCCAGCCAACGCCCTAATTGGTATAAGGAGTTCGCCGATCTAGTGAAGGCGGTGCGGTCCAAACAAGGCACTATGGATGCGATCAAGCAGGACATCATCGAGGATAATTTGGTCAGTGGCATGCAGCCAACCGGTGTCTTTACATTCAGATCCCCAGAACAAACCTCGGTCACGCCACGAGGCCGTGAGAATCGAGAGTCTGGAACAAACTTAGCTAGAATGCCAAGTCCGACTGAGTATCAGAAAATGCCCGACAAAGAGGCGCATTTGCAAAGATTTTCCAGTCCTCCAGAAGATATGCTTGCGCAACGTTTTGCCAAACTCAGGGCGTCTCCGCCTTCCAACCAGTACCTGCCGGGTGCAAGTACTGCTGGATCGGGAAGCCCAATTATAGGATCTGTAGGGCAGACCCCACTTCATTCGTCGAACGTACCGCTTGGGACATACAGCTCCCCACCGCCAAGACGTCCATTAGGACCTCGCGGTATGGGCTCTTCATCTAGTGTGCCGACCCTTCCAGCGAAGGTTCCGCTTAACACATCGTTACCACGTGCCCCGGACCCGGCATATAGCCCTGTCTTCACCGTTCCATCAAAGCCAACATCCAACCCACCAAGAAGCTCAACGGAGAGCGCACGTTCAGGAAATCCAAGATACTCACAATTCAGCAACTCACCACGTGTCAGTCCAACCCGGGCAGGCTTTGATGACAATCCGTATAGATCTCTGACGCCCAATGGGTTGGATTCGGCGCGAGAGACGCGAAGCAACTCACCCGATTTGCCGTACAGCACAACTATAACTGCACAGAGCCTCCTTGAAAATCTGCGGAAATTCAATGTGCTCCTGATCGATGTTCGGGCCCGAGGCCAGTATGATAATGGTCACGTATATGCAAAATCTATCATCTGCATAGAACCTGTGGTTCTGAAAGAGAACGTGTCGGCGGAAGAACTAGAGGAGCGACTCGTTGTTTCACCGGAGCATGAGCAGGTCTTGTTTGAGAAACGGAACGAATACGACCTTGTGGTTTACTATGATCAAAGCGCCGATTCCGTCAGTTATCTCGCCGGCTCACCGGTGGGGACATCAGCACCCCATTTGAGAGCTCTCTATGATACTCTTTACGAGTTCAATGCATACAAGCCGTTGAAGGCCGGACGGCCTCCAGCCCTCCTGCTTGGTGGATTGGATGCCTGGATTGATCTTTTAGGGCAACAATCCCTTGCGACATCCTCAACCGCTGCTGTCATGAGTTCTCTGCAGGCCAGAAAGCCCATACCTGGACCTGGTAGACCTCTCGGGAGAGTGCCTACCATGGCTAGTGCGAATTCGAGCCTTGAGATCCGAAAAAGACGACTGCGCGAGCTCACTCCTTTGAATTCAAAAGAGTTGTCCGAGTGGATGGAGAAATCCAAAGTCGAGGAGATCGACACTAGCGCCTATGCTGAGGAAGACTCACTGACAGAGGAACCCGAGGAGACTGGACCAAAGCCTTCAAGTCCATTTGTCCACTCATATGAGGCTTTCTTGCGTCGTTTCCCCGAACCGCACGATGTGCAACAGTCCATGACACACGCGACTTCCCGTCCTCCTAGTGCTGCTCCGAATTATGCTGCACATATCTCAGTGGCCCCCTCTCGACCACCCCCTGCTGTGCCCCGTCCCAGCTATAGCGGCGTCTCCGATGGGCGGCACATCCAGCCCCATTTGCAACGTCAGAATTCGGCGAATCAGACAGCCCTGTACACTCCAAGCTCCCGCTTAGATCGCCTCAAACTGCCGCGAACGGGCTTGACCAATTTTGGTGTGACCTGCTACATGAATGCCACAATTCAATGCCTCAGTGCAACGATTTCACTGAGTAGGTTCTTCATCGACAATCGATTTCGTCATTATGTACAAAAAAATTGGAAAGGGTCTCAGGGCGTTATGCCGGGACTTTATGCAAATCTGACCAGGTCGCTATGGAAGAACGATGTCGAAGTCATCATGCCGACCTCATTCCGGAGCTTCTGTGGACGTTTGAATCGAGAATGGGCCATTGACCGGCAGCAAGATGCCAAGGAATTCTTCGATTTTGTGGTAGATTGCCTCCACGAGGATCTCAATATCAACTGGCAGCGAACGCCGCTTCGACCTTTGACCTTTTCAGAGGAGATGCAACGAGAGCGCATGCCGATGACCAAAGTTTCCCGAATTGAATGGGACCGGTACTGCCACCGAGAAGAGTCTTTTATCTCGTCATTATTCGCAGGACAGCATGCCAGTCGACTGCGCTGCACGACATGCCAACAAACATCCACTACCTATGAGGCCTTCTACAGTATCAGCGTTGAAATCCCACCAACCGGTGCCGGTGATATCTATCAGTGTCTCCGTAGCTACTGTCAGGAGGAGATGCTGAGCGGCGACGAGGTCTGGAAGTGCCCACACTGTAAATGCAAGCGAATGGCAACTAAGCAGATCATCATCACGCGAGCGCCCCAGATTCTCGTTGTCCACTTCAAGCGCTTTTCCGCATCCAAGACCCAAAGCGCACGAAAGATTCACACCCCCATCGAATTCCCGCTTTACGGTCTACAGATGGACGATTTTGTGATTGCTCACCCTGCTCCCCCTCCTACGGAGCCTGGTGTACCGCCTGCCACCGGTGCCACGGTCCCACCCTTCACTTACGATGCCTTTGCGGTACTGCGGCATATCGGGTCCTCTATGGGCAGCGGACACTACGTCTCGCTGGTCCGCGATGCGGAGCGGCAGTGCTGGCGGAAGTTTGATGACGAGCGGGCCACGGACTTTAACCCGCGAGATCTTCGGGCGCGGGACCGGTTACAGAATGAGCAGGCGTATATTGTGTTTTATGAGCGAGTTCCAGCGAAATGAGCGTTTTGTCCCGATTCGATAGAGGTATATTATTATATACATAGTATGAATATACAGCCCTCAGGGCTACTTACTATATGCTTACTATATACAAGGATGAAAAGCGGAAGCGGAAAGCGGACACCGACGGCGCTACCCGAGGATTTGGATCCCCGAGGTTATGGTTAACCAGGCAGTGTGATCAGGCAGTTGAGAGGTACAGGTATATGTATCCTTCTATATATATATCCATGCTATATATATTCTAAAATTTAAGTATTAAGGCCAGATATTCTTCATACTCTAATAAGCAACCCCTGATTCGTCAGGATTAGATCCTATCTAACATCAACATATAAGAATGTAGATTCAATTAGACATATTGACATAGTGAAATCAAAAGTACATCCAATGAGAAATTCTCCTTTTCCTCATTTTCCCCCTCTCTTATAAGTCCCCGGGTGTAATTCACGGCATCAAAGTCCCTGAGTACCTGGCCCCACATACACGAGACCGCCCAGCCGCACGTACCAGCGACATGTTGGGGGTTCTTTTTCTTCTTTTTGATACACATCTCTCTTTCTCTCTCTCTCTCTCTCTCTCTCTCTCTCTCTTTCTCTTTTTCTCTAGCTTTTTGGACTTAACATTTCCCTGAAATACGTAAGTTGTTGTCTTTCCTATCTCCAAACATTTCCCGTTTTCTCCTATCGCCAACTCCACTCAACATATCCCCCTCTTCATTTGCCTCTTCACAGAAATCTGACCCCGGTTATATCCTCCAGATACCTCAATTCACAATGTCTGCAACCAAGGAACTCACCCTGCAGGAGGTCGCTGAGCACTCCACCAAGAAGGATCTCTACCTGATCCTCAACGACAAGATCTACGACTGCACCAACTTCGCCAAGGAGCACCCGTACGTTATTTACCCACCGAATTTACCCCAATGCAAGCGAAAGAAGAAGCGAAAGTAAAAGAGGGAAACAAGTGGAAAAATACCACAGCCAACCCGATTATCTTTACTCGTTTCGCGCTTCAACCCACCCCAGATTTAAATCCCAGAACCAACCCGCTAATCAATTTTACAGCGGTGGTGAGGAAGTCCTCCTCGATCTCGCCGGCCAAGACTGCACCGAAGCCTTCGACGATGTCGGCCACAGCGATGAGGCGCGCGCAGTCCTCGACGACCCAGAAATGTTCATCGGCACCGTGAAGCGCATGGTACGCACCCATCAAAACACCCCAACATCCTCAATACACCTTTTTCCCACACCAACCCATGTGTCTCCCCTCTACCCTCGGCCTCCTCCCAACCCCACACAATCACATGCACCAACCCGCATTCCATATCCTCAAAACTAACTCAATCAAATAGCCCGGTGATCCCCTGCCCAAGTCCAAGGCCACCACCGCCACCGACTCCTCATCTTCTTCCTCCGCCTCCGGCTTCGGTGTCGGTCTCTACGCCGTCATCCTCATCGGTGGCGCTATCGCATACGGCGCATACAACTACCTCCAGGTCCAGCAGGCCCAGCAGGCTCAGCAGCAGTAAACTGGTCCGGGTGTGCAATTAGATGAGTGTGTGAGAGGACTAGTAAGTGGTGGTCAGAATGCAGATCTGAGATTTTAAAGACCTGTCTACGGATGGGAGTCGCTATGGCTAAAAGAGCAAAGAGCAAAGAGAGCGTGTTTTTTTTTTCGAGTTTCGGGCCTTATGAGTATCCAGCTCTGTTTTTTATTACCTATCTATTTCATATGTATCGACATACCTTATTGGATTAATTTTTTCGGAATTCAAGTCAACATACTGTATAGTCTGATAACAATTTCAGATCGGAGAGTCCCGGAAATGTTTACTCCTTTAGGTACGTCGATCCCGATTCCCCGACATCCTAAGATCTCCACTTTCAGTGATTTCAAATAGCCCAAAGATGAGAGGTTGGGTCCGAGCTTGATTCGACGACTTTCGATCTTCTTCTAGGCATATGCAATTTATATCCATGTCCACGGATATATGTATCCGAAGTTTCGATCCATGAATCAAAATTACTAAGATTGAAAAGCCACGTCTCCGTCATAAAATAACAAGGTCCATCAATTCCTCGTAGACAAGCTAAATCAGATCTGCGGAAATAGCTACAAGAAAAGAAGACACAGGATGAGAAAGGCCAAAAGCAATAAATGCAAAAGCAAGAAAAAGAATCTTTTTTAAAACCCAATATTCATGAAATAGATACCAAAAAAATAAAGATGAAAACAAGAATTGAAGTAAAAAGCCAAAAGAAAAGAACTAAAATGATACTGTTCCCGCTCGCTCAAATTTAAAGCAGAGAAGGGTGTAAGAGTTTGGTTTCTAGGTCAGATCAAACCCACTGTCGCAATAATAAATAACTACTTACCGCGCAGCGCCTTGGAGTCCATTCTGCACGGCCTCCAGAATCATCTCCTTGGCCTCTTCCAGGCCGCTGGCGCTACCGCGGATCTCAATCGCTTCACCAAGAGCCTGGTCCTTGGGCACATTGATACGACAGCCTGTCTTCTTGCGGATGGCGTTGATCTGACTGCCACCCTGGCCGACGACGAAGCGGTAGGTCTTGGGATCCGGCAGGATCAGGTATCCCGTAGTGGACTGCTGGGTTGCGGAAGCGAGAGCCTTCTCAATGACGGAGCGGGCCTTGTTCACGTTCTCCGGGGTGCCGCTGAGAACCCAGGGGAAGGGGGTGGAGGCGGTTTCCGTGGCATTGTTGTCGACGACGGTCCAAGAGTGGGCGTCAGCAGTGACGTTGGGGTCATCAATGATCAGGGGCATGTCGGTGCCTTCAGCTGTGGTGCGGGTGTCTTCGGCGGCGGAGGGGGCAGGGACGGGCACGGCCTGGCCAGCGTGGTCCACGGTGACCTGGTGGTCGTTGCGCAGGCGGCGGAAGATGTGGCCATTGTCGGCGAGGACGTGGTGCAGGTGGCTGGGGATCTCGATGGTCTCCGCGTGCTGCTCCTTCAGCATGGACTTGACGTGTTCCTTGGCGCTTTCGACAGCGCTGCTGGGGCCCTTGAGCTTCACATCGGTACGGCCAGAGCCCTGCTTGGGGATATCCAGGGTGACGTTAAACTTGGACTCGATGCCACGGCGGGTGTCGCCTCCACGGCCGATGAGCATGCGGTGCTGGGCGGTGGGAACGTCGAGGATCTCCGTGACCTGGTCCTGGCGCTCCTTGACGAACTCTTCGATCGCAGCGATGATGCTCTCCACAATCTTGCCGTTACCCTCGAGGCGGATGGTCGACTCGGTGCTTTCGGGACGAGGGAAACGGACCATTCTGGCGGCACTGCCATCAGTGGGGCCACCAGCCTCGGTGACGATCTTGCGGATGTTGGCACCTATATAAGTCAGTAATTGAAATTAAGCATATCAATTTGCATGCAAACATACCGCCTCCACCGATCAGAGCCTTGTGGTACTTCTTCTCAACCTCAATGGTCTTGGTCACGGTGGCATCGAATTCGCTGGCCCGCTGCTGCAAAATCTTCTTGGCCTCGGCAACTTGCTGCTTAGTACCCTTGACACGAATCTCCACACGGCCCGATGCATCCGGCGTATCGTTGGCGTTAGGGACATCAATCTGGGCACCGGTATCGGCGCGAAGCTTGTCCATCTCACGGCCGCGCTGGCCGATCAGGGATGCGACCTGGCTCTGGGCCACAGAGATGGCGGCAGAATGACCGTGCTCAATGACATATTGCAGCAAGCTAAGGATCTCGTCGCGAGCGGAGTCAGCACCCTTGCTAGGGCCCTTGACAAGGACCTCATCGGGAGCCTGCTGAGTACGCTGGGGACGAGCACCACCAGCATCGCTGCCGGTTTCCGCGGAGTCATCATTGGCAACAGTTGCGCGGGGGAACTGGACACGGACAGAGTAACGATCCTGGAGACGGTTGACCTGGTTTCCGCGTTGGCCAATCAACTCACGGTGGTATTGGGCGGGGACCTTGAGGATGTGAGTGGTCTCATCTTCCAACTTCTTCCCCATGTTGATGATGCGCATGCGGGTGGCATCCGCCTTGGCCTTGGGTCCCTTGACCTCGACCTTGCCGTTCTCCACCTTGATATCAACATCGAACTCCTCACGGAGCTTGTTGATGTTCTCACCACGCTTGCCAATCAGGAAGTTGGCATACTTCTGGGGGAAATCGAAGCTAGTGATGTAACCACGCTCCAGGTCGTCCTTCTCCTGCTCCACGACGAAAGCCTCCACCTTGGCGGCAAGTTCAGCCACCAGGGCCGAGGGACCACGAAGGGAGACCTGACATTGAGAACCCTTGGCATCGCCAACAATGGCACGCACAGGGATGCTATCCTCGCCCTTGGACTCCTGCTCACGGGTGATGAATTTCCGCGCCTTCTCCTGGTATTTGGCAGGGATGGAAACCGTCTTGGCAACGATGTCAAGCTGGTCTCCGAGAGTGCTGAGGAGGAATTGCTGGGCCTCTTGCAGACCCTTCTCGAAGGCTGCAACATCTGCGGGGGAGGGGCGCTGTCTGGGGACCTCGAAGCGGGAGGCAGTCGCGGACGGGCCTTCATAAACAAGAACAACTTCAGGGCAGTTCATGTCATCCGGCACCATTAGGTGCACGCCATAATCACCCTGAAGGGTGTTTGCGCTTCGGTCGCGCAGGTACTGGTGGAAGTAAGGGTCTACAGGCACGTGGCGGAGTCTAGAAGGCGGGAGAGCCTGGACGAGGTTCATGATATCTGAACGGGCACGGATGGTGTTCTTGCCATCACGGGAGTACACCTCCCAAGTGATGGGTCCACCAGCGCTAGGAGGAAGTGCAATGTGCGCATCGTAAGTCGATTCGAGTTCCTTGATGACCTGGCGGCGACGGAGGTACTGCGAGAGAGCACTTGCGTGGGCATGGGGACCGGCGGGAGCAGTGGGATGCTGGCGGGACAGATCAATGCTAGCCATTTGCATGCTTGTCGCAAGATCCATAGCGTGTTCAATACCAGCCTCAATCTGGTCAAGGGGACCAGTGATGGTGAGGAATTCACTGTCATCGGATGGAGGGGGCAGGACAATGGCACATCCAGTTTGAGCAATGAACTGGTGCAGAGCGTCAGCCTCATTGCCCAAAATGAACTGGTGTTGGCCACGGTTGATGGCCAGCTGGCGCAGAGTAAGCTGCTGGTGCAATTGCGCAGCCAAACGCTCAATCTCAGCCCGAGCCTCCTGTGCAGCAGCGCGTTCTCCGGAAATCAAAATATGCTTATCAGGCACAGCCACAAACTGGACCTGGCCAGGGTTGGCTTCCTGAGGAGGAGGCTGGCTCGTCCAAGTATCGTAGCGGGGAACATTGATGTGCGCTTTTGTGCGCTCTTCAAGGGCCCGCACGTTGGCATCGTGTGCACCTGCAATGAAGGGGAAGAACTCGGGAGGAACGGTCTTCAATCGGAAGCTCATGTTTGAGCCGCGCTCCTTGACAATGGCCTCGATCTCGCGGCGGGCCATCTCCGCGGCCACGGCATCTCCCTCAATCAAAATGTCAATGGTATCATCGTCATCATCGTCACCAGCAGCGTTAGCATCGGCACGGGGGACCTGAACACGGGCACCAGTGCGGGTCTGGATATCCTGCACAACAGTACCTTGACGGCCGATGATGTGAGCGCGCGCAGATGTGGGAATGGGAACACGGACGGATTGCTATTGAGACGGATTGGTTAGCTTAGATACTCGTTTTGCGCACGTCCGATTCACATACCTTGGATCCAACCTGCTGAGCCACTTCGCGGAGAGCCTGGCGCACCGCATCTACGGAGCCCTTTCCTTCGAAAATGATTGAGCCACCAGGGCCACCGCGCATGTCCACATTGGCCTTTGATCTGCGGGAGATATCCCGGAGGACATCACGAAGAGGCTTCTTCATCTGTCCACGGGGTTGCATCTGGGAGGGTGCTAGGCGGAGCTGCTCCATGTGCTTTCCGGGGAGGGCCATAATACGGGGGATCTCTGTTCCTGTGTCAATAATTTATCCAATCCGGAAAGCTCCAAAGTAATCCACGTACCCATTGACTTCGCGGGCGAACCATTTGCAACAGCAGCGGCCGCGGAAGGCTTCTTCGCACCCCATGTAGCAGCCGCGGGGGCAGCAGGCTTTGGACCGCTGCCCAAAGCTGGGAACAATTCTTCGGATTGAACGTCGAATGCCGGGGCCTTTTTGGTGGCGGGCTTGGGGGTGGGCGTCGGGGAAGCGGTTTGGGCGAGGGTGGTGGGCTCGGGGGTATCAGCGTTAACGAGGAGGGGCTGGTCGGGCTGTATCGCGATCGGAGGGGGTGCTTGAGGTCCTCCTCGTCCACGGTTTCCTCCACAGTGGGCTTGTGCACCTCGTCGCGGGCGTGCTGCTGTTCCAACATGGCAGCGAGGGATCCGCCGTTGGCAGAGGTAGATGCTTCAGAAGCCATTACGAATAATGAAGGTCGATAAGGAAATTGGGGTTGGAGACAAGGTAAATGGGCTATGCACAAGATCCTGCAATCAAGACGGGGCCCGGGTCAGTATGCAATAACGATCAAGGCAGATCAGGACAGATCATCATAAACCTCGGGTGCAATCAATGGCGTTACAAGGACTTGGAAATCACTCACAAGTGAAAGTATATCCTTCCTCTTTTGGAATTGAGTAGGATATATAGGTTTTCTTTGGGTTCAGGAGAATGCCGAGGATGCTCAGGAAAATGCAATAGCGATTTGGACTGACAAAGCGCCGAGAATCAAAAAAGAAAGATACAGGGGCCCAAAGAGAGGAGCCACCTGAAAAGAAAGTGAGGAAGCGAGGTGGGAGAGAAGAGAGGTGAGAGGTGAGAGGAAAAAGGTCGAGAACCCCGGACAATCTAGAGAGTACAGAAAAGGCCAGCTCTGAGTCTCCGGGGAAGTTTTCTCCGAGTCCGTCCTTACACTTTGCACCTTTTTGACCCTTTTGACCCTTTTCTTTCTTTCTTTCTTTCTGAAATACTTATTGATAGTAATTGACCTTGGACACGTCCAGGTTTGAGATGCACAATGTAGCTGTGTTTGCTTTCAGAGATGTGTTGTAACACAATCCCTAACAATGAAGCCAATCACAGAGAACTTGTATAAATCTCGAATGATTTCACTATAACTTACATCTTTATATTTGCAATTGGATTTCGCACGTGGCCACAGTGCGGCAAGTGGCCAATTGATGATGCACGTCACTGTGGCTCAAGGGTCTCCGGAGATAGGGGAGTTTTAATAACATTCAACTTCATATGTACTATTGTAGGCAAATGTGTAAACAAACACATATATGATCTGCTTCGGCCCCATAAACCTTAAGTTGGATTTCTAGCTATTTGATACTCGTGGCCCCCATCTGGTGGACATAGTTTGGCCTTTGAAGGGTTCTACGTTATGTACTAAGCGCAATATCCATGGATATTGGAGTACTATATGGATGAAAGACACATTCTCGGTATATTATTCAGTATCACAATCCCTGGGCAAGTTGTTGAATGCTTGCATCTTACCGGTAGACGTGAACCATTCTTTTGATTTCTAGGAATATATATTCCTCCACCACCAATCAAACTAACAAAACACCAGTCACCGTCAATGTTATCGTCGATTTGGACGCACCCTCAGCCCAACTATGTGCACCCCCATTTGCCAAGGTGCGACGAGTAGTCTACTCACCCCTGGTATTAGCAGATGTCCTCGCCGTAGGCTTTATAAAGCGGAACCGGCGTTTGCAGTCTATAAGGTTTCCCCTCGTTTGGATGTTGGTGAACCGTCTTCTTTGTCAATCTTCAGAAAGGAGAGCCTCGTTGGCTACTCCATACAATGAAACGATTCTTCCGGGTTGGGTATGTATGCGGGCCTGGCAGCATTCCTGTGCGGCATCGCCGGTTGGATTGTGGGCACGGTGGAGACATACTACAGTACTACTACATACAATGTCGGAGCGCTTACCAATATGATTGGGGAGAATGCGCCTGACAAAGATAACCAGGTTCGCTTCTATCTTGTACTCGGCGCTCTCGATATTGGATCTGGAGTATGTGAGGCATTAAAGTGAGTGGCAAGATGTTTATGGCGCGACCTACAAGTGGGCATGTATGGTTCCTTGAATCCCACGACTGTACATGACCAAACCAGACCGAGATTTCGCAGATATGCAACCAGTTGATTGACCTAAATCAGAATATAAGGGCGGTATTATATAATTAAGACCTGCCAGACACGAAAAGAAGCGCATCATGACAGACATCAAGATGGCATGGGTATCGATAAATGAGTGCAATACCTCCACCCCCAAAAGTATAGGAGCCCAATCATTGACAATAGAAAGAAAAGAATGTAAAATGTATGTATCGGCCTCGCGGGCCATGATAATTATGTGCATTAAGTGGCCTTCACGAAAGGCCAGCCGTCCTTCCAGCCGAGGACGTTCCACGCGTACCTGTAGTTCGCGTTGTCCGAGGCCGTGGTGCTCTCCTTGATGGCAAGCGGGTAGTAGTGGTAGTACATGACCAAACCGAGATCCTTGTCATGGACAACACCAGGGCCGCCCGGTCCAAAGACCTGACCGTGGCTGGAGAGGAGCATGGTGCCGCCGGTCTCTTTGCATGACTTTCCGTCAGCATCAACCTATAAGATAAACGTTAGAACGGGTGTATTCTGGAATGAACGAGAAGATTGGGAAGCATACAAAATCACCAAGACCGGTCTTGGATCGGCAAACACGAATGTGGTACTCGGCACCCTTGGCTGGGAAAGTCTTTGTGTACTTGCCCGCAATACCAGCAGAGTAGAGGAGGTAGTAGTAGTCGCCGTGCTTGAACTCGTACGAGCCCTCCTCGCGGTGGTTCAGGGTCGCATTCCAGGAGATTTGGTAGGGAGTTGCGCCGCCGACTTTCAATGGAGTCTCCATCTGGACCTGGTAGATATCGCCCCAGAAAGAGCCAAAGTTCATATAGTTCTTGTTGCCGATGCTGATCCAGGCGGGATCGATACGGTTGTAGTTGTCGTTTGCAGGGAGACCAATGGTGCCGTAATCTGTCCAGGTACCGGGTTCCATGGTCTTGGATGTTGCGACACCGATCTGTGAGTTCCGTGTGCCAATCTTTGACAGGACGTAGTACATATAGTACTGGTCGTTCTGGAAGTGGACATCAGGGGCCTATCAGATGGATCGTGTTAGTTATTCCTAGACTTGATATTGTTTCCTTGTCATTTTGGGTGTTTTCTTACCCAGATATTCGTGCTGTCCACACCATCAAGGGTAATCTTAGATCCATGTGGCAACGCTGAGCCGATGTCCGTCCATGGACCCTTCACCGACGGCGAGCTATGAGTTCTGACACCAGTGCCTGTCGAAAAGCGGAAATATTTACCATCAGACACACGCTGAATCATGGCAGGGTCATGGGCCCAGCAGTCGCCTGTGCAAGGACCCCGGTTGGGGTATGCACTGGCGAGCGCAGTAAATAGAAGTGGTATGAGGCCAAACATGATGTATAGACAAAAAGGGAGGAGACCGCGGAAATCGGGATGTGAATTAAAAAAAAACAGTCTGGGAAGGAGGAATCGCGTCCAATTTATGTTGACTTGCCCTACGCCATTCGCAGCTCCCCAATGTTGGGCATTTTGCATATAAACAGCCCACCCAATCATTGGCTATGAACCCCTGTACATCGTATCTGCCCAGGTGGGCGATGTAAGGCGTATGTTAGTGAATCCGGTCTAACTGGAGTCGGCGTCGAAAGGGATGAGCTCATTACCCAAGGAGTCATGCTCCTGTGGACCCGTAAATAAAACACAGCTGTTCTTTTTGCATAAACAAAGGGTTGCCTTGGTGTTTACTCCTGTATGTATTCGATTGTGATGTCTCTTTTGTGCAAGGCGCAGTCAAAGTAGGTTTACTCCATTTGATCTGCATATCCACATGAGTTACTCCGTACACCGACCCTCAGATCCCAAAGTCTATAAGCTAAGGCTCTCGGCATCAGTCTCGGCAGGAACAGATGTGTGTTGTTCGCTGCAAGTGTGTAGTCTCCACATTCTCACCAGCAAGGGAGAGAGCACCTACCATGACACTATTGAATTTTATTCATGATGCAATATTAATTCTATTTATTCTTGATATATCCAGACAAAGAGATTGGGATACATATCTCACAACAAAGTTGCGTGGCTTATTTCTTGTTTACGCCGTATGGATGATCTGCGCCCATGTGGACTACGGAGGATACTAAGCCAATCATCTAGGAATCATGTGAGATACAACTAGCGCAAGTGACATGTATTTGAGATTAAAAGAGTGTCATGCATATTCGTCATTGCAGTTAACTCTCTTCAAAGCGGGGAGGACTCGGTTTGTATGTTATAATGAATCACTCTGCCTTGGGGAGACATCTTGATTTGACAGAAAATTGTTGTTTCGGTCTGACCAAGGACAACCTTGAAATTATCCGATATACTATGTCATATAAATGGCAAACCGTGCTATTGAGCCTCTTTGGACTCCACTTGGGACCCAACGCATGGTGTGGTTGCGTTAGATCTAGTCTCAGTAGCGTTTCTTTCAAGTAATCTTATTGGTGCCAAGAACCTTCAGCTGGGCTGAGTTTCAGTCTATAGCGATTGGACTTATCGCTATATTGGAGATCGGGGTCAAAGTGAGTGATCTGGGGCCAAACTGGGGGTCATTAGGGGTGGTTTGGGGGCGCTCTTGGAATATGGCCTGATAAATCGACGTGGCACTTCCCGTACAGGGCTGAGCTCTTCTAATAATATCGATATAAATCGTGACGACAGGGAACGGGGGTAGAGGAAATATTCCTTATTTCTTATTCGCATGTCCTTCTTTCTGTCAGACCAGTCGCCCGTGCACGAGAACAGACTGACAATAGTAAGCACTCACGATATTTATTCATGTTGTCACCATCTCATATATACCGAGGTTTGGCACATTCGTATGCATTGCTGTCAAGGTGGACCGGAACCTGCGCCAGATTCTCACATGAATGTATGTGTCACGACGACATGTCATGCAGACATACTATAGCAAATATGCCTAATGATATGTTGCATATGACCAGCAGAGTAAAAATGTGTTCATTTGGCAAACTCTAACAGACAAACGTCCATCCGATACTGCAAGGAACAGCTGTAATCCTCAGTGCTCAACATGAAACACAGCCATAGCTGCCCATCTCCATATCATCTGTTCCTCGCTCTCACCCCCAACTCTCTCTGTATTTCGGTTTCCGGCTTTTCGGTCAAATCCCTCCCACTAAATCGTACATGAATGCCACCACTTTCTTGGTTATGGGCAGGCTTAGAGATGACGAGCTGAACTAGGTCCAGGGCCTGGCATGGTAGTCGGGCCTTGGTACTGTGAGTTCCATCGTTGCTGCCAATCTGGCTCGAGCTGATATTGAGGACCAGAGAGTTGACTCTGTCGCAGGAAATAGTTTGGTTGCATTGCTGGAGGTGCTGGAGGTTGCATTGCTAGAGGAATGGGAGGATAGCGTGGTAAAGATCCATGTATTTGATTTTCTGTAATCTCAAGCTCTTGCTTGCTTTCGAGAATTTGGCCGACTATTGTCTTCAATTCTTTGATTTGCGTGAGTATCTCTCGGAGCAACTCAGTTTGCTCACTGCCAGTGACCTTTTGGGGGGATTGAAACGGAGAGAGACGGCTCGCATCTGATGCGCGAAGGCGAGAATAGGGTTCCGGAGTTACAAACCCGAGCCTCGAGGCTGAAGCAGTATTGATAGGGGTGCTTGGTGGCCAAGATTTGCCCAGGTCACTCGCCTTTTTCTCCTCACTAGCCAGCCACAAACGAAAAGAATCGACAACACCATACTTTGGAGTCGGGATCGTCTCCCCGGTGAGAATTTGTCTCCATTTGGGAAGGACTTCATCCAAAACATCGTCTGAGAGATATCGATTACCTTCATCGTCTGTGGCCAATGCGACATTCCAGTAAGGAGATCGAACTGTCCAGGCAACGGAGCCGGTCACGTAAAAGACTTCGTGATTCTTTCTCATTGCGTTTTTATCACCCCGAATCATCACATCCCGCATGTCATAGTCAAATTGTAGGGTCCGTTTGGGGTCAGCAACAAGATAATCGTCCGTACAGTCTTCTTGAGGTTTCCGTAATGTCAGTATCGTTTACCAAGGCTCGGAGTGCAAGTGAACAGGGTATTTACCGTTCTCTTGCTCACAGAGAGCTTCGAATGATATCTGTTGATCCTGCAAAGATTCCAACTTCTGCAGCAGCCTTTCATGTGCTTTGTTATCCATGAGGATACGGAGTTTCGCCATCCACCTCTGTCTATCGGTCAAAGAGTCGGGGATTTGGAGGCTCTCGATTTGTTCTAGAATAGAAGGTGTGCCGAATGGGAGTGTAAGACGACATAGTAGCTCCGGGCTACCTGGGGCGATTGGCTTATTCTCTTTGAGGTCGCTAAACCACCGAGGGAGGCATGCAGCAAGTTCCGTTGCCCTGCAGATTCTGCCTCCGGACAGGATCCGGGACAACAAATAGCTGACTGTGGCATCCTCGCCTGCACTAAAAGCAGGAGGACACTTGGTGCTCACCATGATGCTGTGTTTTCAGAAAGGAAAGCAGCTGGAGTAGTGCGAAAGTCAAGAAATGTAACGAAAAGAAGTTGAGATTTAAGACAAACAGACCAGTGAAAAGAGTAGAACTGCGGGAATGGAAAAAGAAGAGGGCTAAGTATTATAGGGTGCGTTAACAATACAGACGGGAGACTTTGGAAGAGAGCAAGTGCCCAAAGAGACAATTCGCCGCGCTAGGTTTCTCCGAGAGATTTGTTAGAGTCTAGATAAAAAGCGAGCAGAGGTGTAAGAAATGGATCGAATACGTGACGCGGATTGATGGATGGAAGGAGAGCTTGGCGAGGAGGAAGGCGGAAGGGAACGGTATGGGAGAAGAGTAGTTGAGGTAAACAAAAGGAAGACTCACACGCTCACAAGTGGTTGCCATATGAGAAATACCAATCGCCTAGTGATTCAGGTAACATCCTAGGACCGGTGGACAGCCTTCGTCAATCTAGTTAAGTATTACGACCATGTTTACAGAATTTCTTTGTTTAGAACCTTACTTCTACGGATATTGGATATAAGAAACAACCTGGTTCAGAGTAAGTGGTAGCTAGGTGCGTTCTTCCTTAGAGCTATCACCATTGATCTCCGCGGTATCAGAATATAAACCTTATTTGGATTAGGCGAGAAGGTGATGCCATTAGAACGACTAAAGCCATTAGCAATAACACGCACATCCTTGATAATAGGATCAAAGTAGTAAAACTGGCTAGGCAGCTTCAGCTTGGGACAAATCCCTTAGCAACAGGCAGAATATGAATTGGTAAGCCAGAGAGGCCAAATATCATGAACGCAATGTCATTGAGATAATCAAACAGACGGCGAAGTGTTGTAAAGTTCGTTTTAGAACCTTTGAACCGCCAGTGTCATTAATACCGCTGTGTCCGGCCCATACGACGTTATTGCCGCCATTTGCAATAGACAGAGGTGATGTCCACGATGTTAGCTGTGAGCGCGTGCTCATACTGACTTGAGATTTTGATAGTGGACTTGCTGCTGGATCGGCGATGTTGCTAAACATGAAGAGCTTGCCTGTTGACCAGATGAAGAGCCCTCGTGCGCAAATGGGAAGCTTTATATCTCGACGAGGCCAGCTTCGGGGTTTGACCTATGATGTTTAGGATGTCGTTGTTATATATTGCGAATGCTCAGAGAACGGAGTATTATGCCCAAGCCATTGGAGATGAGAAGTCATTATACACTAAGGATGGGCATCTTTATTCAGCTATATCCAAGCTCAAAAGAAGCTTGGATAAGTGTTGAAGATCTTCCTTCCAAAATCTACGATATGAAGTGGGAACAGCTAAATCGGATGAGATCTCAAGCACGCGCTGAAATTCCTTTGTCTAGTTAACTTGATACAATGGCTCATGTGGCGTCTTACTTCCTGATACTTAAGGCATCACATCCGAGTTTCGGCCGATTTGCCCCCAAATCTATATCTTTACTCGATATAGTACCAACATCTCCCAAATTTGCCACTATTAGCATTTTCAGGCTACATATCAGGCTACATATCATGCTATTGACTGGACCAACAGTGAAGATGTTCAGATGGAGACCAGTTGAAAATAGTTAGAGCCCGGACGTTTCATTTGACCTGGTAATGGTTGAGTCGACTATAGGATGTAAACGTCAAAGTCATATGTGTGCTATATACCTCCAAGCGTAAACGGAGCAATATGGCAGAGCGTAAACAAACACTATCTTTTATATAGGAGATTTGAGCAAACGGGGAGTATAGACCAACGGTGGCGTGGAAGAAAAAAATGCCCCGAAAATGTTTACCTGGGCCCAACTAAATGCCCAAGATATGTTGGCTTCCTGCGGTTTAACCTTTTTGGGACGTGTCCGGTTAGGGGTAAAAAAAAGGGGCCTGAACGGAGTTACTCTGTTTGCTCAAGATGAAGAAAATGTCTTAGTTTTAAAGATAGTGGATCTCGTATAGCCGTTAACTGTGAGATCCGAATATTAAACGGGGAAGAGTTTGAGACTATTACATATATACTATTCTTATAATATCCTAGATGGTATATATTCTATATCTCTCGACTTTATATGTGTATATTAAAATATTTGAAATTAGTTACTAGATTGTAGTATATACAAACCTGTTAAAACGCCTGTCCCCCAGCCACCCGACTCCTTTTCTCAAGACTCCACGTGCTAAACCTCCTCTCTTCTCCATATTCGCTTCCAATCTTCCATTCCATCCATCTTCAACCTTCGGGGACTCGGTTATTCTCCGTAAATCCCCTCAGGTCATGAACCTGGTTGGTCCAAACAAAATACCAAACTCCTGCATACCCCTCCTCGGCCCAATCTCAATCTGTCTCGTGTAGAGACAGAAATCTACCCACCATGAATCAGGACAATTTCCCATTGAAATTCCGCCGAGCATCTAGCAAACTTCACAAGGACCCCCCTAGCTTTAGTTCGCGCATTCTTCGGAGCCACCAAAGCACCACATCGCTGAAACGCACCCCCTCCGCCCCCGTCTATCCACGTTCCTCTCCCAGCGGCAGTCGCGAGCATAATCGATCGCGGTCCAACGCCCAATTCCCAGGTTCTTCATCGTCATCTCTGGACCAGAACAGTGGCGGCCCATCGCCTTCCAACGACGAATCAAGTGGCTTCTTCTCCAATCTCACCTCCCGCTCTCGCACCCGCAGTTCCAACCGTTTCTCCTACAACGAGCAGAGCTCGGATGAATTGAACGGCCCTTACGAAACGCGGGGCATGCTAAGTGCATTGGATGAGAACAGCGCCGAGACCGATCCTCATTCCCAGCAAAAGCCTGGACTCCGGTCTCACCACACCAGCCCCGATACCCGCGGACGCCACTCACTTCGCCAGTCCGCTAGCTTCACCACTCTAACACAACGAATGGATCCCTTCGCTCATCGCGAGACCGAAAGGCCTCCAAACCCTGCCAAACGGTATTCCGACGATGGCAATCCTCCGGCCGCTCCCCGAACGAGACAGAGCAAAAAGGCCAGCTTCTCTAGATTCGTGGACAGTATGCTTGGCGCCCCCGGTCGCAATATGAAAATTTCAGCTCCAGAGAATCCGGTCCATGTCACCCACGTCGGCTACGACAATCAGACCGGCCAGTTTACCGGTCTTCCCAAAGAATGGCAGCGACTACTACAGGAGAATGGTATCTCGAAGAAGGAGCAGGAGGAGCACCCACAGACTATGATGGATATCATGCGATTCTACGAAAAGAATACCCGCGGCGACAGCGATGATGAAGTTTGGCACAAATTCGACAATGCGCAAGCTGCTCAAGCCGCGCAAGCCACCAGCCCAAGAGAACAAACATCGCCACCGGGAAGTCCACGATTCCCGCAAAATCACGAAAGCAGCTTCGAGAATCCGCGATCGCCCCCGCCAATTCCTCGTGGGCCTCCGGCAGCAACGCCGGTCATGTCTCCTCCAGTGGGCGGCATGGTGCCCCATCGTGCTCCCCCCAAAACCGCCGACCGGGATGACTCCTTCCCGCCCTCCTCCCCAACCCCCGGTCTCGAATTCGTACGGAGTCGCGCAGCGACCTCCTCAGGAGAATTATACTCCTACGTTCGGCACTCCGACTATCCCAGAATCCGAGCCGTTGGCAGCATCGCCCCACCGCAGTCCCTCAAATTCCCGAAATGGCACCCCTGCACCCAGTGTCCCCAATATTCCCAATGTCATCACATCTCCAACACAATACCAGCGGCAACAGGAGCAGGTCATGGCCGCGGCTCAGCAGACTTTGGAACGGAATCGCACCCAACGCCAGCAAGCGCAGCAGCCGACAGCCATCTCCACATCAACCGCTGCTCCGGCACCAGATCTTTCGTCTGGGGTGTCACCTACCACGCGCGCTCCACCTGCTGCTAGACCTAGACAGCGTCAGCAGCGACAAAGCAGCATTATGGATATTCGGGAACGCTTGATGTCAATCTGCCATCCTGGCGACCCCACGCAGATCTACTACAACTTCAACAAAATCGGTCAAGGTGCCTCCGGTGGTGTGTACACAGCGTATGAGCATCCTCACAACAACTGTGTTGCCATCAAGCAGATGAATCTAGACTTGCAACCCAAGAAGGACTTGATTATCAACGAAATATTGGTCATGAAAGATAGCAAGCACAAGAACATCGTGAACTTCTTAGAGAGCTTCCTACATGGGCTGGATCTTTGGGTTGTGATGGAATACATGGAAGGTGGCAGTCTGACAGACGTGGTTACCTTCAACATAATGAGCGAAGGACAGATCGCAGCTGTTTGCCGAGAGGTGAGTACAAGATGATTGATCCCGTGTCAAGATAGGATCATGAGATGCTAACCATTTCGACTAGACTCTGAGCGGCCTCCAGCATTTGCATTCCAAGGGCGTTATTCATCGAGATATCAAATCAGACAACATCCTGCTGGCAATGGATGGTAACATCAAGCTGAGTAAGTTTCACCCCGTGTTGTGTCAAAATCATGCTAACAATCCTTAGCCGATTTCGGTTTCTGTGCTCAAATCAACGACTCGCAGAACAAGCGGAACACCATGGTTGGTACCCCGTACTGGATGGCCCCCGAAGTTGTGACTCGCAAAGAGTATGGCCGCAAGGTCGACATCTGGAGTTTAGGCATCATGGCCATTGAGATGATCGAGGGCGAGCCGCCGTACCTGACAGAGTCCCCATTGCGAGCACTCTATCTGATCGCTACGAACGGAACGCCCACCATCAAAGATGAACACAATCTATCCCCCATCTTCCGCGAGTTCCTTTACTTTGCCTTGAAGGTTGACCCGGAGAAGCGGGCGTCAGCGCATGATCTACTGAAGGTACTTGCTCGTTCTCTATTCTCCATTACTTTCGCAGCGATAACTGACATCTTGTCCTCTAGCACCCATTTATGTCTCTCTGCGCACCACTATCGCATCTCGCCCCCTTGGTCAAGGCTGCTCGCCTCAGCCGAGCCCAAGAAAAAGCCCAAAAAGGAGGTGCTTGAAAAGGATGCTGATAAATGACCACTTTGCTTTTTCCTATGTTTCGGTTTTATTTCGTCGTACTTGATATCTCTTGACGTCTTGCTCAGATACCCCGTCACTCCTGATGTTTCTTCTAGATCCCGACGTGCACTACAGTACGTTGTTGGAATCCGTTTATGTACCCAGTCTACTCCTTTATTACCTTTTTTTCATCGATTGTCGATGAAAACGACTCCATTCCATGAGCACATTGCCTGTGATATCTGCTTTGCTATTCGCTGCCTCTGTATTGATGTCTATGTAATTTCTTGTAGTTCTATTTGCCAATTTTATTGTTACCAGCTTATGGTGGATACAAGCAGTTAATGGGCCTTCGAACTTTGCATTTTCTTTTCCATCCGTTTGTATGCCTGTACTCCATAGTGGAGTAGAGGTATGTTCAGCCACCGCCCGATAAGAAAATGTGAGAAGAGGAAACGCAGCAGCCTATATTGGTAGGGCGAAGTCCTAGAGTAAACAGGAAAAAGAAAAAGAAAAAAAAGTAGAAAAGAGAGCAAAAAATAGAAGCTCCCCAGGCAGACATGATAGAGAAAAATCTCGTCAAATTATACAAGCCAAGCTACATTAACTTAGTCTCCCAACCTGCACCGTCGTCATATGCTGACTCAGGTGACGAGTTCCGCCCCGTACACAGTACCCCAACACCGTCCCTGATCATTCCCAAGGACCTGATTAACATATACCCAGCGCAATACCAGTCGCTTGCTACACCATTCCTTCCCAAGGCCCTGTTTTTTGTGACATTTACACCGCCTGCGTCAACCCGCAGCCTAGCCGCATCCTTTACTGTCGTCGACTCCCCGCATTCGGTGCTAGAGGACCACTACGAGCTACACAACCGGTTTTTGAAAGAGAGCGTCGCCTTCGATATCAAAGTCTAATTGGAATCTATCGCTAAACTTTCGCGACGTGAAAACAAGCCAAGCCGCTTGTCAGAAACTGAACAGTGCTGCCCGACATACCACCGAGTGATTACCTGCGACGGTTAGAGAAGATACATTCGCGATGTTTCGCGCGCAGCAGAACCACTTCGATGATGCCGTTGGTAAGTTACACCAGTTCTCTGCTCCGTTAGCACCCCTGGAGCTGGCTAGCTTGGAGGGAAGCTCCCGGGAGCATATTGAATCTGCTTATACGGCTTACTGACGATATTTCTTTCTGTGTAGCCAAGGCGACGGACGAGAACTTGACCTCCGAGAACTGGGAATATATTCTGGTGCGTTGTGCATAAAACTATAGAATCGCCGGAATAATCGCGGCGTTGGGACATGAGAACTGATTCGGCTCTTGTGGTTTAGGATGTCTGTGACAAAGTTGGTTCAGAGGAGTCAGGGTATGTGGCTGGATCCGAATTGCAGGCTTGCCCAAGCTCATCTAAAGACCGTTGCTGATTGCGATTTGCCGTGATATAGTGCGAAAGAGGCCGTGGCTGCGATGATCAAAAGGCTGGCTCACCGAAATGCCAACGTCCAGCTCTATACATTGGAGGTTCGTGACCAGATACACGTGCTCCTGGGAGTGCGAAAAATTCCCTGGTCTATGACTATAGCTGACTCCGATTTCTAGCTTGCAAACTCGTTGTCACAAAACTGCGGGCTAAAGATCCATCGCGAATTGGCTTCGAGAAGCTTTACTGATGCGCTACTACGCTTGACGAATGATCGTGTAAGTAGATCTGGGATCTTCAATTTGCTTCAAATAGCAAACATTAATCGTGGGTTTGTCTAGAATACGCATCAACAAGTCAAGTCCAAGATTCTGGAGCGCATGGAAGAATGGACTGAGATGTTCGCATCCAACCCGGATTTTGGCATTATGGAACAGGCATACATGAAATTAAAAACCACCAGTAAGTATCCATGAGACGCTTGAAATATCGCACGCCGCTGATTGTTTTTAGACCCGAATCTGCAGCCACCATCGAAACCTGGAAAGCGTGAGATCACCGATGTTGATCGTCAGATGGAGGAAGAGGAATTGCAGATGGCTCTAGCCCTCTCGATTAAGGATAAAGCAACTCCGGGGGCTGCTGCTGCCGCAGCGCCTCGAGCAGAGGCTTCATCTGCTGCTGCAGCATCCGTGCCGGCTCACCAAACTCAAGGGGAGCCAGCCGAGGCTCAACCTGCTCTCTTAGGTACATCAGTAGCTACCGTGTCACGTGTGAGAGCGTTGTTCGACTTCCAACCGTCTGAGCCAGGAGAGCTTCAATTCCGCAAAGGCGATACCATTGCAGTCCTGGAGTCTGTTTACAAGGACTGGTGGAAGGGCTCCTTGAGAGGCCAGACCGGCATTTTCCCTCTCAACTATGTGGAGAAACTCCCAGATCCCACTGTTGATGAGCTGCAACGGGAGGCTCAAATGGAGGCGGACGTCTTTGGCCAGATCAAGAGTGTCGAGAAGCTCCTAACTCTACTGAGCACTCGCAATTCAGACCTCAATGTCCAAGAAAACGAAGAGATTACTACGCTCTATCAAGCCACGCTTGCGATTCGTCCAAAACTAATCGAATTGATTGGAAAATATTCGCAAAAGAAAGGTAAACAGCCACTTGTTTGTTTTGCTATTTGATACCCCGCTGACACACGTCCAGATGAATTCACCCAGCTCAATGAAAAGTTCATCAAAGCTCGTCGCGACTATGAATCTCTCCTCGAGGCATCGCTAGCCCATCCGGCACAGCCTCAATATGGACGACCTGCCCAGCCACAGTATGGTTATCCTGGCGCCGCGCCTGCCGGGTACCCGTCTGCTCCCCAGGCGGACCCTCGATACTTTACTCCCCGGCCTCAAGGTTAGTGGAGTCTACGCATTATCCACCGACTCCCAGTTCTAACTTGACTTGTCTAGACACCACGACAACCCAGGCGAATGCATACGCACCATACCCCGTCAGCGAGCAGACTATGCCGTACCGCCCAGCCTCTCACTCCCCTGATCCTCGCAACCAGGCCCAGACCGGCGCACCTCAGCAGTCTCCCCATGCCGATCCTTACCAACCTGTTAACCACCGTCCGCAATCTACATACGATCACCCCCAAGAATTGGGGACCTCTGTCTATGATTCACCTGTCGACCACCCTGCTTCTGGTCAGCGCATGCCGTACCCTCCAACTGCGCAAGCCTCGCCTGTAGGCCACCAGCAATTCCAGCAGCAGCAGCAACAACAACAGCAGCAGCAGCAAGACTACTCGCCATCGGTCTACTCCGCCGAGGAGACATCTCAGATCCCACCTGCCTCTACTATGCCCCAAGTCCCGCACCAGTTCCAGCAACAACAGCAACAAACCCCTTACCCCAACTCTCCCAGTGGCCACCAACCTCCCCCATCGCACCAGCCTCCGCCGGTACCAGGGACAGCACAGCAGCCACAGTATACCTCCTACAGCCCGGCACCCCCTGCCGCAAGTACGGGTGAATACCAGGCGTACCAGCCTCCACAGGGCGGAGCAGCCGGCTCGAATCCAAGTTCCTTTTATCGGTAATTGATAGTTAGTCACGACCGCCCTCATCCGGTTCATAGGAATAAATTCCTTGACTGTCTTTAATGTTGGATGTGTACTGTGGCATTTCAAGCAGTATTCTTCGTTTCGTTATCCCTCCTTTGCTTGAAGTCTCTGTCATGTATCTAGCCAACGGTTTAAATATGTCGTCAATTGTATGTTAGTACATATGAGCTTTTTATCTCTATGTTTCCGTACGCTGGTGCTATAGACCTTCAATGTAATTCCTATAACCCTACGTGTAGATTCAATCGACCTTTGAAGACAGAATGAGCCGGTAATGGTAGGGGTCTGCCAATTAGCAATCCTCCATCGCGCACGAATCAGGTTATCATTTGCCTGAAAGCAAGGTGATAATGAACCAGACATACCCCAGGAGAGGGGAGATAAGATGAAGAAGTGTGAGACAGACGTTAACCGTGTTACTTTGCATTGTTTCCACTGGGGTCATACTTTCCATTCTGGTCTTTTTTTTCCCCTTGACCCTGCTTCTCAGCCTCATGGTCTTCCTAGCAAGACAAATAATGGCGCTAGCAACTAGAATTCCTACCATATTCTGAGGTTATTATAGGATTGACCTGTATGGTTTGATACTCACACTCGACGCTCCCCGTCATCTGTATGCCAACTGTGAATTCAAAACAGACAGGTTGTTATGAATAGGAAGAAGGTTAGTGACATATTGGGATATTTGATTGATTACAAGTGAGCAGATAAAGCACCAATGACACTTGAGAAATGTATACAAAGCGTTTTAATTTACTCTAGCTTGTCTAGATATCGAAGACCTTGAGTAACTGGGTCCATGCCTTGAGTAACTAGATGCCTTGAGTGATTGGGTATACATGTCCCTCTACTTATATGCTAAATCCTTGCTAGAGGCAATAATACCCCGCGAATTTCTTGTGTCTGGGTTCTGACAGGAACTTTATTAACTAATTTATGCCATGTCGGTCCTCGCTTGCCTCGTTTCTGGGCCTATCATTCTACCTCGCTCTTGGAGCCATGTCTTCTGCCAACGACAATATCGGTGAATCAGATAAACACAAACAGTAACTTGTAATTGACTGAGCTGACTATCGATAGGGGGAGCAGCACTCGGAGTGAGCTGGGCGCTCTCCGCCATCGCCGTCGTCGTCGCTACCGCGCGTATATACACTCAAGCACGGATTACCCATCAACTTGGACTGAGTGACGCTCTGCTAGTCATATCAACGGTATAGCTCCTACATGTACTTTGTATTTCTTGTTATATTCAATACTGATGGGGCAGGGCATCATTCTTACCTTTGCATCAACCATCACTGTTCAGTATCGCTATGGCTGGGGTCAGCACCAGGCAGTTCTATCTCAGCACGACCTTATCCAGGCCCTCAAATATAACACAATTGGGCAGACATTTGGAATCTTAGGATCCACCTTTGGTCTTCTGTCGACAATCACCACTTTTATCAACGTCTTCGGTATAACAAAAAGGCTACGTGGTGGTCTGTGGACCCTATTTACTACACAGTTTGTGCTCAACACTGTCGTTGCTTTTCATATATACTTGCAGTGTACCAATGTAGTGCTTCTTTGGGATAAGGAGGCGGGCTCAGGAAGCTGTCGGAATCCAATTGTGCAATCTGTAAGGAAAAGCGAATCCATGAGTTAGGCTCGTGCTAACATCTTTCGTAGTACCTTGGCTACGCACATTCAGCCTTCAAGGCCGCGACAGATCTTTTTTTGACATTCTTCCCCGCGTATATGATCCGGAATTTGCATATGAATATTCGAAAGAAGATCGGAGTGGCAGTGCTTTTGGGATTGAGTATCCTGTCTGCATCTCCTTTCCCAATTTCATTAATATGCACACAATTGACTTATTAGTGCATTTATCGCTGTGGTTATCAAGACTGTCGGTACAGAAGCTCTGCTAAAGGCGATTATACCTGTGAGTATATTTTGCACTGGTTGTAGATCACACTAACACCATTTCCAGACAGTACAGTTCCGCTATTCACTTGGGCGTTGTAAGATTTGCTTTCAAGTACTTGTTATTCCGCTAACCTGTCAGGGTTGAGGCCGTTCTTCTGAATTTTTCCGCATCGGCTCCTATGCTACGTCCGTTGTACAAGAGACTTGTCGGCAAGGAACCTGTGGATTCTTTGTACCAGATGCACCGCAACTATGCTACAGAGACTCGAGTTCCGCATGGACGACCTGGTCCCAGATATGACCACTCTACAATAGACATGGCTGAGATTTTAACCAGGGATTCACTAACTGCGGAAAATCACAACCATATTACGGTAGATCAATCTTACTCGGTGGCTGTGAGCGATGCACACTATCCGTGATGAGTGAGGCATGCCACAAACCTTGGGAATATAATGAGTGCCTACTTCAGCTGGTCGAAATATGAGGACCGTTTAAAGCGAAAATGCCTATGCCTTTTCCACCTCTCTCTTCCTGTCCAGGTATCTTGTATTCTTTCTGTGACCAAAAAGCCTAATTTCTTCACCATGCTAAATGGTGGGTCAACCTTCTGTCTCAGTACTTGGTGATATTGCAAATGATCCATCTAATCAAATGTTGATTCAGCCATGATACCGCTTGGTTTGTTTGGGTCTTTATGCTGATGTATCAATTCTATGGGTAGATTACTTGATTGAAGTATTGAGACTGGTATCTACATCTAGACCTCCGCAAAGCCCATAATAAGCACCAAACAATATATCTATCATAACTTCAATATTAACCTTTTGTTTAACATCCACTAGTTAGTCGGAGTTTGTTTAAAATTAGAGTATACACTTATACGGCTATTCTAATTCTAAATTCAAATCTAAACCCTACATAACTAGTAGAAGGGTCAGAATACAGCAATTACAAGATGTTAGTTGAACCCCCTAAATGGGCTTTGCGGAGGCCTATCTACATCTATACCTAAGTCTCACTATAGCTCAGATAGGCAAAAGGCGCCGCAGTTCTCTCAGTAAATGCATGGCTTCCTACAATATCTTGGTTGGCTTTTAAGAAAGTAGGTCCGTCCACGGGTTAATTAAGCTGCGCGTTTGATAGGTAGAAATGCAGGGGTTCGTTATTGGTGGCCTCAGGCCTTACTGGGTACTCACTAATCCCCTCTTTGAGGCCTCACATCTCTTCTGCCTTTGTTTACCTTCTTGGTGATATTGCGGTTACTTGACTCTTCTACTTGATCCGTTAGATCGGCCAAGGTCGAGTAGCTCAGCAGACGATTACCTTCACGTCACATACTTCCCTAGCCAATATCAACCATTCCAAATTCCAACCAACTCTCCTTGCAAATATACACACTCACTGCTATCATGCCACCACCGCAAATAGTCAGCTGGGATGATCTCACTGAAGTATGGGAGCAACGTGACGACGAAACAGGGAAAATCCAGCAAACATCTTTTGCGTTGTTCGACGGCAACGAAAGCTTCTATTACGGCACGCTTAAAACCCCCAAAGCCGGTATCACCTTCGAACAGGTCACAAACACCCTCGAGAGTGTTCCCGATGAAGAGGTGTTTACGCGGTGGCCGGCTCCCGGTCTCGAGTTGATGCAAGCCCCAGTGACACTTACCGAGGATTTCTACATCAAGCGACCGAGTCCAGAGATGTACAAAGTGTTGAAGGAACACAATCAATTGTCCCAACTATCAGCAGCCTTGCTAGCAGAGGCTGAAGTCCTAGAGTCGCTGTTGCAACACCCGCACCCGAATATAATCCGCTATTACGGCTGTCGGGTTCTCCGTGGGTACTTCATTGGACTTGTCATCGACAAACATCCACATGACCTGTACACTTATCTCAAGAACCAAGTTGGGACAATTGAGAAACCGTCTTTCATTGCTGAGCTCAAGTCCTCACTCCGTTATCTTCATACACATGGATTGGCCCATAACAACCTGACTCCCAATAATATTCTAGTGAGCAAAGAAGGCATGCCTGTTTTGATTGATTTTGCTGGATGTCAGCCTATTGGAACTTATTTGAAGCATGTTAGAGGGACTCACGGGTGGATAGATGGAGAAATAAAGGATCACAATACATCGAAAACGGAGCATGATGTTTCTGCTTTAACTAAGATCAGTGCGTGGTTGGACAACCCAGTGTTTGACCGATGATTCAGTTTGTGCATACGGAGAGCTGGGCATGGGTTCGTTCGTTGTAAGTCTAGCAGTATCTCGACACTGATTTATTGGATCTATAATGTAAAGTCGCTCGCTTCTTTATAAAATTCAACCGTCTTCTGCCTTCTGCTTAACCCGATCCAAAGAACCAGTCAGACACAATGACCGCAATTACCGTGACCTACTATGGATTAGCTGATATCACTCAGGTGAGGACGAGGCCTCGACTTACCAGTGAAATATCAACACCAGGGCTCACAATGAGATCCAAGGCAGGGCGATGGCCTCCTCCGCGCTTCATTTTCCTCAAAGCCAGTCTCTCGTTGTGGGTGATACTCTCGCGCAATTCAGCAATCCTCCTGTCCCCATCCACAATATCAAAAAAGGCCAGCGCCTCCCCGTGTTTCTTCACCGTTAGCGTGAGCTGCTTATCCTCCTCGCTTTTTCTGTCTTCAGCCGCGCCATTTCGAAACGAGAAGACCAAGTTGATGCTATTCCAAGTCAACTTCGGTGTCGCCTTTGCTATTGTCGCCTTGCTGATTTTGGTTCCGGGCAAGGTAACGACCCAGCCCAGAGGATTTGACAAGGGTTTGGTGTGGATATCGAATAACGGTAGCCCGGATGAGTTGCGGAGTTCTCGACACGAGCGATCATTGTATTTTCGACCGGTCGCTGTGAATACTGGAGAGCCCTCTTCGTCCGAGATCTTGTAGGCATGATCTGACTCGGGATCGCCATGCGGTTTGAAGAGTAGCGTTGTTTTCTCCATCGCGATATGTTCTAGCCGAAAAGCGACTTGTCGCTCTGGTGCTTTTAAGGCATAGCGTGGTGCTGAGCTCTTGGGCGTGATGCCACGGTTCATTCGTGCCTGGGTATATGTGGCCCCTGACATTATTTTGAATGAGTGATGGCTCTGTATGAAACTTTTTGGTGCGATGCGGTGGGCTTTTATGAGATGTTGTGGCAGGGCGTTAGTACGTATACTGGGGCACCAAGGCCCGATGACATCCGAACTTCCGAAGTGCTTGGACGTCGAATATAATTCGTGCACTGGAGATCATCAATCTCTTATCTCATATTGGCAACAATTGCATGTCGGCCTTGTATTCGAGTGGATGCCAATGCGGCTCACCTTTGGGGCCAACTATAGAAAGGAAAGTCTCCCGAGGTGATCAACTGATCAACTTTGATAGGCGTGTTGATCTTGTCCCTTGCAAAAAATTATTCCGTAGGTCGACTTCACATATAAATCAGGTGGACTTCCCTTAGAAGGGTACACTTGAAGTACTCCAGATTTACTAGCTTTTGGCGAGTTCATTGTTTTTTTAAGGACGTGCAAGGTGAATATCAGTAGTGACCTGGATAGAATATTAGAATACAACCAGATCTGAATGCGTGTCAAACCTTTCCAATCAATGTATCTCAGAAAACGGTTTTATTATAAAGAGCTTCATTGTTTGGATGACCAAGAAATATTAATATGGTATTCAATCTGTCGGCCATATGTCCCGAGAATTTCGGATCTCATCCGACAAAATAACAAATGAAAAGTCGTTCATTTGCTCAAAATCTTTATTCCTTCTCTTGTTTGTTTGTTATTACTCCGATTAACATGTCTATTCGTCCTATACACATTGCTGTCCTTGACACCGACATCCCTTGCTACCCTGTCTACGCCAAACGAGGATTGTACAGCTCACAATTCAACGTTCTTCTCACTGCCGCCGCAAATCGCATCAATGCAAGCAAATATCACCAGAACGGAACGTCTCTTGGTGTTCACATCACTGCATTCGACGTTGTAGGGGGCTCATTCCCACATCTCGAGTCCTTACGAGTCAGTCATTGGTCGCTGACAGAAAATCGACCCCCTGGCTTCCCAGGCCCTGTCGATGCGATTCTGGTCACTGGAGCAGCAGCAGCAGTATATGACTGTTTCCACTGGATTGCAGGCTTGCGATCATTTATTCAGAGAGTGTATGCGGACTATCCCATGGTCAAGATTTTCGGATCTTGCTTTGGACATCAACTTATAGCTCAAGCCCTCCTCGCAAGTGACAAAAGCTACACGTCCAATGGATCTTCATTTAAGGTATCCGTCGAGCCTTCGTCCGATGGTCATGAAATTGGCATGCATCCTATCATCTTGAACCCAGCTTTCGTCTGCAACTTCCCGCCTCTGGCTCGGTTTACTCCAGAACAGCCATTCCATATTCAGGTCATTCACGGTGATGCCGTCATATCTTCACCAGAGGACAAACTAGTTTCCGGGGGGAATGGGACTATGTTACCCGAACCGTGGCTCAGTATCGGAAGCAGCCTTAAATGTCCCATTCAGGGCCTCTACAAGCCTGGCCACGTTCTCACATTGCAAGGTCATTTTGAATTCGATGCCTTTGCCACTGCTGAGCTCTGCCATAAATTTGCCAATCAGTTTGACTGGCCTGCAGATTTGCTTGCCTCGCATCTAGAGAACATCAGGCGCTCTGTGGTGCTTGGCAAAGATGATGATGACTCGAAGATAGCGGCGGAGGCGGTCCTTTTGTTTTTCGCGGGAGAAGACTTGACTTTGAGCTCACATATCAATTCATCCTCATGTTGATCGCGTTATCCAATCTTGGAAGATACTTGATTTCCTTCGATTGCGGGGCCATCGGAGGTTCAGGCCGAAAAGTCCCCGCAGCCTCGGGTGAGCACCCGATCCATACAGACGTTTTCACACTTGTGACTGAAACGTGACTATCAAATCAATATACCAGCTGTACGCGGCTCTTTGCAATCATGCCGGGCTCCAATCCACGATCTACCAATGCGTAAGTGTGCAATGTGTTGTCTGCATCTCCGGTGGGGAGCTATGCATGATAACAACTGGACAGATGCGAAACATGTCGAAGACGCAAAGTAAAATGTTCCGGTGATAAGCCTTGTCGCGCTTGCATCAAACACAATTGGGAATGCACTTTTGGTCACTCCGGTCGCAGACGGTTCTCCGAAGCGTCAGTTCAGGCGTCTTGTAGCCTCCGGCCAGTCCCGCTGACTGTCAACTAGCCACGTGAAACATCTATTGGAAAAGATTCGAGTCTACGAGGGACAACTCAGCTCTCAGTCCATAGGGGGGTCCAGTCTCTTCATTGCCTTCTCCCGTAGCACCAGATGAGACCCCAAGCCGTCAACCTGTGCAACAAAGTTCTTCAACACCTGGAAATAAAAAGCGCCCTAGTCAGAGGCAAGATGAGCTACTATATCCCGATAGTGATCCTGCTATAAGCCCGGGTAACGTGACATCTTTCTGCTTCCTGGTCTGCTTGTGAATATAAACTAACTCTATGTGCAGCAACGGACCTGACCTCAGGGCCCGCATTCGAGTCTCAAGTCAGGTCGCTTCTCGACAGGTCGCATTCCAGTGACTACAACTTTCATGGATCTACTTCAAATTTTCAATATCAAACTGATCGATTACCTCAGTGGTCGTCGGTCAAAGAGCTCGTTGACAATGTTGCCGGAGTTTCTTTCCCATCTTTGGAGGAATCACAGCACTTGCTTGATCAATTCCTTTTTTATCTCGGCGTGAGCCAGCACTTTTTTGACCCACGATCTTTCTCCGATGATCTTATGTTGCTATTTCAGAGCCCAGAGACAAGGCAACAACAGATAAGCTCTCCTTGGTTTACAGAATATCTTTTGGTCATGGCCATGGCAAAGCTCATGGATGTAAAACATCCGACATCACAGACACCTGGAACGGACTTGTTCGCTGAAGCTTTGAAGCGTCTTCCTCCGTTGCATCATATGGGCGGGGAAGGTGTTGTCGCTGTTGAGATATTGACACTGATTGCTACGTATCTGCAGTGGTGTGACCGTAAACATGATGCATATCTCTATGTACGTGAGGCAAAGTCCGCAGATTTCTTGCACGGAACATTGACATGTGGTAGATTGGACTCGCACTGCGGCTTGCTATTGCTCTTGGGTGCAACCTACGGGAAGTCGACCAACACTGCCTCCCTTCCCAGAGTGCCCACAGACTAAGACTATGGTGGACAGTATACATGCTTGACAGGTGTGTATTTCTGGCAAATTTACAGGCTTGGAATTCAACTTACACTTTTAGGCGCCTCTCTTCGGGTCTTGGACTGGCTGCGGGGGCGGATGAACGACAGCTACGCACCGAACTTCCGCGGAACGCCATGGGGTTCCAGTCACCAATTGCCCTTGCCATCAATGTTCGTATCGCACGTGTCACCGATGATATAATGTCAAGTAAGCTATACGTCGTTGAGATCTTGGGGTCGTGCTAATACACCCATAATAGCTCTATATGGAAATAAGTCGATCACTCAACTGGAATTGGTCCAAAAGATACAGCAAATTCTCCAAGAACTGCATAATACAGGCCGATCATTCCCTAAATCTTTGATGTTGGACTTCAATCGACCTTTGCAAATGGTAACTCGCACAGGTGCATCGTTATATCTAATGCTTTTTCAGGTGAGACTGTCCCCAAGCAGAACACAATAATAGCTTTGTTTCTGATTCAGTATCAGGCTATCATCCTATGTACACGGCCAATACTACTTCAAAGAGCTCGATTTGAAGCTCAGAGCCAAGAACAGCCGCAGTCACCCGATACAGCGCCGAGTATGCTGCTGCGTCTCTGTGATACATGTGATGAGGCAGCCACCAGAAGTCTGGCAATACTTGAATCACTTCGTCGTCAGCAAACTATCCGTGAGTCTTTCTAGTGTTCTAGTCAGCGGGCCCTTAGGCCGCATATTATGTTTCGCATTTATAAAAACCAACAGCTGACGTATTACTCCAGCCCGGTATGGCTTTTTTGATCTGGATGCAACATTCTCCGCTGCATTTGTTCTGGTGATGGTAGGCTTCCTGGACAAATCACAAAGCCAACCACCCCCGGCGCTTGATCAAGCATCCAAAGTCCTCCAGTTTCTATCCCAGTCTGGCAATTTGGCTGCAGAGCGACGCCTACAGGATATTGCGCAATCTTATTCCCACGTTTGGCCAAATCATGTTTTCAATGCAAATGCCCCACGCAGTTTTGCAGTCTCCCAGGACAAGACCCAGACACTTGCAGCAAGTCCAGGCTTGAGACAAGATGCGTTGTTGACTTCCTCGGATTCTCCACCATATATGGCTGCGGCCTCAAGTAGTCGGGGTGATCATCAAGATGAGATTAGATTACTTGAGCCATGGTCTAATATGGATGTTCCGGACACAATGTTTGATATGCAGGGAGACTGGAATCTAGATCTCTCCGGGGACGCAGAAGGAATTTATTCAAGTTTCCACAATCCGACATTGCCACTGACCGGGGTTGACTACATCGACTGGTTGGAGATCGAGAAAGTATTTAACGGTCCATAGCGTGGGTAGAAAAGAATGTTTTTTTTCCGCAACAAAAGAATCACAATTCCCAAAATGATCACAAATCTGTTAGACAAGTTTGATACCCGGACATATATCTTGGAGTTCACAAAATAACGTTGTATGAGCACACTTGGAGCCATCGAGGAATTTATCGCCCAATGTATTGATCTTACGACAATCTAAATACGCGTGAATATGTGAGACTTGATATGAAAGCAGACAAAGAGCCCTCTCCTGTGTAAACAAATTTATCTGGCTTGCTTGTCCACCGGTCTACTATAGCTGGCTTTTTACCCGTGGCCACACTGTTATAGCCGTTAGAGATCGGATTTCAAAGCCACACCCACTTTTATAAGCAGATTTATTTCTCTTGATATTCTCATTCAAGGGGGAAAAAAAGCTCTTTGTGTTGCACTAAATTTAATGTGTCTTTTTGTTAGTCATCTTGGGCCAGTCGCTACATTATTACACCTATCCATCTCTAGAATATAGATATAGCCTTCGTTCTCTGATAAGAGCTAACTTGTGCTTCCTCCTACTTGTCTGCTGTTGAAAAAAAATCTATTTTCTTGCATATATATCATTTCTTTAGGTGATCTTCAGTCTAAAATTCTAGATTGTATTTGGTCTCCATAGACTCGGCGATCTGAGGTTGTCTATCACGTGATCATACCAGCATCTCACCGTTCCTGTTCCTCGCCGGCAGCATGCACTGCAGTTGGAGTCCGACCGTTCCTTATTTCGTCGCGTCAGGCATTTCGAGCCGAGCTTCGACTCTCACGTTTGGTGCCCTTTCGACTCCAAACCTCTCACTGTGTTAAAATCCCATCGCCAAATCTTCTGATAGCTTCCCCGCAATCGCGTCCCTCGCGCCGAACGATGCCCACACTCGCTGTGTTCCCACGTGGGTGAAGACAGCAGTTTACACCAGGCCCTATCAGGCCTGCACATCGAAAAAAGCGAGAACGCACACTGATATTTACGGTATTGGAGTTGAACCGCAGAGGCTACTGCAAGCATGGAGGCCGACTGGGATGAGCTGTCGCGTATCCCAATGCCGCCGCCGAGCCCGCATGCTATGCCCACTGTGGCAACGGCGACGGCATTTGATGATATGATGGAGCTTCTTTGGACAGGCAATGAATATGTGAGTGCTGGTCTCGGCTGGGGGTTTCCAAGGCGGGATGCTGATGAGTGCGTTCAATTCGCCAGGGCAGAGTTTCTTCCTTTTACGGGCCGGAACTGCAACGTTATACCTCTGTTCGAGCGCATCCGGTTTCGGAGGGCTCAGTACGACAAATAATATTCCACGAAAGAGGTGTGATTTCGCTATCATCAAAGAGTGTGCACATGATTACCCGACGGGGCTTGACACAGTGGCATCTTACTCACGATGAAATGGTCGATCTCCGCTGTATGAGTTTCACAGCCCAGACCAATCGAATCCTCGTTGCAGGCTCTCAGCGCGTGATGTTCACGGTAGATATTGACAAGGGCACAATCGTCGAGAAGCTGCCCACCGAACACGGCTACACGATGATGAAAAAGAGTCGATATCTCTGTGCTGCAACAGATACTGGATCAGTCAATGCCCTCAGTCTCTTAGACTTCAGTGTTGTCAAGTCATGGAAAGCTCATGGAACCGGTGTTAATGACATGGATGCCCGGAATGACCTGCTGGTCACCTGTGGCTTCTCAGTCCGGCACCTCGGATCCCCAATCGTGGACCCTTTAGCCAACGTTTATGACTTGAAAACTTTGACACCATTGCCTCCAATTCCTTTCCATGCTGGAGCAGCATACGTGCGCATGCATCCCAAACTTCACACCACCAGCTTCGTGGCTTCACAAACAGGCCAACTTCAGGTGATAGATCTCATGAATCCCAATTCGGTCAACTTGAGACAAGCCAATGTGTCACTTGTGCTCGGTATTGACCTCTCACCATCAGGAGAAGCATTGGTCATTAACGATGCCGAATGCTCCCTTCACCTATGGGGCTCACCGACAAAAGTTCATTTCAATGAATTGAGCAAGGAGACAGAATTTGCCGACGTCCCTGCGCGGCCTCCTCAGTTAGATTGGTCTCCTGAGTCTCCGTTGAACATGGTTGGGATGCCTTATTACCACGAACGTCTCTTTTCGGCATGGCCAAGTCATTTGCTTTTTGAGATTGGCAGTCCACCGGCTCCGTTGGATCAGTCCATGTTGCCATATTTACGCCCCGCAGAGATCGGACACCATGCTCCAAACCCGAGAAAGACTCGCCGATATCAAATAGAAAACACTCGCGCACTGACCACGGCAGAGCCGGCTCTTATTGCACCAAAGTTCTTGAGTGAAAAAGCTCGAGACTATAGCAATTCAGACAGTTTGGTTGGCGATGCCGCAGAGGCACTGGCAGGGGCGAAGATCAACGGAGAGAGCGATGACGACCCATTACTGAAATATAGTAACGTGGAGATCAAATACAGCCGATTCGGTGTAGATGACTTCGATTTCCGGTACGTCCTCCTGTTCCAATTCATTTGCTGCCCTTCGCTCACCTTCTCTATAGATTCTACAACAAGACCTCATTCTCCGGGCTTGAGACTCACATCGCTAATTCTTTTACCAACTCACTTCTTCAACTTTTCAAATTCATCCCACTTTTCCGAAACCTCGCCCTGAATCATGCGGCCGGATCGTGTATATTTGAGCACTGTCTTTTGTGTGAACTGGGCTATTTGTTCGACATGCTTGAAAAGGCAAGCGGGCAAAATTGTCAGGCCACCAACCTTCTCAAGACATTTAGCAGCTTCCGAGAAGCCTCAAATCTGGGTCTCTTGGAAGAGAATCTTACCAACAAATCTCTTTCGACTGCGATCCAAGCAGTCAACCGGTTTTTCCTGACTCAAATAGCTCAGGACTTCCGGATGATTCAACCTAGTTCTGAAGAGCTCGATCAGCGCTTAGCCACTATTGCATCTGAGTCTATCCGGTGCATGTTCTGCCAGAATGAAATTGTGCGCCCTGGGAATTCACTCGCCAATGAACTGATTTACCCGAATATCGACGTCAAACATGCACGACGAAATCCACTATTCCGGTTCTCCAATATCCTACGCGCAAGTATCGAGCGAGAGACACAAAACCGAGGATGGTGCAATTATTGTCGTCGCTACCAGCAAGTGACGATTCGCAAGACCATTCACCGTATGCCTTTGATTCTCGTGCTCAATGCCGCCCTGACCAACCCTCTCTGCCGTCGGCTTTGGGCAATCCCAGGGTGGTTGCCCGACGCTGTTGGCATTCTCGTTGATGCTAGCGGACAGGTAATGTGCTTTGAGGGTGATGATCTTCGCCTCCGAATCCAAAATCAAACGCCCGGCCTCGCGGTATATGATCTGGTTGGATTGGTTGCGGAGATTGACATCCCGGAACATCAAAAGCCCCATTTAGTATCTTTCGTCAATGTCTCTGTTTCAGGGGCTGAGTCCGAAGAACAAGGCAAATGGCACCTGTTCAATGACTTCTTGGTCACGGAGGTCGACAGAGATGAAGCACTCCGATTTACACAGCCTTGGAAACAACCTTGCGTGCTAGCTTACCAAGTGAGAGACCCACGCCATGTCGTTGATGACTCGTGGAAGAACTCCCTCGATAAAACCCTGCTATTCCGCGAGTGGTCTTTGAAGTAAGTTTCTGAAATTAAACATGAGGCTTTGGGTAGAAACACTAACAATCGTCTTGTAGTGGCGGCCGTCCGGTTGAGTCATGCCAAACCCTCACCGAGGAGGAACAGCCACAGCCTGGGACACCTGTCGCATTGGATACCGAGTTTGTTGATCTCGAAAAAGCCGAGATTGATGTCAAGGCAGATGGATCACAAGAAATGGTACGCCCCAACAAGAGCGGGCTGGCCCGCGTTTCTGTCTTGCGCGGTGTGGGTGTTCAAGAAGGAGTCCCATTTATTGATGACTATATCACCATCCGTGAGCCAATTGTGGACTATGTGACCCAGTATTCCGGCATCAAGCCTGGCGACTTGGATCCACGCACTAGTGAACACAATCTTGTCCCACTCAAGGTTGCTTATAAGAAGCTTTGGTTGCTTCTAAACCTCGGCTGTATATTTGTTGGTCACGGCCTAGCCTCTGATTTCCGCAAAATCAACATCCAAGTGCCCAAGGCACAAACTGTGGACACACAGTACCTCTTCTTCCACCCCGGGAAGAACCGCCGTCTCAGTCTCAGGTATCTGGCCTGGGCTGTCTTCAAGGAGCATATCCAAGAGGAGCCCGCACCCGACGCCGTACAAGGTCATGATTCGATCGAGGATGCTCGCATGGCTTTGCGTCTCTGGAAAAAATTCCAGGAATACGAAGATGCTGGAATTGTCACGCAAATGCTCGAAGAGATCTTCCGCGAAGGCTCTAAGCTAGGATTCCGTCCCCCTCCTAAAAATGGAGGTACCATCACCGTTCTCTCCCGACCTGGCACCGCTGTCACCATGCAGAATGACAGCGGTCGTAACACCCCTAGCACCCCGGACACACGGACCATGGTGCCAATCGCCCCAACATCGGTCGCTCCCATCGCTGGAACACCCAGTGCCCCTACTACCCCTCGCCAGTCTTTCAGGCGATCGATTGCCTTGACCCCGAGTAACGGGAGCTTTTCTGGACCTGGTACCGGTGATTTCTTTGGAGGTAGCCCACTTAGATAGATGAATATTCTTACCTTTTTTTCACTTGGCCCGCTTGGCTATGTCGGCATCGTGCGTGTCGGGAAAAACGTAAAAGCGTATCACGTACTACATTCTCAAAACATTAGAAGTGATGACATGTAGTTTCTAGTCTAGATAGTCTATCTCTTTTTAGACTGGAGGTCTTGGAGTCTCCATATAAAATGTTTATTGAGAAGGGGAAGGACGAGTAGACTGGTTCGGCTATAGACTTTAAGAGAACTCATAAGCGTATTGAAACACCTATATCCTTCCTAGGCTCATTTTTTTACCCATCGCTTGGTGTTAGAACGGCCGTTGCAAGGAATTAGCATCTCCGAGAAGCATCTGCTCTACTCCCGTGGGATAGAACGATCAGAGTCATGCTGGAAATTGCCAAGTTGCTTACGCTTAGAGCTTGTAATATGGTGCCATCAAAGCATTAGATAATAGCGGTAGATAAATCTGCATACTTTTATAGTGGGCAAACAATTTTATCGTTTCTATCCCTCGAACTGCCACCCTACGTGTCCTAGCTCAGCCATGCGTTCAAGTCCATCAGCATGGTTAGAAACACATTCCTCGGCTCCGATTCCCAGAAGATCCATGATTTCTGCTAAACGCAATGCTCCAGCAGCAAATATGGGAATCGCAACGGACGGCTGTGCGTCTGGATGGATATGGAACGGCATGAGGGAACATAGATGGATAGCTTCATTGAACCGAATGCGCAAATCCACATTTTCGTAGTCGGAAGTCGAGCTCAACAAGCTGTGGATAATAGGTTGTAGGCGAGCATCCAGGTCTGTGTATAGCTTCTTTGCCCATGGTGACATGAATTGGTAATTGATTACCGTGAGATCCCCAGTCGTGGTACATGTTGCCTCGTGGCGGCCTTCATGCAGAAGATCATAGTAGCTCCGAGTGCTTTGGGCCAACTTTCCCAAGTCATAGTAAATGTCACAAACCGGATATCCGCGAGGATCAACGAGCCAGAAATTGTCGTGATTCGTGTCAAACAACATATTTCCGGGGTGAAAGTCACCATGGATGAAGGGTGAGACACCTCCTGGGTCCAGGCGCCGGACCACTACCTCGTCTCTTTCTAGCCTATTAAGCATCGCTGGTACATTTGATATTCGCCGTCCGTTGATTTCCAACCATGGTGTAGTAATGAGTGTACTGAAAACCGGATCCATCTCGGCGGAAATTGTCAAGCGGCGCCAGGCACGATGAAAATGATAGTCATGAATATATCCTGGAGGAGTAGGTTGCTTGTGCTTGAGAAATGCTTTGTTGTATTCAAATTCCAGGACTGTTGACAAGACACGGGCGGCATCATCCACGGAAAGCTGATTGTTCAACAAGAGGTCTCGGAGGTTGGGAAAGTCTTTTAATTCTGTTCCCATAGTAATGGTACCCTGTTTCCTTGAGGCAAAAAGAATCTGCGGATAACAGTCTTGAATTTCATCTGGCAAGGTCTGATACATTCGAATTTCATCTGATAACTTCTGGGCTCCACGGCCCTTGGCCATCTTGGCAAAGTATCGATGAATGCCAGAATCCGAGAAGGATCCACCGACAGCAGATGCGCTGTTTGAGCAGAATTCCTCGTATGTAGATGAGACCATGCTTTCCTGCTGAGCTAGATCGTGTGCAACAGTAGGAAGGTCATGGCAGACCTCCAATTGAGCTCGAAGATCATGGCTTGATAACTTGAGGGCGAAGAGATCTTCCTTCAGTGGACCATCACAGACTGCATATGCTTCTGGCAAACGCACACTGCGAAATGTGAGCTGTCGAATTGCTGCACATGAGAATCCATGGTTTCCATTCACCAAAATCACATCTTTGTCAAGTAGTCTTTCAAGGTCACTGATTGATTCCCACTCAATTATATCCATTACCCCATATTTTTGAAGAAGACCACGAAGTTCTTCAGAACGTTGAGGAGTAGAATTCCAATGTATAATAGGAGACATCGTGGCTTGATGGAAGGTTGAAGACAAGTGCAGATCAAGGCAATAGTGACTAGAAGATGATGATAGCATATTTGACTCGACAGTTGCATAATATACCCTGTAGAATCTCACCATCTAGCAGAAAATGTGATATCACTCAGGATCGCTTCATCGAGATCTAGTCTTAACATTGGTTGTAGACCTAGAGATGTACTTCCACCCCTGATTTCTATGAGATCGTAACATCATAGAAAAGGGAGAGCTAGACTTAACATTGGTTGTAGACCTGGAGATGTACTTCCACCCCTGACTGCTATGAGATCGCAACATCATAGAAAAGGGAGATCTAGTCTTAACATTGGTTGTAGACCTGGAGATGTATTTCCACCCCGATCGCTATGAGATCGCAACATCATGGATAAGGAAGATCTAGTCTTAACATTGGTTGTAGACCTGGAGATGTACTTCCACCCCTGGCCAATCTAAAAGTTTGTAATTCACCCCCATCCATTCGTACCAGTACCCTTTGATCATGGAACAATACAAGCTCAACAGTAAGTTTTCCTAGGGCATGTATACTGCGTACACGGACAGATAACATTTGTCTGGCTAACCTCATGAAGGACCGCTTCCATTTTCATTGAAACTCCACATATAATCTTCCTCCGGATTCACCTCGAAGTCAAATCGTAGAATGTCTTCTGTGTTTGGAAAAATATGTGTTCGTGTAATGCTATCAGGAAGAAACACGCTCAGTATAAATTATGTCCTTAGGGGTATGGGGAGAAGTAGCGTTACATACGCCTGGTGCTCATCGCTGTTCCGATATTTGTCAAGGGCAGTCATATCCTCATGCAAACTGAGAAGTACAACTTCGAAGCCCTTACTTCTCTCAGGTGGGGTGTTGATCGAAGGACCACCAACGACTAGCCGGTGGCCCTTTACACAATCTAGTGTTTTCAAAGATTTCATCGCCCGAATGGTGTCATTCTTATTTTCCTCTCCCACGTCTGGGCGGAATTTCAGCATAACTTTGTTTCGATCGTTAGTAAGGCTCGTCAAATTAGAGAGAGTACTACTAAATTGCTGACCTATATGGATGATAGTCATTTTAAGGGTGTCTTCAGGCAAGAATAGTGTCGATTTGGACTGATCAGACCCAAAAGAGTCTTGAGTGAATATACAGGAAAGAAGTATGCATGTTCAAAAGCTAGAGAATCAATTTTTATATTAGACTCTGAGGATTTGAGAAGTATACCTTTGATCTGGGTTTGGTGGTGATATCACCTCTTGCCTGTCGATCAGTTTATAAAACTTAGTAAGATGGAACATATCTATTACTTTGGTTGCCCAATGGATCCTAGCCCACCCAGTAGTAATAGAATGATTCATTCTATTTCAGTGTGTTGTTGGATTATACAGTGGCATTTCATGAGTATTTGCACCCCAGTACTTCCACAATTGACCGCCCTTGATATACCGCCTGCCTATTCCCATTAGTATTGACCCCACCCGCGTGACGCGAGTGGTTGGGAGTGAATACGAAGTTCTTCCGGCAGAAAATAGGCGGCCATTCGAACATGACTGTACACAATTTTTGGAGAACTTCTTGTATGGAAAATGTGGCTTGTGTTCCCTTAAACTTGACATGGCGTGTCATGTTGATATAGAGATCTTCTATAAACCTGCATTTGTAGTTATATTTTAGGATTATAACTATAAAACTCGCTATAGAGAGACAGTTCCGCCTGTAGATGAGGACCGAGAGAGTAGGAGAGAGAGAGAGATGGCTCTTTGCCCATGAGGATCCATGGGGCACAAGTGATGCCTCAGGCACTAGACTACATCCTCAGGCATCAAACATTTGATTGGCTGAGGCATCCGGGGACACTCTAGTTACCGAGCGGAGTATTTAGATCCAAAGATAATCCGCGGGGGTTTAGGGGGAATTAATTCACTATTTTAACTATCTTTGACCATGAGCCCATCTTCAGTCACTGCTCCTATACCAGTTCAGAGCGGAAGTGCATCCCAAGTCTGCAGTAGCTGCAAGAGGTATGGAGATCCCCTGTCAAGCCTGCACATGGTATTAATGTTATGCATTTTGCAGACTAAAAAGAAAATGTGAGAAACGAACGTTTAGGTATATGGTACAAGACTTACCATGTCTCAGGTGATCGAAAACAGCCAAGTTGCTCGAGATGTCAACTAAGTGGACTCGAGTGCCAATATGGGCAAACCAAAAGGCGACCGGGGCCCGCGAAGGGCTCGATCCAGTCTCGGACAAGTTTCCTGCTTGACAAAGTCCGTAAGTGAGTCCCAATGTTGTTTGAGATTGTGCTTTCTCTAATTCTCAATGTCCAGGTCACTTGGAGGATACACTTCAAAGCCTAGTGGAAGGAGGCAACACATCAGCTCTGCCTTACTCTCCACCGGCGCAGAGCTATGGCACATTATTCGACGGAGATGAATGGGACTCCTTTGGCACTGAACTATCATCCAGTATCCAACCTGAGACAAATCAAGACGCCCATAATTATTCTCCACGGCCAGACAATATCCTTCCATCTATTATAGCGCCAGCTCATCAGGAATCACCGCCAGGCTCAATTATCTCAAAGGAAAGCCACATTCGCCATATCATAGACCAAACTGCTCTCTGCACGAATGCGGAGAAAAGGGATACTTTGTACGAAACCTGAATACGCTTCACTGTGCACAACCAGGCTAATCGAAATGCAGGCTGCACCTATATTTTGAGCATATTCAACCCGCCTTCCCGATGTTCCGAAAGGCTCTATTTTACGACGAGCTATCTGCAAATATGATCCCACCAGCCCTATTGTACTCGATGTTTGCGGTTTCTTCCCGATTTGCCGGCACCAGCTGCTACACTGATTCAGGCTCTCCTACTCAGCCGCAGGAATACTTCGATGCTGCTTATAAAGGATTCCGTCAAGAAATGGATCGGAATCGACCGGTGGAATTGAACGACGTCAAAACCGCATGTCTCCTCGCATTATACGACTACACATCGGCGCCTAGCCGTCGGGCATGGCTACTCGTTCGCGATGCCATGAGTCTCGCTTTGGCTGCTAGACTACACGAGATCGATAGCCTAGATTCTTTACACGAATTCTCTGATGCTGAAAAGGAAGAGCGACGGTTCGTGTGGTGGACTATTTGGAAGTTAGACTCCACAGTCAATGTCTCAACGGTGACTCCTTTTGGGATCGACTGTCGGATGATAGGAACTGCCTTGGTGTCAACTACCGTCCAGAACTTCACGGCCAATGCCTTAGGGCCAATAATACCAGTGATTCCAGAAATGGACCCAGTCAAGTCTTGGAGTTCGATCTTGGCGCCCAATCTACAGGATACTGGAGATGGGTTCAACACTCATTTATATGCGGTGTCTCTGCTACGAGCAGTCTCCGAATGTCAACAGCGCCTCAATGCAAAGCTGTGCCCTGAAGAGATTGGCCGAGCAGATACTCTGAATCGCATACTATCTTCCCTCCACCTCATTTTACCAGACTGTTTCTTCAGTCCAAGTAAGCGCCTCATGGAACAAGAATACGCACATAGATTACGGCTTGAGACTAACATAATGCTGAACACGTTCGTTTTTTTCTTTGCTTTTTACTTGGTTCATTTTGCTGACCCGCCAAACCACCAGTGCGCGCCTTATATTACACGAACCTACTAGGCAGATTGTGACAGGCACGGATCTTTCATCGGATTCAACGTTGACGTCTCTGAAAAGCTGGAAAGACAGCATTGGGTTCGCACGAAAGATTGCTTCGCTCTTCGATCATTGGCAATTCAGCTATTCTGCATACGCTGACCCGGTCATCAGCTGTGCGCTATGGCATGCTTACTGTGGACTGAAACTCTATGGTATGTCCGGTCTGGATGAGTCCGTTTCGAGTATTAGCTCTCCGGCAGCGATCAGTCTTGAGAAGTTGAGACTATCTTTGGAAAGCTTTACGCCCTGGTGGCCAATAGCACGAGTCCTCAGAGGTATGGACAAATCATGCGCAAAATGCTGTTTCTATCATCAACCCAGCGAGCTTTCTATCGAGTCTAAAGACTTTGGCTAATTTTATTTGCATCTAGATTCGCTTCAAGCTCTCCCAGCACGGAGCTGGTCTTTTGTTGATATCAGCAAGCTAGTCTCCTTGATCGCACTCTCTAGAAAGGCCTTCAACCCCTACAGAAGCGATTCAGAAAAGGTAGATGTCACATTTCTCTCGAGTTATCAATGATATTTGAACCAAGTATGTTATGCGTAACAGACTTTTGTTTGTTTTTCGAATACACCCAAATTGAATGTTTCACGATTGAGCGAAGGGCGTGATTAATATTAAAATAAATACATTTCGAAGTGAAATCCAATCATTTGTTTTCTAGTGATTGGTAAATAAGAGTAGAAGCTGCAAGATGCAGTGTTTTCAACGCACAATAATGCGAGCGCAATACTTTATCGGCCTCACTTGAACGGGAGGAAAACAGCGGAAGTTCTGTTATGGTAGCAGGAAGGCTGGCAACCCAGCTTTCCAGTTCTTGTATGCAATTGAAATTGGCTAGCATGCTGGATCCATCTGACGAAGGACTCACTGTAGCGATGCCACTGGGTGAATCAGACGAAAGCCCTCTCGGGAATTCCAGGGCAGTGAGCACCCGGCTAATACAAAGACTGAGCTTTGCATTCTCTATAAATATCAGGGCGAGACGTTTTTGGATCTCCAGATCCTCGAGGACTTCTGATGTGCTTAACGCGCAGATATCTCCGGGGGAGTATGTTGAAAGTTCGAAATCGGTCATTGTCAAGATCGGGGTCTCGAAAGCACTGTCATCGATGATGCCAGCCCGTTTGGTACTCAAGGACAGGATTCTGTCTCGGCAAAACAAGCTCCACCATGTTCGCATGCCGTCTCGCTGGCTTGCTACAGGGATTCGCCGATCCGGGACGCGATGCAGGCCCGCTGTATAGGCAAGGGACACGGCTATACCCATCCAGTGTAGTGGATCTTTGTCAGTGCCTTTGTCCCTCCAGAAAGATAATAACACAAGCGACTTGATTACTGTCAGGCGATGTTTCTCGTAATCCAAGTCAAACAAACAGCGGGCTCGGGCAAAGAGTTCGCCACATGCAGTCGCTTTGTTTCTATAGCCTGCTGCAGATAGCTCCGTGGAGCTGACGAAGACAGACCCGGCAAAGAAGATTGCCTGGAGCAGTAAAATGCTGATATGTTGGCTCGGATCCTCTGTGGATATGGCCTGTAGTAATTTCCTGATATCGACGAATGGTACGCGAGGGTGGATATAATTTATGTAGGCTCGCACAAGGGCGAGTCGAAAGGGACGTGGTGGCATTATGAAGGCGCCTTTTTTCGTCAAATATGCGAGTTCATCTGCACCAAGTTTGTTGTTTCCCCGTAGGGTGCTCACAGTGCATTTCTTCGAGCTGATATTTGTCGGATTGAGAAATCTTTCGGGATTGGGTGGAAACTGCATAAGATACGACTGCTGGAACCCTGGGTGGGATGCGTTAGTAACTATACAAGGGCTCGAATTCAATAGGGATAGATCGTGGTGGAATGACAGTCTCACAGTCTATTTTTGGTATTCCCGAGTCGGTTTTCAAATCAAATCTTGGGGATACATAATCTTCACTAGAAGTACAAGGAGGTTCGGGGGAATACCAATTCCAGTAACTGTCTGGTCTATAGTCACTGGTCTTGGGGGCTGGCTCCCATTTCTTTCCCCTAGAGAGCTGATCTTAGCATTCCAATAGACAACAGCAGTGTTAGTCGAGACATACCTTTCTCTGGACTTCACAATTCTCACACATTTAAGCCCCCGGATTGAACAAGCAGTGCACGCCACATCTTCACGCACTCGGTGACAACGTATTTTTCTGGCTTTGCAGAGACAGCATGCATTCTCAGCCCTTTTGCGCTTTTCGATTTGGGCCATGTTCCGCGGCCACGAGTTCACAGTGCCAGGTACCTAAGAGCGGAAAACCTCCGGATTTCAAATCAAAAGAAACATGTGTTTATAATAAAAAAAAATACACATACGGAAGAGACAAAATGACAAATCGCGATTCACATCGGCGGCTGAACAAGATGCTCCGCATCGGCGGGACAATGGAATCAACCCGATGTCATTCCCATCTCGAAATAATATAAATGCGCCAAAGATGTATAATGTAATATCAATCTATAATTCATACATGTTCAAAAATGCCTCCTGGTCGCATCCCCCCCGTCTCGAACAATCCCGAGAAAATCCAACTCGAACGCCTCAGCCATGTATTGTTTTCGCATCCTGATCTAGAGAAGTTCAACTCTTTTGCAGTCGACTTCGGCTTTGAGGTCGTTGAGAGAACTGAGTCCGCCATTTACTATCGTGGTTGGGGCCAAGATACCATTTCCTACGTCGCCCTCCCTGGCGATGCCAACGACCAAGGGTTCAAAGGCGCCGCTTTCATCGCCAAAACCGAAGCCGACTTTACAAAAAGTGCCGCTTTTCCAGGAGCTTCTCCTATTCAAGACCACAAAAGGCCCGGCGGAGGCAAGACTGTGACTATTCCATCCCCTTCTGGCGCAGCTATCCACGTTATTTGGGGCCAGCAGGATCGACCCAAGCCCGAAGCTCCAGTCAGTCATACCGAAGTTTATAAGGGAGGGTACAATACGACATTGAAGAAAGAGAGAAAAGGTTCGTTTCCCACGTCACTACAATAGATCGTGCAAATATGAACTAATGCGTCTTTGCTTGATAGGAGAGTTCCAGCGATTCAAACTCGGACCGGCCATGATACATAAGCTTGGGCACTATGGCTATATGACCAAGATGTTCGACGAGGACATCGACTTCTACACTAGCAATTTCAACTTCGTCCCGTCCGATATCCTGTACGAGGAGATTGATGGGGAAGAAATTGATACTTTAACGTTCATGCATCTCGATCACGGCTCGATTTACACCGACCACCACACTCTCTTCCTCAACCGAGTCCCTTCGACTTACCCAGTAAACTACCGAGTCCACCATTGCTCTTTCGAGGTCGAGGACTTTGATACTCAACTGCTTGGGCATGAATACCTGCTCAGCAAGGGCCATAAGCTTGTATGGGGTGTTGGACGGCACGTTCTCGGATCCCAGATCTTCGACTACTGGCAGGATCCTAGCGGATATAGCATTGAGCACTATGCCGATGGTGATGTGGTCAATGAGGAGAATCCTACAGGGAGATTTCAGAGTGAAGGCGCAGCTTCCATGTATATTTGGGGTCCGATCAGACCTCTAACGGGTGTTGCACAGTAAGAAGTGACGATTTTGTCCAACGGAATATGAGCTTATGGTGCCTGACTGGCTATGGATTATTTAATGTATTGTTTTGAAGTGACAATTAGTATACAAACTAGATGCCAGTCAGGCGTAGCCTTACACATGTTCATTCACCATCATGATTGTGCGTATTCGGCCTTTCCAGTATATCTTGTCTTAGGTGCAAGAAAACGTCGATGCAGCCACGACAAACTGATGAATTCTAGTGAAGAAGTATACCAGAAAGTTGGATGATAAAGTGTAAGATCTTTGGATTCGGAACTATTGAATACAGAAGGAATAATTTATGACAATCTTGATCCAATATGCAGGGGATACAGGGGGAAATTGGATCATGCCGGTCAAACAAGATTCTGTATTCGATGATTCAGGCCAGTTGACAATGAGATGTTGCACAAAGAACGCAATTTCAAGCCTCTCCAATAACACGCGATGAAAGACACGGAGAGGCATAAAGACTGGGGGTTTATCCCGTGTCCCGACACGGTCACCGAAATAATGGGTATGTTGTAGAAGATTTCTTGCGGCGGGATAACTAGTTCCCCCGCTGGTCCCTCTCCACGTTGCCACCCCGAAGTCGATATCTGTTGATTTGTTTGATGGATTTTTATTAAAGCTTCGCTACCTATGGCAGCAACTGTACTGGGGGTTTTGTTCTTAGTGAGAACGCGGTTATATTTTCCAAAAGAAATATCACGGTATGACACACTTTGGACATATAGACAGTTTAACTACTACTTTGATCGCTTAGCAACGAGATATATGCAATATAAACAAAGAACAGCAGAATTTTACAAAAGACCTCGGTCTTGAACAAATGAAAGAACGTAGTAAGGCTTGGAATGCGAGCTGATCCAGGTATCTAGACCCCGAAATAGTCTTTCACATGCTGCAAGTTGGCCTTCAGTCCGCTCAGGTCAGATGCAACTGAGTGAATGAAGAAGTCAGGACGCAGGATGACGTATTTTGCCGAATGTGGCACCCGGCTCTGAAGGGCATCTTTGTTGTAGGCAAAGACCGGGGTAATATCGGATTGTTGCAAAGCGTCAGCTGAACAAGTGTTCCATGCCGTCACCCCATCCTTGCTCGTTAGATTTCCTCCAGTCAAGTTGACGTAGGTAATGTTTTCTGAAGCCAATAGATCACCTGGCATCTTCAACTCTTCGACCGCGGCATCCACTGAAGCAGGGTCAAAGTCCGATGCTTTCTTGGCCAACACCAGAACGGCGATATGAGACCTGTCTCTCAATAGGACTTCATCAGACAATTGAGGCAAACCTTTTCCTAGCTGCTGCACCCACACCTGTGCAATCTTCTGTCCACCACCCGCAGTCTGCAAGAAAAAACCATCGGGACATGTGGTAGAGTTGTAGATCAACTTGTCCTTGAACGCTCGGCGAGTGCGAATCTTGGCGCCGCCTGGTAGCCGCCAAAGCAGACGCATACAGAACCTGTAGATGCTTTCACGCCACCCAAAGCCCATATTTGCGATAGAGCCATTAAGCTTGGTAGATAGTGTAGCGGCTTCCCAGGCATGGCGACGTTCCTGACTCCAGCCTTGCAAAATGCGTTCGCGAGACGCACCTGTTACACCAAGACGGATCATCATAGATAGTCGCCAGCCGAGGCCTTGGGCATCTCGGATGCCAGTTGCAATTCCTTGGCCACCGAAGGGAGGGAAGACGTGCGCAGCATCACCGATCAGCATAGTTTGGCGGCAGTACCATCGGTTTACAACTTTGGTTGCGAATCTAGATACCATCGAGTAATTAAATTAGTACATTGACTTCCCATTGAGAATCCAAGAGTTAATTGGGAGGATGGCTAGGCTTACCTGAATGGACGGCAGCGGAGGACTTTTATGCAATCTCTTGGGTATGCGACTGTGAGTCCTTTCAATTTCGACGAGAATTGAGAACCCGGGAGGTTCATCCAAGGTCTGAACTGGTTCCAGAAATCTTGTTCGCAATCTTCGGGCTCTTTCTCGTTTCCGATGGAGTATTCGTGTCTAGTAGCAGATCAGATATGCAATAATCATCTATACTCGATTTGCTGAAAGATTCCTACCTCCAGAACCGGGCACCCTTCGGCCCAAACCTTCCACTGACTGCTGGTCGATGCGTGTCATTACAGAAGCTTTTGTTGATTAGCGCACGCATGGGCAGATTGGCTGTCAACGAATGGACTTACTGGAATCCCTTGGGCCAGAACGTGCTGTGCACTTGCTCTGGTGTATATCCTAATTCCCACAGAGGGAAATCGGGATGCGTCTTAGGAGTGGGCAAATCCACCTCGAGGTTGATCGCAATCCAGGTTCCAACGTATGGCCAGCTTTGTATCGCAGTCAGAATTATGTACCAGCAATGCGATAGATATCACCCAACTTACACCGCATCCACTTGCCTGACTCCCTCTGGCTCAAGGAATCGTTTTCTCACAATGCCACGCTTTCCATCAGCCCCCACGAGCCAAGACGTTCGAATGGACTGAAGTGTGCCGTCCGTAGTGCGATATTCGATTATTGTATGATCCTCGTTTTCTACGCGGTTGAGAACCTCGCAGCCAACACGAAGATCGCACGCTGGAATAGTCTTAAGAAGTGCTCGAATTTCGCGTTCTGCAAATGTCAGCGAGTGATTACACTGAAGCATAGGATTTCTCCATCACTAAGACACATTGAACTGACCATAGTTTGGTTGGAACTGGGTAATATTTTGTGAAAGAGACTGTTCGGCCCAGTCAGGCAGCAAGTCGAAAGTCATGAACGGACGTTGTCGGAAGTTTCCAGCGTGGAAATTGAGCGCACCCATATCTGAGAGAGGAATTGATGTTAGAGGTTGATTTACATTCGCGACTTATATTTTAACTCACCACTTCCAATCCTTTTGGTCAATCCTTCCCCAATTCCGACTTGGTATGAAATCCGGACGGCATCGCCATTCACGACAATCCCGCGAGGGTCCTCGCAGACTTCTTGATCTTTTTCGAGAATAACAACCTAGACTTGAAGGTTAACTTTGCAGCAACACTAAGTACCGGTACACTGACCTTAATTCCCATGTGGCCCAAAAGAGCTCCCAGGACGAGGCCGCTGGGCCCGGCTCCGACGATGAGAACGTCGGTTGTCTCCATTATTACACTCAAGCAACTGAATAATGGTATAAACTATGTGAGAATGCCGTCAGAAGAAAAATCTGAGTTCGTGAGACTACGGTGATGTGATTAATCCAAGCTCATATATGCAAAGAAAGTGAAGCTATGTCGGCATTAAAGCGGAGATAAAATTATAAACAGGGACCTCGGGTGACGAAGACTTCTCCTTGCCGAATCATTGTAATTAAAGCTCTCTTCACTAAACGGAGAATTATACCAGCTCAGTTGTTGCGCAACCACTCTGCGTTTTCCGCATAATGCGGCGCGATATCTAGTTCGGCCGACGGTCCCACATGAAGATCATCACCTCCAGGACTGTGCAATTAATGCAAAATTACCTGGGCAGGTTATGTCGCCAGACCTAGCCTCTGCGCTGGTTACTAAGTATAATGCGGGAGAAATAAATAGGTGCCATTGATATGGCACAATCAACATGGGCAGGCAGTCCATGGCAGATTTGGGATTCTTCGTTTCGTCAATTATGAACATCCCTAACATACACGGCCTTCTCTCAGATTCTTTCTGGTAAGCTTATGGTTGGGACTCGGATTGTCGAGAAATTTGCGACTCTTTTCCTAGATCTTCTATCGAGGTAGTGCAGGTCTAGTATAACCCTCCCAGCCCTAACGAAAGAAACCTATCTTCGTCTCATTTCGTGACATTTGAGTACATAGATACATAGATTGATAATCAGGTCTACACCCAATTCAGACCCAGTCTTCACATCTAAATAAATAATTTGATAAGTAAAGCAAATGCTTCCCTGTCAATTTTTCGATCTACGGCGCCATATTTCATCACATGGACAAGCTATACTCGAGGTACGATGTAGAGTCAGGGAAAGGATAATTGGTTAGAAGGTCTCAATATTTGTTCTTCTGGTAGTCTAATTGCATTGAGCACATATTTGGCCCTCTGGCTCAAACAAAGTCAACTCCGTTCTTCAAAGTACCAATCTGTGACACGCTAATGTTCATCTGATTACCAGGTCTGATAAACTGAGGAGGCTTGAGGCCGTTTCCAACTCCTAGTAAGTGTCAGCATGAGGCCTTCAGAGCTGCAAATCACCAATATCGACGTACCTCCAGGTGTTCCTGTCATGATAATACTTCCTTTCTGCAAGGTGGTGCCCGTCGACAGATAGGAGACTAGAGCGGCACAGTCAAATACCAAATCCGAAACGAGAGTGTCTTGGCGAAGCTCTCCGTCAACCTTAGTCTGTAGGCGCAGCTCACTCGGGTCCTTGATAAGATCCCTCCGTACAAGGCAGGGGCCGAGTGGTGCGAATGTATCGAACCCCTTGGAGAATCCCCACTGCGGAACTGGGCCAGCAATAGTGCGGTCGATCTGTAGCTTACGGGACGAGACGTCATTTCCAATCGTATAGGCAGCTACGTAACTGAGCGCATCCTCCTTGCTAACATCCTTAGCATCTTTTCCCATCACAAGGCACTGCAAATTATGTATATGATCAGCAATCGTTATAGGTTTTAGACAGAGCTTTATATAAGACTCACCAACTCTCCTTCATAATCTGCCTGTTCATCTTGAGCGATCTTAGGGATCTTCACACTCACATTGTGGTCAGTGACCGTCGTATTCGGCTTGAAGAAGATAGACGGTGTGGGTGGCGTCGAACGACCAGTCTCGCGGACTATTTGAGCCGTTAGTCTCTGGTTTTTTTGTCAAAGGTCCGTCGAATACTTACTGTGTGTAAGGTAGTTAAGTCCAACGCAACGTAGGATGGGGATATCTTGAGGAGTCAAAGGGCCGAGAAGTCTCGACACAGTCACAACTTCATCAGTAACACGGGTTTCGCCAGTAGTGTTATAGATATCTGAGCCCGTGATCACTTTGGCTTGCAGCTTGGTTTCTTCTGTAGTATCTCCAAGATCGAAGTCCGCCGATGGCATCACCGGCTCACCAATCAATGTGCGCCCATCTGTGGCGACGAATCGGATCAAACGCTCCCAGGCAACAGACATAATTGATTATTGGAAGATATTGAAGGAAAACTGAGTGAGTTGAAGGTATAGGTGGCAGAGAGCACACCCTAGGTTAGATTCCAATTTAAGTAAAGCCACCAGTCCTGGCCGGGATCACTTTCCTTCCATTAATTTCTCCGCCATTGAAAATCTCGGCAGTGCGAGGTGATTCATGCGCGTAGTTTCCCTATTTCGACGGCGATGCGGCAAATCTAGTTCACCCGCCAGGCCCACCTGGATTTCACTGGAAAACTCCCTGAAGTTCACCCCGCAAAAGTGAATGCCTAATTCCGGGGTTTATAGATGCTAGGCATGATTCTCTGTATCGAGCATCCATCCCTTTTTAAAGTCCGGTTTGACTATAATCCTTTCACGAGATGACCATCCAGCCAGCCGATATAAATCATTATCCTCAGTCAAAAAATGAAGAAGCTCCCTTCAGTGCAATGAATTACCATGTTGAACATGCTTCTCTTCCTATCGAGCGATCAAACGAAAAGGATGCATCGACCATCATAGGTGATGATCCTAACCACCCAGTCAACTGGCCCCGGTATAAGGTAAAGTTTCTGATCAGAGCAACCTTGGACTCTAAACTAACTGATCGTCCAGAGAAATATCAACCTGGGTCTAATCTCATTCCATGCCCTTATGACCAATTTCGTTGGCGCTGGAATCATTCCCGTCTATGCTACCCTCGCCGACAAGTTCGGTATCGAGATTCAGGATGTTAGCTACTTGACCTCGATTCATGTTCGTCACATAATATCCGCATCAAAACCGAGTCACTAGAAGCTAATCGACCCAAAGATTCTGTGTACCGGTCTTACACCCTTCTTTCTAGTCCCCCTTTCCACCAGATTTGGTCGCCGGCCTGTATGGCTTATCTCCACGCTGTTCACGGCGGTCTGTAATGTTGGGTGCGCAGAGAGCCAAAGTTATGCACCCATGTTGGTCTGCCGTATCCTAGGTTCTCTCATGTTGGGTGCTCCCATCGCTCTTGGACCTCCCGTTGTGATGGAATCGTTTGCAGAGCACGAACGTGGTCTCGCTTTGGGAACCTGGTCGTAAGTTTTCCCTGATTTCTTCCCATTTCCCATCTACATGAAAATGGCCTGCAGTGTATTGATTACTCACACGTCATTCTCACAGTGCTTTTGTCACACTTGGCCCTTTGACCGGTCCATTTGTCATGGGATTCGTTGCGGAGCGACTTGGATGGCAGTGGATCTATTGGATCTTCACCCTCATCAGCGGCGCACAATTTGTGTTATACTTTTTATTCAGCCCCGAGACGAGATATATTCAGCAAGAGAAATCAACCAGCAAGTCTGGCTTCATGAAGTTGATCACATTCTCGCGAATTGATCCCACTCCTTTCACCATCTCTGAAGTCATCCGGCCCTTCTCAATGGGGAAGCAAATGACCGTGCTGCTGCCTGTGCTTTCACACAGTATGATCTTCTGTCTCTCGGCTGCAATGCTGACAGTGGAGATCCCTCAGCTGTTCGCCACACGCTTTGAGCTTGGCCCGGAGCAAACAGGTATCCAATTCCTTGGTATCATCGTCGGCACCATCCTTGGTGAATTGTTCAACGCTGTGGTTCTCAGCCTGATGAACAGGCGAACATTCGAAAAGCAAAGGCACGCTGTGAATCCGAAGAATTACCTCGTTGCAAGTTATTTGGGCTTCGTCTCCATGATTGTTGGGTTGGTTGTCTTCTGTGTTCTATTGGGCAACACACTGCCTATGCACTACAAGGTGTCCCCGATCATTGGCATTGGTGTTGCAGGATTCGGAAACCAATTAGTGTCCAACTTTTTGATTAACTGTAAGTTTGAATGAGGTTATCTTGGTTGCTGAGACGGAAGCTGACAATTCAATTCATTCAGATATCATGCACATTCATTCGGATAACGCTGCTACTGCGTCGATCTTCTTGGGCTTCATTCGCCAGACATGGTGCTTCATCGGGCCTTTCTGGTTCCCTACCATGTTTGAAACCGTGGGTATTACAAACTGTGCTGGGCTTCTGTCCGCGCTGGTGGTCATAAGTGTCCTGCCTGTTGTTTGGTTGCACTGGAGGTCACGAAGCTAGAGAGTGGGAGATGTATATTCATAGGTTATAGATTATAAACTCAGGCATACACTATACTGGACTTCAAGCGTTTGACACCAAGGCTGCAATTTGTGTCAAATCTTCAAATCTATGCTGTCTTCAAGTTGGAAATGGCTTCGCAGACCTCCATATTCGAAATGAGAAGGCGGTGGAAAAGGCGGTCGGCTCAATTGCCCTTGCTCGGCCTACGTAAATAACCGGTTCCTCCAGGGCTTCTCTGTCACCTACCCCTCGTTCATTGCCCTTACGCCGTAATGTCTCGACACCGTATTAAGGATGTCGATTATGATGAAGACGATTTCTATGAGGATGATGATGCGCTAGCCGATCCCGAGGAACAGGAGTTTTTGCAACAGTGTACTACCGCTGTTTTGCAACAGCTCGGTGCGGGGCAACCGTCGGTGACCGCCACGAAACAAGAAGTCCAAGACGCGCTATGGCACTACTACAACGATATCGAGAAGTCGGTCAACTATTTGAGAGGTATGTTCAATTTGCACAGATACGCCACATCGCATGGCATTACTTATCGCCGAGTTCCGTGTTTGTTGTGAAATCCAGCTAACCGAAGCTCTACGTGCAGGCAAGAGAGAAAAGGAGGCCACGAAGCCGCAGAAATCGAAGATTCAACCAGGTAAGCAGTGTTCATGGAATAATTGTTGTCCTAAGGTGTCGTTGGGCTCGGGGTCTGGGGCACAAGATATTCTGCGCGCCCCGATCATGGGTACTGCGGTTGCTTGCAAATGAAAATGTGTGTACATCTGGTACAAATCCATCCGATGTAATCTCTAGAGGCTCGAGACTGATGCTATAGAAGATTGGACAACGTTCTAACAGGTCTTCCAGTGCCAGCATATCCCGCTCCTCCTTCTACGGCACACTTCTCGGCTGCCGACTTCTTTCGCGACTGTCCCTGGCTCAACGTCCCGTCTCATCGGAAAGCGGACATCCTAATTGAGCCGCTCTATCCACGTCTGGGGCTGCTGGGTGGTGCACCGGAGAGTGGTGGAAAAATTTCCAAATTGGCCGCCCTAGCTGCAGCCCGGAAGAAGAAAGAGGGTGAGAAGGCACCATCCCCGCTGGAGACTTCGACTCCATCAACTCCCGAACTCGAGCAACCAAAGACTTCCTCGCTTGATCATACGGGTACGTCGCGCTCCCTTCGTGACAGACTTGCGGCTAGTGGACGGTCCACACCAAAAGCTTCAGAGGGTCCTGGGTCTCTGCGTCGTTCGGCAAACCCAAGCTCTTCCTCGCATCCGACCCCGAAGCAGCCCGCATCTGAGACCAGAAAGCCATCGGTATCTGAAGTTTCTGAATCAATGCAAAGGGTTATGCTTGAAGCGAAAGAAGAACCAGAACCCGAGCAAACAGTGCCTACCATTCGAGCCCCACCCTCGACGTTTGCCAGCACTATCGTTGGCGCAGCAACGGGCCCGACAGCGGCTGAGCCCAGCCACTTACACTCCAACAGCTCAGACCTGCTGAGGATCTATGGACAGGATCATGCTGAACCTTTTGACTTTGCAGCACCGAGCCCCGACGATGTCGTTCTCAATGCACAAAACACAGCGAAAGGTTTGGCGATCCGCAAGAAGGTTTAAAGGCAATTGCCTAATAATATGTAGGTATGAAGTCGAAGTCAGCCGCATCGAAATCGGCAGCGGTGAAGAAAGGCCAGTCTGATCTGGCAGGTGGTATGAAGGAGATGTCAGTGGAAGACAAAGTGAGCGTCAAGAGCAAGAATCTTGATGTTCTATCAGAGTACAAGAAGTCCACCCGCAAGCGATCTGCAAACTTTGTGGTTATTGGTGAGTCGATCTCCACTGGCGAGAAGATCCGGACGTGGACTGACTCATAAAATATAGGTCACGTTGATGCTGGAAAGAGCACTCTCATGGGACGGTTATTAGCAGACCAAGGTGCTATCGACCAAAGGACTCTAGATAGGTATCGTCGAGAGGCCGAGAAGATCGGCAAGGGCTCATTCGCGCTAGCCTGGGTCCTCGACCAAGGGTCGGAGGAAAGAGCACGAGGCGTGACGATAGATATCGCCACCAATAAGTTTGAGACCGACAAGACAGCCTTTACGATTGTTGATGCACCAGGTCACCGTGACTTTGTCCCAAACATGATTGCTGGTGCCAGTCAGGCAGACTTTGCTGTTCTAGTCATCGATTCCGGTGTGGGTAATTTCGAATCGGGGTTAAAGGGCCAGACTAAAGAGCACGCTCTGCTGGTACGCAGCATGGGCGTTCAAAAAATTGTGGTGGCTGTGAACAAGATGGATACCGTGCAATGGGATCATGAACGATTCGAGGAGATTGAACAGCAGATCTCCGCATTCTTGACAACTGCTGGCTTCCAGGACACCAACATTTCGTTTGTGCCGTGTTCAGGAGTTCTAGGAGACAACATTTCTCGGCGGACTGACGACCCTCATGCATCCTGGTACACAGGTCGCACATTGATTGAAGAACTGGAAACCTCGGAGCCATATACACATGCTCTCGAAAAGCCTTTGCGTATGACGATTGGCGATGTTTTCCGAGGTGGCGTGCAAAATCCGCTTTCCATCTCTGGCCGCATCGACGCAGGCAGCTTGCAGATGGGCGACCAAATCCTGACTATGCCTAGTGGTGAAACAGCAACAGTGCGCAGTTTGGAGGTGGACAACGAACCGAGTGATTGGGCCGTAGCTGGTCAAAATGTCGTTTTACATATCGCCAATATCGACCCTATTCACCTCCGTTCCGGTGATGTTGTCTGCCGTCCTTCATCTCCCATTCCTACTATCACTTCTTTCACCGCCAAGGTTCTGGCCTTCGAACATCTGATGCCCATGCAAGTGGATGTGCACCGTGGACGTCTACATGTGCCTGGTCGCATCAGCAAGCTGGTTGCCTCTCTGGACAAAGCGTCTGGAGCGGCTATCAAGAAACGCCCTAAAATTGTGGGTCCAGGTGTGGTGGCGCGTGTTGTGGTTGAAATGGAACAAGCTGTTCCTCTGGAAGCACCGACCAGGATTGTCCTGCGCGCGGGAGGCTCAACAGTGGCTGCTGGTTTATTAGAATGATATTTCCAGCTTTCTTAGTCAAAATCCATCCCATTCATCATTTTTGCCTCAACTTCTCATTGGTAGCACATGTAGAATTTCCGGCCGCCATGTTAAAATATATATATCACAAATATGGTACTCTATTCATTGACTTGACTCGTCGATGATGGTTGTATGGAGTATATGATTTCAGATATTATTCGAGAAAGAATTTCAAGGTCAATTATTGAATGAATTATTGGATTGTGCACAAGTAGTGCCATTAGAGTTAGACTCATAGGCTGTATACTAAATGGTCAGGGCACGGTGCTCTGTGCCACGCCCTCGGGAGATCCCCGGGCCAAAAGCCCACAATATACTGCTCAATCTAGATGCCACTTGTCATCAATCAAGGCCGTTTCAATTTACTCCGGAGCATAGAGCCATGTAGCAACACGTGGTCAGTAGAAAAGACATGAGTCAACCGGGTAAACCAAAGTGAGTACGGAGTAGATCGCGCGAGTTTCCTGAAGGGGGCGAACACTTGGCCCCTTCTAGCAAGTTCGATCATTTGGCAGTCGTTGATTGGTGGAAGCCCTGAGTAGTCCGTGGATATACCCCTGCCGCTAGACTACTTTGGGGAGCAACTTCCTGGTGAAGAAGGCGGTGTGGCTGCAGGGTAATTTCTGAGTCAGCGGTTACCGGACAGTAGCCAGCCAATCAGCGCCGGAGAAGTGACCTGAACTGGGAAAAGGCCAGCATGGCCGCTGGGCCGCATCCGTGTACAAGAAGTCCTCTTTCTTCGATTCTTCTCCAAACCATTCTCCCATTTCCTCACTTCGCCCCGGGTCCCTTTCCCGCATATCATCGACTAACATAAGGGTTCATAGAGTCAACACGCCTTGTGTTTACTCGTCTGCGCAGCTGTTTAGATCGGCACGCGCGAAGCTTCCATAACCACAGCTTCTTTGTTGTGTTGAAAAAAGGACTTCGATCCACCTATACATACACCCTTCACAATGGCTCGCCTATCCGCACGCGATGGGGCGTCCAAGCCCTTCGCCTGGACCACCATCTTCTACCTTCTCTTCGTCCTCATCGCGCCTCTCGCGTTCTTTGGAAACACCGCCAACGCCCAGGATGATAACTCACCCGAGAGCTACGGCAATGTTATTGGTATTGATTTGGGAACCACATACTCGTACGTTTTCTCAGTCTCAGATCCATTGATGTTGTATGAGACAGGTTGCTAACTTTGAATGCAGTTGTGTTGGTGTGATGCAGAACGGCAAGGTCGAGATTCTTGTCAACGATCAAGGAAACCGTATTACCCCGTCCTACGTTGCTTTCACCGATGAGGAGCGCCTCGTTGGTGACGCCGCCAAGAACCAATATGCCGCCAACCCCGAGCGCACCGTCTTCGATATCAAGTAAGCTTCCACTACACCCATCACAACAAGAATTCAGCACTAACGCATTGCAGGCGTATGATTGGTCGCAAGTTTGATGACAAGGACATCCAGAAGGACGTCAAGAACTACCCCTTCAAGGTCGTCAAGAAGGATGGCAAGCCCCAGGTCAAGGTCGACGTTAACCAGTCCGCTAAGACCTTCACCCCCGAGGAGATCTCCGCCATGATCCTCGGTAAGATGAAGGAGATTGCCGAGAGCTTCTTGGGCAAGACTGTCACCCACGCCGTTGTTACCGTTCCCGCCTACTTCAACGACGCCCAGCGTCAGGCCACCAAGGATGCCGGTACCATCGCCGGTCTCAACGTCCTCCGTGTTGTCAACGAGCCCACCGCCGCTGCTATCGCCTACGGTCTTGATAAGACCGGTGACGAGCGCCAGGTCATTGTTTACGATCTTGGTGGTGGTACCTTCGATGTGTCTCTTCTGTCTATTGATAACGGTGTCTTCGAGGTTCTGGCTACCGCTGGTGACACTCACCTTGGTGGTGAGGATTTCGACCACCGTGTCATGGAGTACTTCGTCAAGCAGTACAACAAGAAGAACAACACCGATGTCAAGAAGGATCTCAAGGCTATGGGTAAGCTCAAGCGCGAGGTCGAGAAGGCCAAGCGTACTCTGTCTTCCCAGATGTCCACTCGCATTGAAATCGAGGCTTTCCACAATGGCGAGGATTTCTCCGAGACCCTGACTCGCGCTAAGTTCGAGGAGATCAACATTGATCTGTTCAAGAAGACCCTCAAGCCTGTTGAGCAGGTTCTGAAGGACGCTAAGGTCAAGAAGTCCGAGGTCGATGACATCGTTCTTGTTGGTGGTTCCACCCGTATCCCTAAGGTTCAGGCTCTTCTCGAGGAGTTCTTCGCTGGCAAGAAGGCCAGCAAGGGTATCAACCCCGATGAGGCCGTTGCCTTCGGTGCTGCCGTTCAGGGTGGTATTCTCTCCGGTGATGACTCCATGGTCGATATGGTTCTTATGGATGTCAACCCCCTTACTCTCGGTATCGAGACCACTGGCGGTGTGATGACCAAGCTCATTCCCCGTAACACTGTCATCCCTACCCGCAAGTCGCAGATTTTCTCGACTGCTGCCGACAACCAGCCCACCGTCTTGATCCAGGTGTTTGAGGGTGAGCGCTCGATGACTAAGGATAACAACATGCTCGGCAAGTTCGAGTTGACCAACATTCCTCCCGCTCCCCGTGGCGTTCCCCAGATCGAGGTCGCCTTCGACCTCGATGCCAATGGAATTCTCAAGGTTAGCGCCTCCGATAAGGGCACTGGCAAGGCCGAGTCTATCACTATCACCAACGACAAGGGTCGTCTGTCCCAGGAGGAGATCGACCGCATGGTCCAGGAGGCCGAGCAATACGCCGAGGAGGATAAGGCCATCAAGGGCAAGATCGAGGCCCGTAACGGCCTTGAGAACTACGCCTTCAGCCTGAAGAACCAGGTCAACGATGAGAACGGTCTGGGTGGCCAGATCGATGAGGATGACAAGCAGTCCATCCTCGATGCCGTGAAGGAGGTCAACGACTGGCTCGAGGACAACGCCGCCACCGCTACCATGGAGGACTTTGAGGAGCAGAAGGAGCAGCTTTCCGGTGTGGCTTACCCCATCACCAGCAAGCTGTACGGCTCCGCTTCTCCCCCTGAGGATGATGACGAGCCCCTTGACCACGACGAACTGTAAAATTATCTTTGAGGCATTATTCATGGAGTTCCACTTTTTTTTTCTCTTGCTTGAGTCCCTTTTTGTGTTTGAATCTACTCGGGGCACTGTTTGTGTCCCATCCAACTTTTAGGCCCGGTTGAACGCCGGCTAAGAATACAATACAATGATACCTTGCATTTTGTATTAAAGATGCCTTTTGTAGTGCTGCAACGACTGGCAAGCCCATATAAATCTTTGGTCAAAGTGAATACCTTGTATGTTGTGTAAATACGACCTCTATTTTTGTTGAGCCACAAACGCCTGAATAGTTTCCGCAACAACCTGATGATCATCCTCCTGCTTCAACCCACTAACAACAACAACACCAATAATCCCATCAACACCGTGCACGCGAATCGGGTAGCCACCGCCATGGATAGCATATTCATCCGCAACAGCACCTCCAGTGGCACTTGGAACAGCATACTTCTTAACAAAAGCAGCCTCGATCTGGTCCGCCGAGGCGCCAGCCGCGAGCCCACTAATAGTCTTCTGTCGCATAGCCCAGCTCGAGACACCCCACCGAAGCACGGTGTTGCGCTTCCGTCGCACCCAGTTCTCGTTGTCCGGGATTGTGCCGCTCTCCGTCACAGACTGGAACACCACATGGAGCGGGGCTCCGCCGGCAAGCGCAATGGAGATCAGGGCGGGTTTGCGCTGTCCGTTCGGGAGACGGAGGACTCGGTCCCTTAGTGCATTTCCTAGTTGCCAAGCGGTGTCTGCTGTGAACTTGTGAAAGGTTTGGTCCGTGCTTAATTCTTGCGCGATTAGGACTTGCGGCTGTTTCTTGATTAGCTTTCGGGGTTCAGCTTGTTGGGAGACGAGACTCACGTCTGTGCTGGGCGCGGAAAGAGCCATGATGTATGAGATTAATTTGGTAAATGGTGAAGAAAAGTTGAGAGTAATGGGGGGATCAAATGGTATTTCTATGTGGAGATGGTAAGGGTGGACCTTCCTCTCATTGTATCGGTGACGTCGCCGAGATCTAGACCTGTGGACTTTGGTATATTGATTGACTCAGCATTTATTCTCACCATTCCTCACGATGTTCATATATAGATCGGCAAACTTGCCGAAAATACCCCTCCTTGACAAAATCCATCTCCCGCATTCCTCTTCAACATGACACTCTCAATAACTTAGGTCCCTATGCCCCCCAAACGAGCCTGCGATACCTGTATCTCCCGCAAAGTGAAATGCAGCGGCTCTTGGCCCTGCGATACCTGTTGCGGCGCATTACAGCGGGTTAATTGTACGTATCTGAGGCCTGCACAAAGGAGGGGTCCGAAATCTCGACGAGTAGCAAACCACCGAGCAACCGACTCCCCAGAGATCCAATCTACAGGGTATCCGCAAAATGACCAAGAAAATACATATGTGAAAAATGCTAGCGATGAGGGTGATTCCTTATCTACCCCATCCTGCAGCTCCCAGCGCATTCCAAAGACAATTTTTGCGTCAGTAATCCGTCTGTATCAGCAATATTCATATGGCGTCTGGCCTGTAGTCAATGCAGAAGTTCTTTTAGGAAGGCTCGAGGATATATATCCAGAAAGACTTGACTACAATGCTGGGAACACTTCCTGTCTCATCATGGCCGTCTGTGCCGCCACGATGGCTCAGTTGCATCTTGACCCCTTGGTAGATGGATCCCGGACAGTGGATAGCACCACAATGGCCCAAGCTTGTTTACGAATGCGTGCAAGTTGTGATAACCATGGAGCAAATCTGGGTGTCAGAAGCGTTCTGGTGTCCTTCTTTTTGCATGTGTACCACGCCAAGGTCAACCAACAAAATTCGGCAATGATGTTCATCAAAGAGGCCATGGCCGGAGCTCACATTCTGCGATTGAATGAAGAACTCTCACACGGGGAAGATGAGTTGATAGCAAATAAGGCCTTGGTCTTCCCCTTGCTTTGGGTATCAGAGAGGTACGCTGGAACCTCCGAATTCGCAGAGCAACTTATTGACTTTCCACAGAGGTTACTCATTGCACTTAGGTCTCTCTCCTTCATATATTGACCTCCCTAATTTACTAGATCTGGAGACAAATACACATGTTGATGTTCATGCCCAAGGGTTGATAGAGCTCGTCAAGCTCTTTATTGCATTTGATCAAATCTCGGTTCGGCGCAACTCGCGTCTTGGGATCACTATGGCTGCCCATCTGACCGATACCGAAGCGAAGGTTGCCTCACTATGCTTCAGCATGGCCAATCGCGTTTCAACCCGAACGGCAGACTATCACATCACACGGGAGTGGATGAGGACCATTCTCTGGCAGGAGGCACTTACTATGGGCTTGCTGTCCTCTTCAGCATGCACATCCGTCTTGGAGTTTGGATTTCCAGCGCAGGTTGGCCGTGCCTTACTGCAGTCCTTGCGTGGATTCAGCGAGACGGATTTGCTTCCATTGGGACGAGACCAGGCTAGTAGCTTTGATATAAAAGAAACACAGACGATGGCTGATGTCATTTTGCAGGTATTGAAATGCTTTGAAGTCGCCAACTCGCTGGCGGACACGGTTCTTTTGTCCCCACAGAGAAGAAGCTCTCGGCTCGAACTAGGACCACAGGACTTTCTGCATGCATTGTATCAGAAGATTGTCCCCTTTCTCGAGCAGGATACTATGTTGAAGTCAATCCTTCGTGCTAAAACTGCTGAAGCCCTAGTCGCGGCTCCAGCTCGCCTGCTGACAATTGGGGAGGATGATACGGGCCTACATTCGGGCAAAGATGGACCTGGTGGCCAGGCTCAGATTTCCGGATACACACCAAACAGCGCGCTCGATGGGCACAATGAATTGGCGCCAGATTTCTTGGATTGGCTACAACAATCGGATCTTCAGATAATCTAATATCAATCTCAATGACATTCTCACCGCATCATTCTGTGATCTGAAGCACGATCCGCCCCGAAATATCACCCTTCTCCATCTCCTCATATATCTGAGGCAAATCCTTGAACGGCCGAATGTTGACCACAGGATTAACAATACCACGTCGTACCAGATCAACAGCTTCCATGCATTCCTTCAGCGAGCCCACTAGATTACCCGTGATCTTGAGGCCCTTGATCACAATCGTACAGATAGGAGTCTCCAACGTTGGCCTTCCCGGGGGAATACCCACACAACTCAAAGTACCGCCAACCCGCAGCATATCACAAGCATGTGCAAACGCCTTTGCATTACCTGCTGTCACGACAGCAGCATGTGCACCCAACCCAGTAATCTCTTGCACCCTCTTGACGGGGTCCTCGGTGGCGAAGTCGATAAATTCCTGCGCGCCGAGACCTTTGACAAAGTTCCCCTTACCGGGACCAGTGTCGACGCCAATTACCAGGGCCCCCTGGGCTCTTGCATATTGAACTGGACACTGTCAGCCGACTGCAACTCTGCCTCCAAGCTTAGCCACAAAAAGACATAGGCATACATACCAGCCAAATGTCCGAGGCCACCTCCGGCCCCAACAACCACCAACCAATTGCCCGGACGAACATTCGCATTCAAGACGGCCTAACCAACCATGACTTAGCACAAAATCACACACACAAAAATACCCAACCCACCTTATAAGCAGTCAAACCCGCACAAAGCACCGGCCCCATGACCTTCGGATCAACATCATCAGGCAAAATTGTCAAGTAATCCGCATCGAGCGTAATATACTGCTGAAAACAGCCATCCTCATGGTGAAGATGGTTCGTACTCGCAACACAATACTGCTCTGTACCCGCAAGACAGAACTCGCAGCGTCGACAGATGCGGCTCGCGAACCGGATCCCAACCAGTCCGCCGACTTTCAGACCCGCAGAGTGCGTGATATCCGGTCCAAGGGCGACCACCCGGCCGATTCCTTCATGGCCGCCCACGTGTGGTAGTTTGATCTTTGTGATCGGGTTGCCGTCTGGTCCAGCTGCGGTACCAGCTTTGGTGTGTAGATCTGTTGGTGTGTTAGACTGGGTCTTGTTGAGAGATAACACCTGGTGTAGCGCTGGTTGGACCATTTGACAGTATACATACCGCTCTGGCAGACGCCGGTGTAGAGCACTTTGGCGAGGACTTCGTTGCGTCCCGGGATTGGAACGGGGTAGTCTGTTTCGAACTCTACTTGGCCGCCCAGTGAACGGACGAGGGCGACTGTTTGGGTCTGTGGAATGTCGAGGCCGTTCATTGTTATGGATATTACCTTGCTGAGGAGATATTGGATGGAATATGGAGTGTGTTTTGAAGAGACTGGATTCTAGGTATCACACGGGCGACATGGCTATATTTATATTCAAAACTCGAGTCTCCATTGCATTGCAGGTGTTAGTTCAAGACAGACTCGGATAAATAGAGTACACCAAAACCAAGTACCGTTCACTATTGGTAGACTGGGAAAAAGAACATAGATGTGACACTGCATGAAGTCATGCTAATTCTCCGAGTCAATTCTCCGTGGGCGGGCGCAATGCAGATCTCCTCACCTAGGGATGTCTACAAATAGAAAAGAAGAGAATCTGTGTGTTTAATTAACTATCTGACCTTGGGGAGCCTTGCCCTTTTTTTTTTCTTTTCTTGAAATGTGACGCTTCAAATCGCTATCCACAAGCAAACCGGGGTATGTACAATCGCAATAATTTCAGTCCATGTCCGGATACGCCATAACCTCACCAGTAACGCCAAGGTCAAGAAACCAGACTCCACGCCCCCAACACCATTCCTAACGTATGTACAATGCGAAGCCGAAAGTCCTGGCTAAAAGAAAACAATCGTAATCCAGATAGTCATGCGCTCTCAGAGGAATATCGGGTATTTCGTTAAATATTAACATCGTCCAAATGTACTGCACGGGCGTAAGAACCCTTTGTTGGGGTCAAAGGTGATATTTGTGAATCTCCAGTTTCAATATCCCTGCGTACCCTGTGGGCATGAGGACTGGAGTGGGGAGTGGTGAGCGGAGTGACGAACAACTCGCCGTTCTTCTTACGCATCCAATGTACGCGCAAGTGATCGAGGGCGGTCTTGAAATCGTCGAGGATGACAGTGTCACAGAGACATTTAAAGATGAAGGATAGCTGGGATGGTGAGTGATGTGGAAAATGGAAATCAGATGGGAGAGGGGGACGTACTTTCCAGAAGGGCTCGACACCTGTTGGGAGCAAGCTGGAAAATGCATTCAGCACGCTGCAGGTATCCACAATCATGAAAATAATTGACAGGCACATTGCCGCCAACATGATTCCGAAGCGTGGGCTGACTACTACTAGCTCCCATAATCCGAAGTTGTATTCGCGCTTGATCGTCCAGAATAAGCTGGCCGTGGTGAAGATCCACCATGGATCGCTGTTGACAGACGATGTTAGGATGAAAGGGATCCAAATAGGATAAAGCAATAGGGAAAGACGAACCGAAATAATGGCTCCATTGGCCTAGTCGTCAAGAAAATCTTATTGATATTGTTGAAGTATGTGAAGTTGGCATAGATTTCCAAACCCCAATAGGGCCAGCAGAGAATCACAGTGGTAATGTAGATGAGTGAGACCTTTCGCGATAGGAATGGGCGATTCTTCATCCAGGCGATAACATTATGCAGGGCCCAGGAGATGTTAAGACCGATCGCGGTCACGGATAGATACCAGCCGTAGACCGGCTCATGTGGGAAGATAAAAGTACCATGGGCCATAGCCAGAATGAGCTATATTCAAAGCAGAGATTAGTGAATCTGTTGAGCCGATAAATGAGGGTCAGCTTTTTGCCTTTCACCTACCTCGGCGAAAATCAGCTTATGCAAGAGAATATGTGACTTCATATTGGCAACAGTGATAGCGGCCATAATGAGTAGACTTCCAACCATCAGACCCTGGCCCCAAGCTTCGAGGATCAGGGCATCAGGCTCGGTGGGCTTCGAAATGTGATCGGTAGCCATCGTGAACTGTATTCATGTCAAGCGTGGGTGGTTGCTTAGGAGTATTGTGGAGAGTAAACAAGGATTGGGCGAATGAGATGAAAGAAGAAGGGGGTTTAGGGTAGAGAGGTGTAGAAGAAAATGAAGCGCAACTTTCATGAAGACATATCATAAAAAGAGCCGCTCTCGCACAAACGCGACATTACTAGGGTTTCCAAGTGAAGAGGGAGGAGATTTATCATTTATAATGCACTCCGTACCTAAGCACGCCAATTTTAACCGTAAGATATTCCTTGTCTTTTTTGGCTAATTCAACCCGCAAAAAGTAATTTGCGCCACTCAACGGTCTAAGGGCGTTAACTCTACAGGGGGTATAGGGTATATAAGGGGGCAATTAGGGATAACTTTGAAGACTCAACCACCAATGCCTCAATACTCTTTATTATTGTCCAGGTCATTGCCATTGTGTAAAAGAAAACCCATAAACTCGAGGATATTTCCCCATGACTCGGATGTCCGTGCCTGCGGAGAAACGGAGGTGGCGTTCACGGGAGATTCGAGCTAAACTAGTGCACGGTGTTTGCTTTGCTTTGCTTTTTTTTTTTTTTGCATTTAAGAATGGTGAAATAGTTTTGCTAATAAAGATGTTCAGGGATAAGAATATAACACAAATAATTTAAAGAATTTGAAGAACAGAACATTGAACATAAAGCGCACAAACGTAAATAATATAAGAAACTTTAATGGTCAGACCTTTGTATTCTAATATTCCCGCTATTTCTCCGTTCACAACTCCTAACTGGTAGGTCATTCGAGCCGAGCTTTTAGACAATGGAACTTGTTTCACAATTTTCTTTGTGATATCACTCCACAGGTTCATGTTGACTGGATACCATGTGCTATGACTGCCGTGAAGTCCGTGAAGTCTGGGGTACCAATGGAGCGTCTACCGAAATCAGACCTCAAAAACATTCCCGAGTGATCTAATTGCACAAATTTTTGTGATCGCGTGGTCTATATAAAATTGAGCAGTGTGAAGTCCGTAACCACCTTGGCCAAAGAACCCAGCCACACACATTTCGTGGCTCTTTTCATTTCGGTGTCAGCACACTTCTTGAGAGTGCTGTCTTTAGCTGAAATTGTTAGTTCAGCCACCCACTATCCGGAATACGTTTGGACTAATCATATAACCGTCACCCCTAGTGCGAAGAATAAGTGGAAATAGGCAGTCAACCCCGGATCTCCTTGACATCCCAGCCGACACACCGGGATACGGCTGGCTACCCCAGTGTCCCTGCCCTTACCCGTAGACTGTTTGTGGACATAGGCGTTTGATATACGAGAAAATTAATTTTAAACACGTGTGTTGGGGGCCTTTGGCGGCCTAGGGTGATCTTTCCTTCCCCTTTCTCTCTCCCGTAACTCCGCTAGTGAAAGCACAATCTTTCTCTCCATAAAAATCCATTATTATGTAACATTCCATAGAGCATATTCTAGCGACAAGAAATATTTCTTGGTCAAAGAAGCATTTCATAGCATTTCCATAGTGAGAATAAAGGTCCATATGAGTTGACAGTACAAAAGAAAATTGACTTTACAGTAATGAAGTTATGCAATTTCTCTGCCCCCATCTTGCCATACCTGCTATCTCTTCCTTCAAAAACCGGATGATGGTTGTCACCCTTGTTCAAAAAAAAAAAGCCCGTAACCGATTTCCGGTGCAAGTCGGAGGCTTTCCTCCGACGGCCATACAGCCCGACCATTGCTCTTCATCGTGGAGTCTGGCTTCTCGCTATGATGTGTGGCATGGTCAAAGTCCATGCTAGCCCAATCCTTCACATAGCCATGACTGGTAAAATGAGTACCACGACGATGTTGTTCTTCATCTTTATAGCAAATGGTGCTATGATACCCTATATGATCTTTCTGTCGTCGGCCATTGATGCTAGTAGTATTGTGGAGCTCA